AATTTGGTACTACACACTTGATATTTTGAGTCAAATTGTCGTTCTGAATCGCATGTTGCAATTTAAAATAAACCATGTTCGAGAATGTCAAAAGTTGACATATGATATGTCATTCCATTCAGAGTGTATTTTTCTGTCGAATAAAGTTATAAGGGTGAGCCACTTTTGAGACGCACCCGGTTTTCTGTCTGGATCTTAGAATCTTATGAACGGTCTTTGAATATTTGCATTTCTTCTCAAATGAGACACCGTACAGAGATACTAACTTGGGCAAATGGATTTCATACGTAAATTTGCCATACCACCGTTTATATATATATATATATATATATATATATATATATATATATATATATATATATATTATATATATATATTAGTCGGCTTAGAACGTCGTTTTTCTACGTTGTCCGATACCCAATTTCCAGCCTGTTGTATTCGTACAATCCTCTGTTGACAGGTTTCTTTCACTCATCGCTTTGTGTACGCTTTTTTGCCATTCCAGTTTTGGTCTTCCCTGTTTTCTTCTGCCCTTTGGTTGCCAATTGATTATTTTCTTGGGCCATCTAGTGTCCTTCATTCGCTCTACATGTCCGATACCAGATCAGCTGCTTTTTCTCTATATCCTGTGTTATCGTATCTTCTATACCCATTTGTTGTTTTATGGTATTATTTCTTATTCGTTGTTGTCTTGAAATTCCCATTGATCTTCGAATGACATCCATTTCTACGGCCTCTATCCCCTTCTTGTATCTCTCAGTTATTCTCCATGTTTCTGCTCCATACAGGAGGTTGCTCTTTATCATGGTTTATTTTTAGTAAAAATATTTGCTAACAAAAACGCTGTTTATGAAAAATAATATACAGGATGGTTGAACATTGCTATAAGTATAAAATTATATATTCAGATATTAGTAAATTTTAACTTATTTTTTGATTTTTGTCCATGGGACGAAGCACTGTGCGTCAGTTCCAGTGTTATCAAATGTAATTCCCAGGTACTCATACTCTTGACACTGCTTAATTTCGTGACCGTTGTCCAAGTTCAAGTTTCCTTCTTGTGCGCCTATACATAGATATTTTGTTTTGGCTATGTTAACTGTCAAGGCCCCATTCTCCGTATTCTTCAATAAGTTTTCTTAGCATATATTGCATATCGTCTTTGTCATTGGTCTACCACCTTTTTACCAAGACAAAATAGGGAACAGCGACAGTATGCAGGATGTGAAACAGTGAACTGGATGAAAATATTATGTAAACAACGATGATTTCACTGTGAGTCATGTATATTAAAAGTGTTAACGTGTAAATCCCTCTTTACTTCAATAGAAAAATATAATCCTATAAAAAAATAAATGTTAAGGCTGATGTCCATATAAATATGTGTAGTTAATTTTAGATTTAAAAATAGCCTTCAAAAAAATAGTATAGCACGCCTATGGAGCTCGTTGCACCTGGACACATATTCAAAGCTTTCGAGGTATTGTTTGCAAATAGAGTACTACTTAGTGCTTCAGTAAAAACTAATAATAGTAATTTTATCAGCAAGGGCGTGTATAATTGCTAATAAACAGCGTCTTTGCCTTTATTTATTGTGTTGGATTCCTATAGGCGACCATAACGATTTTTTCCCTTTTTAATGTCCGGCCGCTATATATGACAGCTATATACGTTTGTCGGTCTCGTTTCAAAGCGTTACAAGTCATAAAAACTGACATAACGATTTAAGGATGTGTCATCGATTTTATGTGTCATGACATTTAACACGATCGTTAATTGAGATGTATCACTGCATATGAAATCGCGTCACGAGATTTTTATATTTCTTTTATATGAAAATTTGTATTTACGTGAAAATAGATGGAGAATATCTTCATATACAAACTAAAATATATAGGAAACTGAAATGATACAGTCTGTTGGAGAATTCAGTGGCGCCATGCATCGGGTCGTTACAGAACTTATGATACAATTTTATTTGATTTTACAGGAAACTTTGCATTTTAACTACAGGTAACTATGTTGTTTTGTTCACTCTAGCGCCATCTATTAACAATTTTTTGGAACGTAATTTATTTTTTTTTTGTACATAAATAGGTAATTTTTCTTCTATTTCTTATTTTTTAATAAGAATAAGTTACTCTAAGCTACATCGCTCCAATTAACTTATCCTCATCAAAAAATATGAAATAGATAGAAAAAACAGCTATAGTTAATAAAATAAAAATAATTAACTGGATATGTTTAATAATAATTATTAGTAATAACTTCATAAAAAAAGTAAATAATACAAATTATACAATAAATAAAATTTCTTCCTCAGGCATAGCTCGCACGGAACTGCTCTACTTAGCTTCTTCATATAAATACAATAATAATAATAAATCAATACAATAGCATTAAATAATATAAAATACAACTAACAAAGTTCTGTCGCGAGTTTATACGAAGCGCGGGGAAAAAACGTGAATTGGATCAATGGTATAATGCAGACCTACGGATTAAAGCGAAGTAACGCGAAGAATCAAAATCAAAAAATACATGCAATTAATCCAATGACAGTTTGGTCGCGCCGGCGCCGGCACCGGCGCTTCGCAAACTTTTAAAGTATGATGCGCACTTGAGCGAAGCGCGCCGAAGCCGAAGCCATGCGAAGCACTGTTTTTTCGCACGCGATGAAAATTTAAAGTTGTTTTTAAGCTGGCCTTTTTAATTTTAGTATTACGCGTAGAGAAATATTATATATGTACAAGATACAGAGTGTTCCAAATAAATAAAAAATATCAAACTTGTATTTTTTAAAATGGAACACCCTGTATATTATTACATTTTTAGTTTCTACGATTAAAATAAAGGTTAATTTGATAAAGGTTTATTACACTTAAACCTTACCGTTTTTGAAATATTTTCAATTTTGTGAAATTGTAGTCAAAATTTTAAGGCTTCATTTCTCCAAGGATATCAAAGTTTTTAATACTAAATATTTACTGAAGGTTATTTATTGATCAGTTATTGTGTTGCAATAATAAAAATTATACTACCTTATACAGAGTGTCTAAAATTTTATTTTAAATAATTACTAGTTTTAAACGGCAATAACTTGTTTAATTTAAATGGAACACCCTGTATATTTTATGAGAATCAGATGCACAATTTAATTGTCTATCAAATTGTATTATACCATTTTTTACCTATAGCTTCAAGTTTCCGTAGAAAATGCATTTTCTTGTAATTTTAAATTCATTTATCAATATATCCATGGAAGACTGACATTTTAGATTATTTTTAAAGGTGTACCAAATTTTTAAAGAGTACAGATACTAATATTCTCGATATACTTTGTTTATTTCATTAAAAAATAAATAAAACTGTTTAAATATTTGTTAAAAAGGACTAATTAAAATGATTTCAGTATTCAAACTACATTAATTGACTGTTTGCGTTGATTAATAATAATTGCTCCAAAAACTAAAAAACTGAATTTTTTATGTGTATTAGACAGTGTGGTAAAAAGTACACACACCTTAAAAATGATATTTCATTTTTTGACAAATGCTTATTTGTAACAACAAAGACATTCATTTTATAACTTATTATTATATTGATTTCTGATTCAAATCCACATTTATTTTGAATAATTTATTCACGAACATAATTAAGTATATAATTAATTAATATTTGGGTGGAAATAATGGTGGTATATTTAATTAATGGTATACTTTTTTATGAAGATTTAAATAGTTTTCTTTTTGCATACAAATGGGCTAGCAATATTATTATTTTGTTAAAAACAATAATATTACTAGCCTGTACATTTTGTACATTTGTTGCTTTAAAAACAATCTAAAATGTCAATATTCCATGGGTATATTGATAAATGAGATCTAAATTATAAGAAAATGCATTATCTACGAAAACTTGAAGGGATAGGTAAAAAGTGGTATAATACAATTTGATAGACAATTAAATTATGCATCTGATTCTCCTAAAATATACAGGGCGTTCTATTTAAATTAAACAAGTTATTGCCGTTTAAAGCTAGTAATTATATAAAATAAAATTTTAGACACTCTGTATAAGGTAGTATAATTTTTATTATTGCAACACAATAACTGATCAATAAATAAACTTCAGTAAATATTTTGTATTAAAAACTTTAATACCCTTGGAGAAATGAAGCCTTAAAATTTTTACTGCAATTTCACAAAATTGAAAATATTTCAAAAACGGTAAGGTTTAAGTGTGATAAACCTTAATAAAATTTACCTTTATTTCAATCGTAGAATCTAAAAATGTTTTTTGTTTTCTTTTGTTTGTTAGTTTGTTTACTTTACCTTTGTCTACAAATTATAATTTTTTTTGACAATAAAGGCATTTATTTATAAGACTGACAGGTAAAATGTTATGTGTGGACAAGTCTTTAGGCAAGACAGATGTCGCAAATACGCGTGTGTGTCCCATCGGGCATCTGATAAATCCGATCGCAACCGTTTACAAACAAGGCATGGAGAAGAGATAAAAATTTCGAAAACAACAACGACGGCCTCTGTAAAGAACACTCGAAGCTCTTCGAGCTACCGAAGAATCGCAAACGGACTGGACGTACGCGATAGTGAACGCTGTAAATCTCTTTAAAGGCAGCTCGAGAGATGGACCGGGTCCTTGTCTTCTGCTGGCCGTTGTTTATAGGCGATGGCAGATTAAAAGAGTAGAGTGGGGTCCCATTTTATTCAAAACAACAGATATATGCAATTGTAATTTGAGGGAAGAGATTAAGATTTTATCGAGGATATGGACAATTTTAAATTCTGTCTCGACATATTTAAAATGTGCTTCAGGACTATTGGCAATTAGGACTATGTCATCGGCGAATCTTAGATGGTTAAGATATTCTCCATCTATTTTTAATCCTTTTTTGGTCCAGTAGAAAATATTATATATTATAAATAAAAAATACTATTTAATAACATAATATTATTTTTTTCTTCTTCATCTTTTAGGTTATAGAGAAACTGCCTTTGCCTATGCCATATCTTCAGCAGCCGTTACCATCTCCGTAGCCAGAGCCTGTAGCTCCTCTACCCTCCAGAACTGCGGTTGCGACTCCAAAGTCTACAAAATCCGACCCTACAAGCAAATATACAAGGAGCACGACCGCCTGATCAGCGAAAAATACAAACAAACTAAAGAGAACGGAGTTCTGGAGGAGAATACTGGCTCCTTCGTGCCAAATGATAATTTTCAGTATAGTAGTTATGTTAAAAACCAACAATATGTTGGATCTAAGGAAGGTTATTATGGAAATAATGATCCGGAAGATATGAAAGTGTCTTGGAAATGGGGTGGATGCTCTCATAATTTGAGGTATGGCATCAAAGTGTCGAAGATGTTTTTGGATGCGAGGGAGACGGCGGATGATATACATTCAAAGATAAATTTGCACAACAATCAAGTAGGAAGAATGGTAAGTATAGTTGATAATTATTAATAGGTTTAAGCTTGATTTTCATGCATCCGTTGTCCGACGATACGATGATACGATATTAATTTTACTGGCTGAATTTAAAGGCTTCGATTGGTTAACCGTTTCTAACCAATCGAACTGTCGTCATTTTTAATAAAATTCGCTGGTTTTGGGAAATGCTGTCAACACGAACAGCAGAGGCTCAGATGGGCACCAAAACTGTAGCTGTTAAAACAACGCAAGAAACTCCACAAGGTGGAGTAACCTCCCCTTTGCTGTGGAGCTTGGTGGTGGATGAACTACTAGATGAATTAACTCTAGCGGGAATACACTGCATTGGGTATGCAGATGACATAGTCATGATCGTTCGGGGGAAACATGAAGGCACCTTGTGTGATATTATCCAAAGAGGACTCCGTATCACTGAGAGATGGTGTAGGACTGTCGGGCTGAGTATCAACTCAGACAAAACCGCGATAGTGCCATTCACCAGAAGGCGAAGTCTGAAGAAAACTTGAAAATAATCCAACTAGATGGAAAGGAAATACTGCCAACACAGGAAGTTAAATACCTGGGAATAACCCTGGACAGTAAACTCCTGTGGAACAGGCATATTAAGAACACTACCAGCAAAGCCATAAAGGCTCTCATGATATGCAGAAGACTGGCCGGAAATAGATGGGGCTGCTCCCCTAACATTTTGCGCTGGATGTATACCATGATAGTAAGACCCATGATTACTTATGGAGCAGTTGCCTGGTACACAAAACTAGAGCAACGGACGGCAAGGCTAAACCTATGCAAAGTCCAGAGACTAACATGCGTTTGCATCACAGGAGCCATGAGAACCTGTCCAACAGCAGCAATGGAGGTCATTCTAGATCTAACACCACTGCACATTGTCATTGGTAGATATGCCAATGCGACATTGATTAGAATGGTCACTAACGGAATTAGTACTGGGAGAATTGTCAGATCAGGGGCTTGGAACACCCTCATAAAGGAAATACCACTCCTGCAACTCCCAGTGGACGATATGCTAAGAACGTACAACTTTGAGAAACATCTCCATGTAGTATTGAGCAATAAAAAGGATTGGAAGAGCGAAACGCTTGCCCAGCAGTTAAAAGACCATACCATAACTTGGTATACTGATGCTTCCAAAACCAATACGGGAACAGGGATCGGAGTGTTTGGGCCGAGAGCTAAATACTCCGAACCAATCGGCACTTACCCTAGTATCCTACAGGCAGAAATCTACGCTATCGAAAGATGCATACAACTTATCTTAGATAGGAACTATCGGAAACAAGAAATAGCCACCTTGTCTGATAGTCAAGCAGCGTTAAAAGCGATCAACTCAGTATCAATCCATTCGAAATTGGTCAAAGAATGCATAGAGAAGCTGAATAAATTAGGAAAGAAAACAAAGTCCTCCTACACTGGGTGCCTGCTCACCAAGGGATAGAAGGCAATGAAAAAGCAAATAATCTAGCTAGGAAAGGAGCGAACACTCCACTAACTGGACCAGAACCGTTCTGCTTTCCAAGTGGGAACCAACTCAAGGCGGAACTCAAGAACTTGGAAGATTCCATCCGCAACCTGGAATGGAAATCTTGTAATGGTCTAAGACACTCGAAGAAGTTTCTGAGGGCTTATGATCAAGAAAAATCACAGACCTTCCTGGGTCTGAGTAAGAACAATCTTCGGATTGTCACGGGGTTTTTAACAGGACACTGTCTCCTCAATGGACACCTCAGTAGATTGAAACTAAGAGGAAACGGCGAATGCAGATTCTGTGGGGAAGATGGGGAAACACCAGTACACCTCATCACTGAGTGCGCCGAGACGACAACCATTCGTGCCATGAATTTTGGTACGACTGATATTGGAGATGGAGAACTACCCTCTATAAAACCGTCCCAGATACTGGCTTTTGTCAAAGCCCTGGGACTGTATGATGAGTTATGATTCAAGAAAGGGGGACACAATGGATCTGTAAGGTCGAAGTGATTAACCCCCCTCCCACTCATTCTAAATTCTAAAAAAAAATTCTAATAAATTAGCAGAAGCTTTCTGATATGAAATGTGTAAACTCGAAACGTGCTTTCAAGTCAGATGAATTTCCGAGACTTGATCAACTCAGTTGACTCATGAAAACGTACATCTATAACAGAAAAAAAAACTGTTTTTCAGCTTTGAACAAAATCAAAACTTTTCAGTGGGGTCTGTTGCGGCGGTCCATCTGATTTGATTTATGTTCTCCTACCGCTGCTGGCCGCTGGTCCCAAGTATTAAAACCGAAATATTTTCACACAAAGCCCCACTCAGGCCACGCCTATTTCGGCCATGTCGTTTTGGGCCTTTGGGCTATTATTATGGTTATATTATGGGGACCACACGCGCGCCCTCACTTGTTCCCGACTATTGTTTTTGGGACCTCGTACCGTTTTCGAGAATGCAGTACCGTACTCGAAAGGAAATTTGATTTATTTTGGACTCTCTGTCGCTTGTATACAGGTTGTCCCAGAAAAAAGTGCAAGTATTTTAACCGGTAGTATAGTTCAACCGCAGAAACACGCCTATGAGTTTTTTTTTCGCGAAAAAAAGATTAGGAAATTGTGAAAATTCGAAATTTTGAGAAAAAATTTTTGGAAATTTTTTTAGTTAAAAAACATAATTTTTTGATAATATGGCAACATAGATATTAGACTCAAAATTTCAGCAAAAAATCATTTTTTTCTGGAAATTTTCAAAGTAAAATAACTCCGTTATTTTGGACTTATTGAAAAAACGATAAAGAGAAAATATGTTTCTTTTATCGAGATCGAGCACCCCTTAAAATACTTGCACTTGTTTCTGGGACACCCTGTATACGAGTACGTAGCGATCTATAAAATATATTTCATATCAAGTAAACTTTTAGTTACTTAATCTAGGGCGCGATTTTAAAAATTCATTGTTGCCAACCATAGACATATTTGGCGCCGTGCTGACTAACTGGAATTTAATTTTTACGCTGGGGATTCAGGTGGTAGCTCTGCTGTAAAAAATGCCAAGTTGCCGCATTTATTTATTTATTTCCTGACATTGTCTTTCGTTTTGACACTTTAGTTTTGTATTACTAGTTTTTAGTTTAAATGAATTTAAGCTTGAAAATGTTTAAACTAGCAGACCTTGCACTCGAACATTGTTCTTTTTTGAACCTCTCTTAGTGCAAAGTGGGGTACAAGATAGCTTTAATAGCCGTAAAAAACTCATGGCAACTTTATTAGAATATTTTGAACGGAAAGCGGTAGTTAATGTAATGAAGTTAATTAACGCACCACAAAAAAATAACCAAAAGTTTAAGTTAAGTTTTTGTCAAAACCACTTATCCGATTTGGACGATTTTTTTTGAATGATAGGTTATTTTTTCCACAATGTTGCTATACTAACTATATTTTGATAGGAACCCTTTTTATACTAATGCCGGGTGTAGCAATTATAACGTGTTTTTTTTAATAAAATTTGTGACACCCTGTAGAGTAGATCAGTTACAGTATCGAGTTAAAATTGAAATCACATTTTAGCCTTATCTTTTTTTACATTTTGTTTTTTTATTTACTCCATTATCTTCCTTATTACACGAGAAACAACATTTTATAGGATGACATGATTTAATATTGGTTTTAATAAAGGTTTTAATTAACATTTTTCCATTTTACTCACTAAAGTAAGTAGCAGGCTATGGAAAAACACGGATTACCAGTAAATGTCAAATAGAGATGCTTGTTGTCAGTGTCAGTCGTTTTCGTCCTTTTATTATATCAAAAATATGCAACGTGCACGTGAAACAAGAAATCTTACTGGCGAAGAATGTGCTCAAGCATTAATATTGTCTGAGGAAGGTTGGAGCTACCGAAGAATTGGTGAACGATTTAATGTAACTCACTCAACCATTTCACGAGTTATACAACGGTATAGAGATACCGGGAGTAATTGTCGCAAGCCGGGACAAGGCAGGAATCGAAGAACCAATCCGATTCAGGAACGTTTTTTACAACTCTCAACATTAAGACAAGGTTTCGTAACAGCTCGGATCCTTCAAACTCAGCTCAGAGATACTAATGGTCTACAAGTTTGCACGGAAACTAGCATCTCTATTTGATATTTACTGGTAATCCGTGTTTTTCCATAGCCTGCTACTTACTTTAGTGAGTAAAATGGAAAAATGTTAATTAAAACCAATATTAAATCATGTTATCCTATAAAATGTTGTTTCTCGTGTAATAAGGAAGATTAGAATTAGAATTTAGAATGAGTGGGAGGGGGGTTAATCACTTCGACCTTACAGATCCATTGTGTCCCCCTTTCTTGAATCATAACTCATCATACAGTCCCAGGGCTTTGACAAAAGCCAGTATCTGGGACAGTTTATAGGGTAGTTCTCCATCTCCAATATCAGTCGTACCAAAATTCATAGCACAGATGGTTGTCGTCTCAGCACTCAGTGATGAGGTGTACTGGTGTTTCACCATCTTCTCCACAAGTCTGCATTCGCCGTTTCTTCTTAGTTTCAATCTACTGAGGTGTTCATTGAGGAGACAGTGTCCTGTTAAAAACCCCGTGACAATCCGAAGATTGTTCTTACTCAGACCCAGGAAGATCTGTGATTTTTCTTGATCATAAGCCCTCAGAAACTTCTTCGAGTGTCTTAGACCATTGCAAGATTTCCATTCCAGGTTGCGGATGGAATCTTCCAAGTTAATAAGGAAGATAATGGAATAAATAAAAAAAAACAAATGTAAAAAAAAGATAAGGCTAAAATGTGATTTCAATTTTAACTCGACACTGTAACTGATCAACTCTACAGGGTGTCACAAATTTTATTAAAAAAAACACGTTATAATTGCTACACCCGGTATTAGTATAAAAAGGGTTCCTATCAAAATACAGTTAGTATAGCAACATTGTGGAAAGGATAACCTATCATTCAAAAAAAAATCGTCCAAATCGGATAAGTGGTTTTGACAAAAACTTAACTTAAACTTTTGGTTATTTTTTTTTGTGGTGTGTTAATTTATTGGGGAAGTGTATTTTGTTCAAACACTTTTTCAACTTATTTTCAGGCTGTGAAAAATAATATGCAAGTTCGGTGCAAGTGTCACGGTATGTCTGGAAGCTGCAACCTGATGACCTGCTGGAGATCGACGCCAGACATGCGAAACGTCGGCAGAATTCTGAAGGAGAAATTCAAATCGGCCATACTGGTCGACCAGTCCAATTTCGGAAATAAGAATTTGCGAAAATTCAACCTGTAAGTATTTGAATTCGTATTTTTGGTTTACAGCTCAATAATGCATTATTTTATCTAACAATCACACATGATATATATGAAAACCGTGCATTGTACGGTATTTTTCAGTCACACAGGTATTGTTTTTGACAAGTTCAGCGTTTGTCAAAATTGACAAATGAATTGACTGACTGGAAATTAACGTAAAATGGTTAGGTTGGAACAGACCTATTATATTAGTTTGAATTTTCTTAAATTTTGTTCTATGGTAATATCATTTCGGTTTCATGCTTTGGTAGATGGTTATTATTAAGTTTGATTATGGCGGGTATTACACTATCAAATTTCTTTGTCTTTTATTTAGAAGATATTTTATGTTACAACCCGACTTTATTTGATTTAATTACATTATTTTTAATTCTTTCAGTGCCAATCCGAAATCATCAAACAACAAACAAAGAAGAAGACAACAATGGACACCAAGAAAAAATAAAAGAAAAAGGGATCTGTCCTCTGATTTGCTATATTACCAAAAATCTCCCGATTTTTGTGACAAGGACAGTACCATGGATGTTCTGGGAACCAGTGGCAGATCCTGTAACACGTAAATATTTTTTGCCTATTTTGCCTATTTAAAGGCCGGTCTTCATGCATCCGTCATCCGTTGACACGATGATCCGACGATGCTCTGATTGGTCAAAACATTTTCGCTCACTTTTATTAAGGTGCGTTCACACCAACTGCGCCGCTCCGCGCCGCGCCACGCCAAACATTTCATGTTTTTTAACATAATATACTCTTGTGCGCGCGTGTGTAGCTGGTGTGAACGCACCTTTTGATTACTCTTGTTAAATAAAAAAAGGAATATTTGCAATTTGCGTAGCAAAGTTATTATTCTTTTAATCTTTATTCTTCACCTTTAGAATCATTTTTATTATTCATTTTTCAGAAACAAATCAGCGACATTCAACAGCTGCGAGTCACTATGCTGTGGAAGAGGCTACAACTTGGTGAAACAACGAAAAATTGAACGATGTAAATGTACATTTATATGGTGTTGTAGAGTGGAGTGTGCAGTGTGCACGATCGAAGACTATGTCAGTGTATGTAAATAAACTCGATGTACAAAGAAAAAATAAACACTAAATCTAAATAAACTAAAAAATAATAAGTAAATAAAAATGAAATAGTAGTTCATACATTGTAGTATGAAGTAGTTCCGAGATCCCAATAATGGGGCTCCAATTTGGGACACCCTGTACATAAAGATAAGGTCTATAAGTCTATCAAAAATCTATCACACTTTAAGTATTGTAAGAGATTAAAAAAAATGTTCTTCTGCATAATTATATTTATTGGAAATAAACAATAATACAATCAATGAATAGGCCAAACAAAACACAAGAGCTGTATCTGATTTGTTTATTGAAATTCAATAAGGTATTAATTCATTGGATAAAACAAAATGAACGTTGAATTTATTCAAACGGTTGCATTCTAGTGGTCTTTTACCAGACCGCGTAGTGTAATGGTAGCCTTATAAATAGGGATGTTCAAAAATATCGACATGTAAAATATCGATACACTTTTGCCAATAATTTTTATTATTTGTTTTGAATTATTATTTTTCAGATTCCATCTAAACTACTTAAAATTAAGTATTGAATAATGTGATAAAAAAAATCTGTGTTTATTTATAGCACAAAATTAACATATAGTCCTCATCATACAGAATTCTTTTTATTAGTTAGAGTTTTTGCTTTGATATACCGGGGGCGTCTCAAAAGTGGGTCACTCCTATAACTTTTTTATTTTTTCAGATAAAAAAACGAGATTTGGTATGTTAGTATATGACATAAATTAGGATTGATTGACGTATTCAATTGTTTTCGGTCACTTCCCGTTTCACCGGAAATGACTACAACTTATGAATTTTAAATGGCACCCTCCACATTTTTTTACTTTATTCGATAGAAAATGACACTCTGAATAGAATGACATATCATATGTCAACTTTTGACATTTTCGCATATGGTTTATTTGACATTGTAACCTGCGGTTCATAACGAAAATTTGACTCGAAATACCAAGTGTGTGGTATCAAATTATTCGTAACTGTGCCGTCTCTTAGACGGCCTCCTAGCTACAGAGTGTTTACGGAGAGTGTACTTGGAAGAAAATTATAATAAATCGAAAAAAATATTAAGACCTCCTGTGGCTACGAAAAATGAATCTTATTTTTACGTGAGTAATCTCCCCACGAGAGATGGCACATGTTTTTTAAAACACCCTGTATAATGAGGACTTTATTTTTAAACATATCGAAAAAAACGTATCGATATTTTTTCATTCGTAAAATTGCCCATCCCTAATAAATGTGTAAAGGCAGCTTTAGGACTACACTTAACCGGATTTATAGAATTTATAGACAATACGCTGCCGAAGAGGACATTAAATGTAAACTGTCTTATTACATGCTAATTTTAACTCGCCACATTAAAAAGTATAATTTCGTTCGGTACCTTAACTCTTCGTCCCATCTTATCCATTTAACTAGTAATTCTAACAGTGTGTGTAACATATTACTTTAATCTTTAAATCAGTATTATTTATTTATGATATTGTAATGTATTTATTTATTTATTCTGTGTTTTTAAAGTTAATATAACGTTGTTTAATAAATGAATATAGTAATTATAATATATTATTTTCTGGAAATGCAGTTTTATTTTTACCTCGTTAAAATAGCTGGTTTCTATTTAGAATATACAGGGTGCAAAAAATACAAGCAATCAGTTCTTTAAAAGTTGTGTAGGATGTAATTTAGATACGAATTTAAATGCTTTGCATTTTTTTTGATAAACCAAACCAAACCAAACCAAACTCGTTTGTGTTCTTTCCTTCTAAAATGTGGCTACCAAATTGCTTATTTTAAATAGAATACCCTATATATTTTTTAATTTTTAAAAGTCTAAACACATTTTCTATACCGGGTGCGTCTCAAAAGTGGCTCACCCCTATAACTCTTTTATTGTTTCAGATAAAAAAACGAGATTGGGTATGTTAGTATATGACATCAATTAGGAATGATTGACGTATTCAATTATTTTCGGTCACTTTCTGTTTCACCGGAAATGACTACAGCTTTTGATTATTAAATGACACCCTTGGTATTTTTTTACTTTATTCGATAGAAAATTGACACTATGAATAGAATGACATATCATATCTCAACTTTTGACAGATTCGCTTAAAAAATCATCCTATTTTAAATTTCAATCTAGAGCGCCATGGCTGTATTAAAAACACTAATTTTTAATCAAGAAGCCTTGGAAAAATAGATTTGATCGTCTAATGTTTATCGTATCTTGTCCTGGCCGGTTATAACATGCCCAAATCGTTTTTTTAATCATATATCAATTTTTTCAAATGGAACAAGGGTTGCTCATTAGCATATTTGGAAAAAGCTTTTTTTGCGAATAATTTGGTACCACACACTTGGTATTTCGAGTCAAATTATCGTTATGAATCCCATCTTATAATTTCAAATAAACTATAAAATGCGAAAATGTCAAACGTTGACATATAATATGTCATTCTAGTCAGAGTATCATTTTCTATCAAATAACCTAAAAAAAATACCGTGTGTCATTTAAAAATCAAATGTTGTTGCAATTTCCGGTAAAACAGGAAGTGGCCAAAAACAATTGAATACGTCAATCAATCCGAATTTATGGCATATACTAACATACAAAATTTCCTTTTTTTTATCTGAAAAAATTATAAAGGTGAGCCACTTTGGAGACGCACCCTGTATGTTTATCCATCTGGTTAATTATAAATATGAGAAACAAAGACCCAGCCACATTTTGGTGTCCTGATGGAGTAGAAAAATGAAAACCATCTCTTGTTATTGCCAATTATATTATAAATCTACTTCAGTTCCTTCTAGTATTAAGCCAGGACCCAACTCCATAGATACTGATTTGCTATTCAGCATGATGGATGATTTATTGTCATGGTTTTCCATGTCATTTTCCTTCTTTAAAGAAAAACGTCTTACTGCAGTTAAGGCTGCATTCACAGAATCCCTTCGTGTACCTAAATGAACGAGATAGGTAAAGTCGTAGAATTTGAAAAGTAAAGGTACGTTCAGGCTGAGAGCGTCGAGCGTCGCGTCGCGTTTGCGTCGCGTCCACCCCTTTGAACTCGAACCGCGACGCTCAGCGGACGCTAGCGCAACGCCAAACGCGACACTGTCTGCCTGAACGGTCTAATTTAAGTTAAGTGAATTGATTCCATTTCGACACGCGGACGCGACGCAAACGCGACGCAACGCTCTCAGCCTGAATGTACCTTTATTCTTGATGTACTAACTATAAAATTACCTGAATATCTTTTAAACGAATCCCTTTGATAATTGGTCTTGCGTAACATTCCTCTAAAGTTGTAAGGTGGTTCGTCCGAATCGCTGTCTCTTCTGAAATTAAAACCACAGATTAGAAGTTAAGAAAAAACTCAAAATTTTTGAGAGGATGCAGTCAATAATCACCACGTAGGCTAATAAAACTACTTTCTCAATTTGTCCAAAAATCAAAGATTTTCCTTAAGCTTTTTAACCAGGACACCTCAATGAACATCTAATGATGTCTCCTCAATGAACATCTAAGCTAAGAAAGAATGGCGAATGCAGATTCTGTGGGAAGAATGGAACAACACCAGAACGCCTTATCAATGAGTGCGCCGAGACGACAACCATTCGTGCTGTAAACTTTGGTATGACTGGTATCGAAGATGGAGAACTAACCTCTGTAAAACCGTCTCAAATACTAGCTTCTTTCAAAGCCCTGAGACTGTATAATGAGTAATAACTCAAGAAAGCGAGACAATATCCGACAAACTATATTTTTAATCCGTTTTGTACGTCGTCCGTCGAAATATGCCCTGATTACTTGGACAGACTATAGACTATATGGTACAATCAATATACTCTGTTTTTTTTCTCAGGTAAGATTTCGACAGACGATGACAGAAGAAAAGCAGATGACGTCCCATACCAATCTATTTATTTTACTAAAAAAAGTTTCTAATAATTTTTAAGTTATCTATGGATGGGTTTAAATATAAATCCGTCATGCGTCGTGTCTTGTTGTTTTTAACCAGAACCCACTGGTACAGACTTAATATACTCGAATTCCTTGTTTGCAGGGGTTGAATTTTTAGCAAACCCATTCTCATCAACTCTAAAATCATCTTGGAAGTTAAAAACCTACCTTTTTCCATTAAAATCAATTAGTTTTACCTAAATTTTTCATTAGTTTTCCCAGCAGAAACATTTTGTTTCTGAGTTTTAAAGTTTTTTGAATAAATTCCTTGATCGGTATCACTGTCGTTGCAGGGTTCTTTATCCATGACAGCCAAAGATTTTCCTGGATCTCTTACGTAAGGAAGTGAGGTCAGTTTATCATCGTTATTTTTATTAGATTCGGAATTTATGTTGGTTTGTCCTGATTTTTCTGTTCTCCATTTGTACGGGCTGTCCCAAGATTCGGTTTCAGAATTACCACTAAAAATCATATTTCGTCTTTGATTTTTTCCTTCATACAGAGTGTCCCATTTTAGTGTGTTTTACAGGGTTTCTCGTTTATGAGTACCTAGATATACAAAGATGCGGTTTTCACATCACTGTGTTTCTGTGTCCCAGAAATAAGTGCAAATATTTTAACTGGTAATATAGTTCAACCCCAGAAACACGCCTATAAGGGTTTTTTCGCGAAAAAAAAAATTGAAAATTCAAAATTTTTTGAAAAAAATTTTGAAAATTTTTTTAGTTTTTAGTTAAAAACCATAATTTCTTGATAATATGGCAACATAGGTATTAGATTAAATTTACAAGAAAGAAAATCCAGAAAAGATCCAGTGGTTCTCAAAATTTTAGCAAAAAATCATTTTTTTCGGAAATTTTCAAAGTAAAATAACTCCGTTATTTTGGCCTTATTTGAAAAACGATAAAGAGAAAATATGTTTCTTTTATCGAGATCTACCACCCCTTAAAATATTTGCACTTATTTCTGGGACACCCTGTATAGGGCAAATTTGAAAATGTTGCAATTTTCCACCCCCGTGAAAACTGCATCTTTGTATCTCTACTCATAAACTAGAAACCCCATAAAATATGACACGAAGATGGGACACCCTGTACAGGGTGTAATAAATTAATATAGTCTACAAAATGAATAACTTTGAATTTTGACCGTTATTTTTTACCAACATGGCAAATATAAAAGCCCTTTGTCCAAAAAGTTATTGATATTCTTTAAAATGAGTGCCTGAACGAATCAGATAGGTAACTCTTTTTACTTTCGTGAAATAGAAAAGGAAAATTATAAAACAAGTGACAGTTCTTCCTCTTCTTGCAAAAATCAACGCGAAATGTCATAATTGACAAAAGTAAAATGTCATCAGCCTTTGACATTTCTAAATATAAACCGTCTCTAATAGAACAGCCTTGGAGCGAGATTTATGACGTCACGCTAGTTAGATACCACGGATTAATAAATATGTTGTAGAATACACGGAAAACATAATTATTCCTCGTATTTTTGGTTTGTATTTTAAAAATGATATAGTTTACATGAACTATACATAATATATAGTAATAAATACTTTGGCAAATAAACTATGAACCATACAAATGCATCAAATGTTTTACAATATACAAATAATGAATAGGTACATAAGATAATGGGTAAAATGTAAAATATATTTTAAATTTTGGGCTTTGAATATCGATCTAATTTAACAAAAAACATTCAATATCTACTAATAGTGATGTATTATTATTTGCATTCACAAAATTTATATGTATATTTTGCAAGCATCAATGTGCGAAAAATTATATTTGCAAATAATACAATATCATAGAAAAAAAGGCATCAGCGATGGCTATGAAATGAAGATCGCTGTCATTTTATATGTAAAATTTTCTAAAATTTTTGATTTTTGGGATTTAGGTTCGGGAAAACGCTGATTAAGTTTGCATTTGGTTTTCATTATTTTTTGGTTTAAAAAAACGTTACAGCTAACGTTTATAGCCTTCATCAGTGCTGTGTCATATGAAAAAATGTCGAATGTAAATGTGTCGAATATAATCCAAAAATTACATATACGAGGAATGTTTTCCGTGTATTCTACAACATAATTAATCCGTAGTATCTAACTAGCGTGACGTCAGAAATCTCGCTCCGAGGCTGTTCTATTAGAGACGGCATTGCATCAGCATGGCCCGCAAGTTGCTAACCTAATAAAACTAACACTAGAAAAGCCCGCGGGAACTGTCAAATTCAAAGTTATTCGTTTTACAGACTATATTAAATATTATTATAATATAATAAAGTTCAGATATTTAAATATATTTAATTATTATTTTTATCTAAAAATCTCATTGTAAGGACCATATTTGTCCCAAATTTAATTGGGCTTGATTTATGTAGCACGACTGCTTTAATTCAATTAAAATTAGGTCATGTACAGGGTGTCCCAAATTGGAGGGTTTTCATTAGAATGTTTTTTTACTTACCGAATGTTTGTCAAAGGATCGCACATGGACGATGTATCGAAAAATGGAATTTCATCTAATCTAAAACTTATTTTAACAACAGTGGGCTTACTATCGCTAAACCAAGTTGACTCTTGGGCCTTATTGTCTATAGTTTTTAAATCTACCGGGTCTTGGATCTTCCTACATTGATAAAAAGCATTTTGGTTATATAAATGAACCTAGAACATGTCATTAATAAGATAAAATTAAATCAAGTTAATGATTCTAATCAAAGAAATTTACCTGTTGGGAAAAATTATAAAAATCTCTTAGCTTAGCGCCTCTATACTGCAACAAAACGTAAAACATACTTTTGTTTTTCCATTTTTTAGCGAATGGAGCTACAAACTGGGCATCTTTTTCTGTTAGTGCTGGGTAGGCTTCAGATAACCGTCGCCTTGTATTCCTCCTGTACGCTAAAATATTTCTATCCGTAAAAAAAACAACAAATTGAACCTGTCCACCTTCAGAAAATATTTTTTTTATAAAAATTAAGGACCCAGAGCACGATTTTTAAATTCATTGTTGCCAACCATGGACACATTCGGCGCCGTGCTGACTAACTGGAATTTAAATTTCATGCTGGAGATTCAGGTGGTAGCTCTGCTGTAAAAACTGTCAAGTTGCCGTATTTATTTATTTATTTTCTGACATTGACATTCGTTTTGACACTTTAGTTTTGTATTACGTGTGTTTGGTTTAAATGAAGTGTGTTGTGATATTTTAAGATTAAAAAATTTTACTGACAGACCTTGCAGTCGAACAATGTTCTTTTTAGAACCTCTTTTAGTGTGAAATGTACAAGATAGCTTAATAGCCGTAAAAAAATCATTGCAACTTTATTAGAATATTTTGAACGGGAAAGCGGAAGTAATGGCCCTTTATGTCCCTTAAGTGCTATTAAGAAGGTGAGTTTTGTTGATGTAAATAATCTGTTTATAAACTTACGTGCATAAAAATCGGCCCACTGTGAACTTTTGGTTTTAACTGTGTCTTTTAGAATCTATTTATCATGGTAAGTAAAAAATATGAGCTGTTTCAAAGACAATTTAACATGCTTTAATATGAGCATAAATTTATTCAGGGTACTTATCGTTTATATGCGTACCAACGGGTCAACAAATAAAAGGTATTTGTGTTGTGGTGATAATAAGAATAACAAACTTGTCAAATATTGCAATTACTGCCTTTGTAATCGAAATTTTCACATTGTTCTTTTATTCTTTGATTAGTTGTGTTTCATTGTTTGATTAGTTGTGTTTCATTGTTTGATTAGTGTTTCAATTTAATGCATACATCACCGGAAAAAGCCGCCCAAGTATTCGCTTTAATCGAAAATAGACTTAAACAGAGAACTGTAGCTCGGCAACTACATATGACACGCGGAGCGGTTCGAAGAGTGTGTGAACTAGAGATGGGCAAAAGTAACCGGTTTTTTGAATAACCGGTATTTTCCTCTAAAATAACCGGTTATTTAAAGGTAGTTTTTTTTTCACCAGTTAACCTAATAACCATGCATTACGTTCAATAACCTATAGCCGGTTATTTTTTAAAAAATCGTACTTATTTAAAACAAGTAACAATTAAATATTAGCTGTTTGAATGGTAAATTTCGAAGAAGCGAACGGCACGGATCTTCCAGATATTACGACGATAACGGGAGATCCCGCTCCCGCTCCCAAAACGAAAATATATGTCATCAAACATCAAATGTCAAAATTAAATCAGGCATCAGGCGAACCCTGATGATAATAATCAAAACAACGGCCGAATGGCCCTGACAGGTCAGGCCGTAAAACAAAGTACTAATGGCATAGACTACTACTAGCCACCAGCTAGGCAAGTGATACGAACCTAACTTCAAATAGATTCTCTAAATTCTATATTTAAATTTTTACCGACTTTAACGGATTTTCAACGGTTCTTCAAAAGTTTTCCATGGTTTCGCCCAGTTTCACCCACGTTTCACCGTAAATATATTTTATTTGTAGTTTGAAGTCTCTCTTGAAGCTTAGACTAAAGAATACAAAATTGAAGTTCAAGTAATGAATGAAGATAATCTTTCATTATCTATTCATTCAGTCTCCTTATTTTTCTTTGGTATTTGATTAAAATAACTTGGTTGTAGATTGTAGAACTTGTGAGTTGTGTGGTTTATTTGAACGTTAAGTAATTACTAGTTTTAATATCATATCCATGTCTACTCAAAAAGTGAGGTTAGCATTTTTATTTAAATTCATTTTGTACATATACATACTTACATTGCTACAATCTCTATTTAATCATGCGATTTAACTAAGTTTATTATCTAAATTTGAAGTAGACCTATGAAGTGTAGAGGTAAGTAAACCTATAGGAAAACTAAATATTTAGTTTTGCTAGGTTAGGTTATTTGAATAACCGGTTAATTTGTGTCGGTTAATTTTGTCAAGTTATTATTTTTTAAAGATAATTCCGGTTAACCTATAACCGGTTTTTTACCAATAACCGCCCATCTCTAGTGTGAACGATATGAGGAGACTCGATCCTTTCGTAGTCGCCCTGGAACTGGTAGAAAGAGATATACAACGGATCGTGATGACCGCTTTATTGTGTCAACAATGTTAAGAAATCGGCGTCTTAATGCTATTCAGGTGCAACAACAGCCCCGTGAAACACGAGGAGTGACTATTAGTCAGTGGACAGTAACACGAAGATTGAAGGAAAGTAACATGACCCCCAAAACACCCGCAATTGGTCCAAAACTTACCCCAGCTCATCCTGCGTTTTGCACTGGAACATCTGAATTAGACACTAGAACAATGGGAATCTGTTTTATTCTCAGATGAGACCAGGATATGCCTCTATGGTAGCGACCAAAGAAGAAAAGTGTACCGGAGGCCAGGTGAGCGATTCGCAGAATGCTGCATTGAGGAGCGGATTGCTTATGGAGGTGGTTCCTGCATGATCTGGGACGCAATTTCTATGACTGCGCGAACCGACCCAGTTTTCATCCGTTGGGGCGACCGTCGCGTCGGCACGGGAGAGGAGGTTTAACTGGTGCTAGGGATATTGAGGAGATTTTAGCAATTCATGTGGTACCTTACGTCGACTACATTGGAAACGAATTCACTTTTATGCATGCCAATGCGCAGGCACACACATCAAGAATCGTACACGATTACATTTCAGAAGTCGGATTTCGGGTTATGGAATGGCCAGCGTGCAGTCCAGACTTAAATCCGATAGAACATTTATGGGATGAGCTAAAACGAAGAATTCGTACTAGACGAAGAGCCCCAACTTCTATCCCAGAGCTCATTGTTGCAGTAGAGGAAGAGTGGCTTAACATCCCGCAAGAAACAATAATATTTGCACTTATTTCTGGGACACCCTGTATAGGGCAAATTTGAAAATGTTGCAATTTTCGACCCCCGTGAAATCTGCATCTTTGTATCTCTACTCATAAACTAGAAACCCCATAAAATATGACACGAAGATGGGACACCCTGTACAGGGTGTAATAAATTAGTATAGTCTATAAAATGAATAACTTTGAATTTTGACCGTTATTTTTTACCAACATGGCAAATATAAAAGCCCTTTGTCCAAAAAGTTATTGATATTCTTTAAAATGAGTGCCTGAACGAATCAGATAGGTAACTCTTTTTACTTTCGTGAAATAGAAAAGGAAAATTATAAAACAAGTGACAGTTCTTCCTCTTCTTGCAAAAATCAACGCGAAATGTCATAATTGACAAAAGTAAAATGTCATCAGCCTTTGACATTTCTAAATATCAAACCAATACCGTCTCTAATAGAACAGCCTTGGAGCGAGATTTATGACGTCACGCTAGTTAGATACCACGGATTAATAAATATGTTGTAGAATACACGGAAAACATAATTATTCCTCGTATTTTTGGTTTGTATTTTAAAAATGATATAGTTTACATGAACTATACATAATATATAGTAATAAATACTTTGGCAAATAAACTATGAACCATACAAATGCATCAAATGTTTTACAATATACAAATAATGAATAGGTACATAAGACAATGGGTAAAATGTAAAATATATTTTAAATTTTGGGGTTTGAAAATCGATCTAATTTAACAAAAAACATTCAATATCTACTAATAGTGATGTATTATTATTTGCATTCACAAAATTTACACGACTTACACGATTACATTTCAGAAGTCGGATTTCGGGTTATGGAATGGCCAGCGTGCAGTCCAGACTTAAATCCGATAGAACATTTATGGGATGAGCTAAAACGAAGAATTCGTACTAGACGAAGAGCCCCAACTTCTATCCCAGAGCTCATTGTTGCAGTAGAGGAAGAGTGGCTTAACATCCCGCAAGAAACAATATCAAATTTGATCGAATCTATGCCAAATCGTATGAGAGATGTTGTTAGAGGAGGTCATACCCATTATTGAAAATTTAGTTTAATTAATTGTCAATAAATAAATAAATAACATACCTCTTAGTAATAAAAAACGATAATTTGTTTCATGCAGTAATTTAATAATTTTAATTCAAAGAAACCAAAATACAAATTAATATCTCTAAACACTTTTCAAAGAATATGAAATTGTCTTTCAAACAGCATGTATTTTTTCTTAATCTGACAAATAGATTCTAAAAAATACATAATTAACTTTAAAATTTTGCCTTGGGCCGATTTCTATGCACGCAAGTGTATATTTATAATTAATTTATTTTTCTTTCCTAAAATATTTTGATTAAAAAAAAATATATAAAAGTGGACAACGCTGTGCCGGTCAAACTTAATCACGTGACTAAAAGTTTATTTGGTGTGAACTGTTGTTATACCGTATGATCGTAAAAAACGGCGTCCAGTTAGCTTGTAAATGACGATCGATTTCCCATATAATTTTACATATAAAATCACATCGCTGACGCCTTTTTTTTTTCGATGATATTGTACAAATCCAAAGCAAAAAAAATTGAAAATTTGACCGTAGATGGACAGGTTTAGAAGAATAAATACAATAATTTTACCTTTCTGGATAATTTCAGCTGCTTCTTCTTGAGTTAAACTGTTACTGCGTCTTCTTCTTTGAATCTCCTCAACTACTAAAATCAAAATTAATATTGTTTCATCGCTATATACTTTTAAATGTCATTAAAAAAACTTTGTTACCAAGAGAAAAATATTTAAAGTTCAGAAGTCTCTATAAATATATATTTTTTGTATCAAATACAACTTACCGCATGATTTCCTTCGTTCCTTTGCTTTCTTGGCTAGTCGACATTTGGTTAAGAATCCTCTGAAAATGCTTTGAATTTTAACAATTTTCTTTACTTGGGTTTCGTACAACCGAGTTAAATATTCCTCGTTGTAGTACTTCAAGAAAACCTTCGATTTTCCCATCGCCCAATCTTCCATCTTGAGCCTGATCAACAATAATCGACAGTTTTCTTTGGTGACATCCACATTTTCATCAAATTCAAAAGCCAAAAACTGGTACCTGAAATAAAGATTTTTTTACTAAATTAGTACATTCATTTCAAGTTAGTACCTTCTCAAGAACTCTGAAAAAATTATACGTTGAGGATAGCCAGACTGTCTTATTCTAGCTGTTTCTTTGACTGCCAAAGCTTTGACTTGCTGTCGTACCAACTCAGTGTGAAAACTGTCTGGATTTCCTTTAAGATCCGATTTAATACATCTAAAAAAATAATTTTCCAATTTTCATTTTATTACATGAAAAACGGAATAAAATGGGAGAGATTTACCTTACAAAATGTGTTCCTCCAGAACTGTCTCCAACTGATAGTTCTTTTAACAAATCCAGACACAGATATCTAAAGACTGATCCAGAAGTTCTCATGTTTTTAGTTTGGGAAAATTGATTAGAACGAGTTATCTGGAACAAAATAATATTAGAAAAATAATACCATAAAGTAACGTACAAGAAAACATATCAAACACTTGTGACGTTTTTATTTCATTACATTTTATGCAGTATCAAAAAAAAACATGAAATTTATTAAACTAAGAAAAATATTTTAAAAAAATTCTTACCTTTCTAGCTTCTTGTTTGGATTTAGTTCTTGTGGCTTTCTTGAAACTCAAAATCAAGTTTCCAGTCTTGTTTAGTTTGTTCGAAAACAAAGTTTTGATAATTGAATTCTCAGACTCTCTCATAGTTTCGATAACTTCAGGCGGCAAAAAATCTCGGTTTTTATCGGCAACTTCCTTGGCAGAATAAGATACTGTTCCTGTATAATGAGCTACCGAAAATTCTTTACTGTTTGAAAGTTGAACTCTTGTAAATTCTTGGCTCTGTATATTTTCTAAAATATAATGAAAAGAATAAGAATCTTTATTTAAATTATTTAGATCAATATGACATGATTGTTTACAATTGTCAACAAGTGACATTTCTGTTGGTTGGATTTTGTTTAACAGTAGTCGTCATGGCTGGTTATGATGTGTAATTTGTAGGCATATAGGGTATATTAGCCAAATTGAAAAAAAAATCGATATCAAATTAATAAAGGTGTTTTTGAAAAAACGTTTCGTTCAAAAAGTCGGTTGGTATTTTTAATTATTGCGCATCCAAACCAAACCAAAACAAAAACTGTTTATACAGGGTATGTCACGGAAGAGTAAATAACATCAGCTTTCTTATTTTTAATACAAAACCCATATTTACATAATATTTTATAAATAAAGTTAGAATGGCACTGATAAACCGGAAATTTAGTCGGACATATTAAACCCTCAATTATTAGCTCCCTCTAAGTTTTTTGATATGTTCTCATTCCTTAAATTTTTCATTCAGAATTCATTTCATCAAATTTTTAGTTAAAATACATAATGTCTTGATAATATGGCAACATAAGTAATAGATTAAATTTACGAGAAAAAAAAAACAGAAAAGATCCGGTGGTTCTCAAAATTTAAGCAAATTTTATTTTAAATTTTTACAATAAAGTAACTCGGTTATTTTGGACATATTTGAAAAACGATTAAGAGAATATATATTTCCTTTATCAAGATCTACCAGCCTTGAAAATATTTGCACTTATTGGTATAATAAAAAATTTCCAAATTTTCCACCTATATTCCAGGAACGTTTATTAGTAAAAGTTCCCAAATTATACTCAAATTCTCTTACCCATAACATATCTTCCATCCAAATTCTTCTTCGAAGCATCATCAATAATACTCAGCAAACCATACGGTTTACTCAGCAACTGATTCAACGTATCTTTATTATCAAAGTAGCTGATCGGCTCATACTCTACGTCTTCCATCTTAACATCTTGTAGTTCCCAGGCAAAGACTCTTTGAAGATAATGAAACTGAAGTTGTTCATTGAAACAATTCACGAAAAATTGAGGCAAATGGTTTTGTTTGAAGCATTCGAACCCAAAGAAGTCTAGCAGTTTGATAATGTATTTATCACCACTAGAAAATAAAACAAAATAAATATACCGGTTTTTGCTTTTTTAAGTTTTTTAAAGTCATACAATATAGCTTTTCCCATTTCTAGTTTGTCATTGATCACTTCGACGATATAATCAACAAATCTACTGTAAAGATTATTGGCCAGAACATCCCTGATATCTCTTGCTTCGTCTGCGGTGGTTTTCTTTCTGATAATACTTCCTAAAAGAGAAAACAAGATAGAAAAAGTGCGAAGTCTCGTAACATAATTCTTCCTCTACAAAAAGTTATGAGAACACTGTTTTTATTAAGATACTTGGCCACATATCTAGGAAAACCAACAGCCTAGAAATCGAAGTGTTAGAAATATGATTATATAAACAAAGAATTGGGTATCTTTCTTCGTATGTACGACGAATTCGTATCGGAAAGGTTCTGTGTTTTTATTATTTAATTGCTCTAAAAGTAGATTATTCTTTGGTATGATTTTTTACCTCTTTTAACAAGACAGTAATTGGTCATAGCCCATCTAAGTTTTTTCTCGTCAATTTCCATCAAGTCTGCAAATTTTTCAACGTATTCTCTGTTCTCTACGATGGACGATGAGTCTTCAGAGTCTTCTTGAAAACGTATTTCACCTAGACACAAAATACTATACCGGGTGTTCTATAAAAGTGGCTCACTCCTATAACTTCTTTATTTTTTCACGCAAAAAAAGCGAGATTTGGTATTTTATTCTATGACATAAATCAGGATTGATTGACGTTTTCAATTATTTCCGGTCACTTCCTGTTTCACCGGAAATGACTACAACTTCTGATTTTTAAATTTTACCTTTTTACTTTAACTGATAGAAAGGTATATTATTTTAAATACAGGGTTGTTCACCACATACGACACGGAGTATTGTAGCTAAACGATTAGATTTTTACAAATTGTAAGTTTCGGGTTCGTTGAAGGACTATTAGAGCTACAATTTAAAAATATTTTTACAAGATACAGGGTGTCCCAAATAAGTAAAAAATATTATAGTTATTTTTTTTAAATGAAACACCTGTATATTATTCTATTTTTAGTTTCTACGATTGAAATAAAGGTAAATTTGATTAAGGTTTATCACACTTAAATCTTACCGTTTATGAAATATTTTCAATTTTATGAAATTGCAGTAAAAATTTTGTTTGAACAACCCTGTAGAATAACATAATATGTATACTTGTGACATTTTTACTTAAAAAATAGCATTTTAAGTTTCAATCTATGTAGAGAGTGATGGATCTGATCTTAAAGAAAATTTGACTCGAAATAGCAAGTATTTAGTACCATTATTCAAAAGTTCGTTTATTTATCTAAAAAAAAAATATAGGGAGGAGCCGTTATTAAATAAAAAAAAATATTTTCTGAAACTCATTCAGCCTTTTTTACCACTAGTCATATTTTGTTAATAAGTTTTAAACTTGCCTAAGTTCAAAATAGCAGAAACAATAGTAAAAACAGTAAATATCTGTTCTTCCGAAAATTCGAACTCTTCCAAATAACTAAATATCTTCTTGTATTTAATAACATTTTTATCGATGTTGTCCCTTGGCTTATTTCTGTCCTGATTCTTTTTCGAGTCCTCCGGTATACGTAAATACCTGTATTTTCTTTCTGAGTCCAGTTTGTATTTGTCGGTAGCGTCGATACTTCGCAACCCATCATAGATGTAGTACAATATATGAAAGTTTGAATGATCCCTGGAATATTTTACGAAAATGAAATGCAATTAAGTATTTTTTTAATTTAAAAATGATTACATATCGACTGAGGAAACTCTCCATTTTTCCAGGAAGTGTACTTTGAAGCTTGCTGCTGTCAATTTACCAGTTTTTCCATAAAATATTGTAGTTTTTAAGACAGATCTAAAAAATTAGTATACAGGATGGTGCATCGTGGTTGGAAACATAAGAAGAAAACAAACCGAATCACCTAAAGATCACTTAAGCAAAAAAGGTTACAAGACAACGTTTATTCGACGTCGCAGAAGCTTTTACTTTGTTGTAGTACTAGTTCAACGTCGGCACAACGTTACTACAACGTTTACATTTATTTTAATACCTAAGGTACAGAGCTAACTATTTTTTGTAACCAACGTTGCGTTTAGTAAACATGTGGTCGCAAGTCGTGCAAACGCTACTATACTATGTAACTATAGTTGGGTAACTAGTTGTATAAAAAACAACAAATAAAGTTGATATGAAATGATGAAATGAAGGATCGATTTAACTGTCAAGACTTTCGACGAATCGAGGAAATACAAATCGAATTAAAACGTTATTTCTAAGCTTACCATGACGTTGTTTCTTTTAGAAAAAAATACCTACCTTGTTGAGTAAGTGTTTGATGGAGTGCTGGCATGTATCAAGGCATGTATCAATTTTATACCGTTTTTTATTCGAAATATATTGATCGGATCTTGGTGACCAATAAAAAACAAGTGATCAATTGCATGAAGGTAGTTTGTTGTTTTTCCCGATCCTGTCTCACCTGAAATAAAAAAAAATTTAGTTTCAAAAATAGCATTTTTAATAGAATTTTTAGATTTTTTTTAATGGTGTATAATACTTTGAATATGAAAATATCACCCTGGTCCATATCCCCAATTGATCATTATGGTTGCTTTGTAAAATATGTTTTAAATATCTAAGATAACTTATTACCTGTAAAAACAATATACTGTGGAACGTTATGATGTAAAGCATTTTGATATGCTGAATCAGCAATCGCATAGATGTGAGGAGCGTTATCTGATGTTGACTTGCCCAAGTACTTCTTGTGCACCTACAAAAATCAAATTATAAATCTGAAATTTTGTAACAATACAAACACTGTAACTCAATTTTTTTTTAATTATTTAAAAATATAATATAATCATACTTCATCTCCGTATATATTTATTTTTTTGTTGGGATTCAAACAAATCAATATATCTCCAATAAAACTATATATCTCGTCTTTCAAAAATCTTCGTTCCATAGTCTTCAAAACGGTTTTTTCATTTATAATAAGCAGATCTGCCAAATCTTCTTCTAAAATTTCCTCTAAATCGTTTGAAGTTGATGTTTTTATATATTTGCCCAAAACAGTTATCTCGGGATCATTCGTTTTGCAGTGTTGATTTCTGACATCTTCAATCAGTTGCTTTATTTCGAGTCCTAACTAATATTAAATAAGATAAATAAAAAAATAATTAGTGGAAATAATAAAAATAATAAAGTACTTACGTGATAGTTTTGTTCAGGAACTGCCTGTAAGTATGGGTGTTCGATGAGCTCAATGATGTAAGGTCTGTGCTCAAAGTTTTTAACAAGACATCTAAAATTGTGTATGTATTATACAGGGTGGTCCGGCTTGTATTCCGGAAACTTCGGCAGCATATTCTGCAGATAAAAATAAGTAAAAAAGTTCGTAAAAATTTATGTCCTAAATATATATGCTTATAGTTTCGGAGATACAGGGTGTAGAAGTTTCATTTTTACTCCCCTCTATACCATCCGTGTATTAATGGATATGACTAAGAAAGTCCTTTAAGAAGATTTAAATGTGAGTAACATATACAAGTTGTTTGTTAAATTTTTGAAATTTTTTTTTTATTGTATTTTGCTCTCTTAACTTTGTAGTGTCCTGAAGATGCAAATAAATTTTGCGAAACGTCGACAAATTTAAAACAAAGGACTTCCGTTGATTTCTTTCGATCCTAATCCAATTAAAAAAAACACACATTATATATTATTGGATCGACAACAATAAAAATTGTTTTAATATCATTTTTTCGAAAAAAAAAATTATGATTAATTTAAAAAAATAAAAAGCTACCAAATTTATAATTTCAGTCAAATAACTATCTACTCAACATGTTTATTTTTTGTCACTAAAGACGCGTATTGATTATTTCCATTCTAACTATCTTGAGATCGGTTGCTCGTAGTGATTTTTACCAAGAGACATTTTTTACGTAAAAGATCACGGAAATGTATATTTTTTGACTCAGTAGTTTTATACAGGTACGAACGAAAAATTATTACTCTCCAAAACAGTTAAACCTCATGTACGTGGCGCACCGTACAAATAAGAGTCATATTGACATCAAAATCAAATTTATCCTGTCAAAAAACTCCCAGACATCAACTTTCATCCAAATATTGACGTTACTGCAGAAATTATTTGGAAAAAATCGAAATAAAAATGAAACTTCTACGCCCTGTATCTCCGAAAGTAAGAATTTTAGGACATACATTTACAGGAACTATTTGACTTATTTTTATCTGCTGAATATGCTGTTGAAGTTTCCGGAATACAGTTCGGACCACCCCGTATACTGGATGTCTTTTAAATAAGTGCCGCAGAAATACGGCAATCTTTTTTTTTTTTTGAAAAAAAATTGTGGTTGTGTTAAAAAATTGTGGAAATTATTTCTTTTTTAACAAACTCGATGTAGAAATTTAAGAAATTAGAACTATATTGAAAATACTAACTCGTTAATGAAATCATAAAAACCTTCTTCCCAATAGGAAATCTTTTCCAAAGATGGTGGAGGATTCTTTATTATTTGATTCAAAGCTCTGGATGGATGCATGTTCAAAAAAGGCGTTTTTCCTTCACCTAGTTCGATGGCTGTTATTCCTAAACTCCAAACATCAACTCTAAAAAAAAATGTTTCTTAAGAGTCTTAAGACCAATCCAAACTATGCGTTGATGCGTCGATACGAACCGCATCAGACCACAGTGAGTACGGAGTTTTAAGAATATTATTTTTTTTAAGGCGAATAACCTTTAAACTTTTTTGTAATAAAAAAACTCTCTGAGAATTTTTCATCTCAATAAATTATATTAGCAATATATTTTCATAGAAGACGCTAAAATCAGTATCACCATTATTTATTGGTGATCGCCTCACCGATTATCGTAATATCCACCATCAACCTCCTTGATGTTTGCTGTTACCACTTCTGGAGCCATCCAGTATGGTGAACCTACGCATTCCCTTAAAACGTCGTCTTTCTCGTTGAGTCTTTTCGCCAAATTGAAGTCGCACAGTCTCACCTCACCTTCACGAGTGAACATGATATTCCTAGCCTTGATATCTCGATGAATGATGTTGTTATCGTGAAGGAATATCACAGCCTAAAACATTAGTAGAGTTTCGTTATTTATCAGTTATGTTTACAATAATTTTCTAAAACTTCTGAGAATGTTATTATATTTTTTGGAACGTATTTGTTTTTCGAACAAAATGTTTATTAAAATGTAATTTACTAGTATTTTTTGTTAAGTTTCTTACCTTGACAATTTCTTTCAAAATATAAGCTATATGTTCTTCCGACAGTTTACGGTTCCTTTTTATCAAATTATACACTAAATTCAGTGCAGTGCCTCCATCACAATTCTGCAATAAAAATATTATTTTTGTTAAATACTAGACATTAGTTGACATTAGTAAAGTTACTCACATCTAGAATGAACCACATGTCACCATTCTTTTGATAGGCTCCATGAAAAGTTGGAAAATGTAGTGGGTTTTCCAGAGTTTTCAGAACTTCGTATTCTTCTTCTATAAACATTCTTGTGACTTTGTTGTATTTCTGTACTTTTACAGCTACTGTTTTCTGATCCGATTCATTGTCAACAGCTGAGTAACTATACAAAATTGTGTTTTTGACAAAATGGTGAAGGATATTATTACAAAAATTATAATTTATTATTTTTCCTACATCCAAATTTGATGCCTAAAGTTATACAATAAATTTTATCCACGACTCATCTATAATTTGATTATTATACATGAGTTTATGAAATTACACCATTACGAAGAAACAATGTTAAAATTCCCTCATTTTTCTGCTCTAAAATTCGATTTAAAAATTTGAAGTTTTCAATGTTATTTTTGCATTCATCTATGGGTGGTTTCAAAAGTTGTTTTTTAAAAATAAAAACATATTAATATTATCTAAAATTTTTTTATAGTCCTGGATAATATATATATAGGATAATAGGATAATTTTTTTATAGTCCCCAAATAATAACAGCCACCATTATATGCTCGTTGAATAATATACTATATTATGGTATTTATTTATCATTAAACACCAATGAAATGAGTAATGTGATAAACCAATTTTATGATCAAACATTCTTTGTATGATTGTATGATCTCCATTTGATTACTAGATAATCTTTAATAAGTATAATCAAATTATATTTTTTTGTACTTACACTTTGCCAAATGTTCCCTGGCCCAGTAAATCTTGCAGGATGTATCTGGAACCCGGATCAGGAACATCGGCCATCTTTGATTTCATTTTCTTAAATTTGAACTTTAAAATTTCGAATCAAAATAACTGAAGTTTCTAAAATATTAAAATAACTATCAAATAACAAATTTTTATGAAATTGAAAATAATGTCAAATCGGAATTAAATAAATTATACGATTAAAACACATTTATAGATGAATGTGTTGTAGTGTAAAAATCCCGGGATCCCGGTGTATGTTTATCTCCGAAATCCCGATATTAAATCCCAGGAGCCCAAAAATCTCGAAAAATTTAAATGCCCAATCTAAAATGATTCGAATTTATATACTTTAGTCTTTCAAAGATCATATTTTATTTATACTAAGTTGTACGTCAATATCTAAATTTCTTTAAGTTATATTTCCCTGTTTGCTATATTATTTCATTTTTTTTGCAACAAGAATTATTGTATTTTTTTACTTTTACTAAATATGAATGTTACTTTGTTTTGTTCTGTTTTAATAAAGCTCTTTCCTTATTTTCTTTTTAATATACAGGGTGGTCTGAACTGTATTCCGTAAACTTGGGTAGCATATTCTACAGATAAAAATAAGTAAAAAAGTTCGTATAAATGTATGTCCTAAAATGCTTAGTTTCGGAGATACAGGGTGTAAAAATTTAATTTTTATTTCAATTTTTTTTTCGGGAATGCAATTCGGACCACCCTGTATGTAGCTGCATTTTTATTGATTAAGTATTCCCCCAGTTTGTGGTATTTCTTAAATTAAATTTCTCATTATGATAGTCAATTCCAGGATTTCGGAATCCCGGGATTATAGGTTCTTATCCCGGGATTTCAAACCGAGATCCCGATCCCGAAAATTGGAAACCCTATGCGTGATTAATTACTTCTCCCTGATATTATAGCCATCGTCTGTTTTTACTACTCTGAACCGCGCTTCTTTCACATCGTTTCGCATAGTTCTCATCACACCGAGATGGCAATGACTAATTGGCGCGCCATCTTTTGAGTAATTGCCTCGATTTGCGTCAGTTAGGAAATCGTTTCGCTAGCGCATAATTGCCATGATTTTTCCATTACCGGTGCGATCAGGGAAATTAGCATGGTGCAAATGGAGCGCTTATATCGTTACGTAACGCTAGGAATGTCCCCTAGAAGCACTTGTATCTCCTCGAAACTAGAGAGAATTTATTAAAACTGCTTCATGTAAGGACGATTCTGTGTGACACTAAATGCTTGCCACCGATTGTTAATTTGAAAAAATCTTTGATTTTTTTAATGTGTCATAAGAATTTGCGAAGGTTTGCAAAGAATTGCGAAGGTCAGTGGCGTATAGGTACAGCTCTATCAATCTAAAGGTTGTAGGTTCGAAAAGTGGATAGTTGTGAGATGGCCTTTCGGGAATAACAGATATGTGCTTGCGGATTAAGCAAACGGATTCAAAAATGAATAAAGAAGGAAGCAGAGTCAGTATTTTGAAATTTTTTAAAGAAATTCTAGCAGTGAGTTCTACTGTTCAGTCCCAATAAATATCGAACTGCTCTCTTTTGAAGTTTGAAAATACGATCAAATTTTGTTTCGCAGCAAGTACCCCAGAATGGAAGGGCATAACGAAGATGTGACTCAAAAAGGGCATAATAGGCTATTCTAGAGGTTGATAAATTAAGTTCCTTAAAAACTGATCTTAACGCAAAACAAGCAGCGCTTAGTTTCTTCGCTAATTTCACAGAGTCCACGACGTCAATAATGGTGGTGTTATTAAGTACAAAAGGTTGTATAGTACTTTTATATGACAAAACTTTAGTTTCTGATAGGTTGAGGCATAGGAGATTAGAATCGCACCAAGATTTAATGATCTATATAGTATATTATATAGTACCGTAACATCTGTGCCGCTCCATGTGAATAGTACTAATACAAAACAACAAATAAATTAAGAAATTAATTAAAAAAATATTACTTGTTAACAAAAAAATTATTAAATATATTGAATGCTAAAATACCTTATAATTGCGTAGAATTATTTCACTCTCTAAATTATAAGTATTACAGTTATAAATTATATACACACGTTCACATTTTAATTAGCACACAAAATTAACTCGAATTTATTACACGTTACATTTTTGCAAACCTTTTTAAAGCTACTACATAGTTTTTTAATGGTCTCTGGCAAGTCGCAGTTACTTTTTTTAAATCCCTTAATAGAATTAGAACGTCTAACAGGATTTTACACAATCCTCGTGCTATAATCAATACGGAGGTAAATTATAGGTGAATATATAATTCAATCCAGAAAAATTTAGTTTAATTTCCAGAAAAGTTTAGTTTAAGATCTAACGGTTCTAAAAATTTAAGCAAAAAACATTTTTTTTGTAAACTTTCAAAGTAAAATAACTCGTTTATTTTGGACTTTTTTGAAAAAACGGTAAAGAGAATTTATGTTTCTTTTATCGAGATCTACTAGCACTGAAAACAATTGCACTTATTTAAGACTCACCCTGTAGAACATTTAAAAGATTAAATACTATTTAATTCTAAAAATAAGTTTGAATCACCCTGTATAAAAAAATCAAATATGCTATAGGTACATTATTATTAATTAATACAAATTTCAAATAATTGCTTGAATGTAAAATTTTAGAGTTAGAGAAAAAAGAGACACTTCCTATATGAAATAAAAATAGCTCAGAATTATAACACTAAGTAGGTACTTTCATTCTGACAAACGGGAAATAATCAGTAAATATCATCAATTAATTATAGATAAACGACATTTCATATCCCAATCAACTTAATTACTAATTATTTCTGCAAAGTATCAAATGAGTCAAAAACATACAAAAACAGAAAATAAAAATACTCGAGACAATATTGTTATTAGCGTTCAATAAACTATTCGCTGGAAGTAATTTTTTAATGATTCAGCTGGCGGTTTTTCCTTATCGTTCATATGTTTCCGCTCTTTTTGACGAACGCAACGAGAATAACTAAATTTATAAAACTAGCCAGTAAACACGAGTACCACAGTACGAATGTCGCCGCCACTCGCGATGTAAAATCAATGACATCGACTGACTAGTTTTTGAATGTGTAAACAATGCTTTAAATCGAGAAACAAGCGCTATTGTTTATGTTTATTTTCGTTTTTGCTCAAGAAAAGTGATTCAAAATGGACTGTTTTGATAGTTGTGTAAAGTGTTTGGTGTTGTTTTTAGTGTTAACTAATATAGAATCAAGTTTAAGTCAAAACTGTCAGTCTAAACAGACTTGCGGACAGTGTATACAGGAATTAGGGTGTTTCTGGTGTGGTCAACCGGTGAGTAATATCTGCATAATTGCACAAACAATCAAATTACTTTTGTCACCTTTTATTTATTTCTATGCTCGGTCTGTGATTCATTCAGTTGAAGGTTTTAAATATAACAAAATAGTTAATTCATAGTTTTGTTCATAACTTGTCAGAAAAAAATACATGAAAAATTAATTGGTCCGATGTACTCTATACAGTGTGTTTCAAACAGCATGTGCCATCTCTCGTGGGGAGATTCCTCACATAAAAATAAGATTTGTGTTTTCTATATCAACATAAATCCGATTCTGCTTTCTTTCTTAACTACAGGGGGTTGTGGAATGTAGAATGTTTAGGGAGGGAGTTAATCACCGCGACCTTCCAGATCCATTGCGTGTTCCTCTTTCTTGAGTTATAACAAGTTATAACTCATCATATAGTCAGTGTAGTAGTATATCGTATATATATGGTGTATCGTGTAGTATATCGAGTGTCTTAGACCGTTGGAGGTTACGGATGGAGTGTTCCAGGTTCTTCAGTTCCTCCTTTAATTGATTTCCGCTTGGAAAACAGAACGATTCTGGTCCAGTTAGTGGAGTGTTCGCTCCTTTTCTAGCTAGATCATTTGCTTTTTCATTGCCTTCTATCCCTTTAGTGAACAGGCACCCAGAGTAGGAAGACTTTATTTTCTTTGCCTAATTTATTCAGGTTCTCTAGGCATTCTTTGACCAACTTCGAATTGATAGTATAATGAGTTGATCGTGTGTAGTGCTGCTTAACTACAGGAGGTTATTTTTTTTTCTCGATTTATTATAATTTTTTTTCCGAGTGCTTTTAGTGATTCCAATGAAATTTTAAGGGCAAAAGTTACTATAAGCGACAAATCACCCATAAAAAAACATCCAGTATATAGAGGCCTTCTGAAACACAAAATAATAAAAGTTTCTCTGCGGAAATACCTTTTTTTCGACTTTAGAATAACTGAAATCAGTTACATGAAAACGTGTTCCTGCTTTAGATTTTAAACACTTTTCTGGTGTAAGTATGAGCTATAGTAGCACAGAGGGATACAGATTATAAACTTTGTTTTTTCTTTATTGTTTTTCGTGGTTCCAATTTTCGGAATCGGGCACTAGTTAGGTGACTAGTTTGCGCACATAGCACGCCCACTTATGGCCTCTAAAATTGTGCACAGCGCCTGTGTCAGCTAAACAAAAATTGAGCCCACTTTTAAGTGCCTTAGTTAAAAAAATCTAGTATAGTATCCTTTTTGATTGTGAAATGTTTTAGGTAAATGGTTCCTACTGTTTATCAACAGTTCAAGATTCACTATGTCGATCTCGTGAGAAAGAGAACCCAAGGTCCTCTTTTCAAATACTAAAAAATGGTGAACTGTCAGAATCTCAACAGATCAGGCCTCAAAGAGCTAGACTGTCATTGAGGAAGAACGAGAAATATGAAATCAAACTCCAGTATCAACAAAGTGTGAATTATCCAATAGGTAAGCTATTCTGTCATAAAAATAAACCTAATTAAAGGTAACAGTGTATTTTTTTATCGTAACTGACACTGTTTGACTGACCGGAACTGAGACTTGACTGACTTATGTGAACTGACCTTTACACATTTGATTTTTTTATAAACGGAAAACGGAAATTATATGAACATTCAAAAAATAAAATTATTGTTTCTTTTAGATTTGTACTACGTGATGGACTTGTCATTTTCAATGTTATCCTCTAAAGAAAGAGTTGGTACATTGGGACAAACGATAGCCAATGAAATGAGGAAGAAATCTAACAATTTCAAGATTGGGTTTGGCAGTTTTGTGGACAAACTGTCCTTACCATACGTTAATACCAACCCAAGCGCGTAAGTATTAGTACACTCCAAAAAAAAACAGAAAAATAAAAAACTACTAAACATTATACTAATATTTTTACAAACATAATATGACACCCAATAATAGTTGTAATAGCTATTATTTTATTAATTTATTATTCTGCTAAGTTATTTTAATGTTGTAAAAGAAATAAACTATTACAATATAATAAATATTATTCTTTACTAGAAATAGTTTAGTCAAATATTTTTACTTCATAGAAACATATACCAGGTGCGTCTCAAAAGTGTCTCACCCCTATAACTTTTTTATTTTTTCAGATATAAAATACGAGATTTTTTGTGTCAGTATATATAACATAATTTAGGATTGATTGACGTATTCAATTATTTTCGGTCACTTCCTGTTTCACCGGAAATTACTACAACTTTTGATTTTTGAATGACACTCTGGGAATTTTTTTACTTTGTTCAATAGAAAATGACATATCATATGTAAACTTTTGATATATTTGCTTAAAAAAACATCGTCATAATCAAGGAGCCTTGGAAAAAATAGATCTGATCGTCTAATGTTTTTAGCGTCTTGTCCTGCCCAGTAAAAGATGGCCAAATCGTATTTTTAATCAAATCTCAATTTTTTCAAATGGAACGAGGATGGCTCATTAGCATATTTGGAAAAAGCATTTTTTACGAATAATTTGGTACCACACACTTGGTATTTCGAGTCAAATTGTCGTTATGAACCGCATGTTACAATTTCAAATAGCTCAGATGCAAAAATATCAAAAGTTGACATATGATATGTCATTCTATTCAGAGTGTCATTTTCTATCAAATAAAGTAAAAAAATACCGATGGTGCCATTTAAAAATGAAAAGTTGTAGTCATTTTTTGTTGGTAAAACAGGAAGTGACCGAAAACAATCAAATCTCGTTTTCTTTTATCTGATAAAATAAAAAAGTTATAGAGATGAGCCGCTTTTGAGACCCACCCAATAATAAAAAAAATATGAACAATTTTTGGAACTAATACCATTTTATTGCATATATTATGTTAAAAAATGTATGATAACATCAAACCACATAAAATAAAAATTTGCCTTCTATTAACTGATACTGATTCACCAAAAACCAACAAATATATAAGGAACTAAAAATAATTATTCTCAATAGTGTACTTCATTTACAATAAAACAAATTCTGATTATTTTACAGATTAAATTTTTAGAAGTTTAGAATTATTAGATATTAACAGATGATATCAGCAATCCTCGGAAGTAATTCATGTAATCTTCAAACTAAAAAGAGTTCATACTATAGAGAATCAAATTTAGAAAGATTAATTTACACTTAACACTCAAAAAATTAAAAAAAAAACACACTTTTTTTCAAACGCCACAAAAGTATTAATTTTTGCGACGTGATTGACAATTTAATTACCAGGTATTACTTTTAAATCTTTTTATATTAGGAACGTTTGAAATTGTTTGAAAATTTAGTTGTGGCGTTTTAAAAAATAGCATGTCCTATTCGGAGTAAAAATGACTTTTTGTGCCTCGCCTGTAATGTCGTCGTACAGCCTAGCCACAAAAAGTTTCATTTTTACTCCTAATAAAACAATATACTATTATTCTTAAGTCCACTGTTTTTATTTACTTTATCTTTATATGATTTTATTTTTTTTATAACAACAGGCGAATATATTAATAAAATAAATGCTAATTTGTTTTTGAATAGTTTAAAAAATCCCTGTTCCAACAATTATCAATGTGAGTCGCCGTACAGTTTCAAAAATCACTTGCCCATGACTGACGATCCCAGGCAATTTTCGGACGTAGTGACCAAAACTCGAATATCTGGAAATATGGACACTCCAGAAAGTGGATTCGATGCCTTGATGCAAGCCATGGTGTGCGATAATATAGGGTAATGTTTTTAAATATTCCTCTGTCAAAAGTTATTTTTTTTAAGTTTATTATATCATCAGTCAATCAATTATTTATTTATTTCCATAAAACAATGTAAAATTATTGTATAGGAATAGTCAATAAATTCTTAAAACTAACACAGATAAATAATACAAAATATACAAAAACAAACACAACAGATCATAATAAAATTATCATATACTCGTAGGTCTCATATTACAATTTGGAGGTATTCCTCCACACTATAAAAGTTCATTCCCAACAAATAATTTTTTAAATTTATCTTACATTTATTTAGCGTATTACAGGATTTAATTTTAATAGGAAGATTATTAAACATACACATAAAACACTTTACCGATCAGTTTTGTCTGTCAGGTATAATAAAAGACGTCTAGAAAACTGACTGCACTTCTCCAGCTATTTTTTAATCTGTCCTATGTCTGTCTTCTACCTGGCATATAAAACACATAACGTTTTATCTGTCAGGTAAGCCAAAAGTAGCTGGAAGTTTTACCTGTAGCTATATCAACTACAGCATTGTATCAGTATTTATCAACTACAGAAGCATTCGCCGTTGTTTCTTAGCTTCAATCTACTGAGTTGTCCGTTGAGGAGAGAATGTCCTGTTAAAAACCCCGTGACAGTGCGAAGATTGTTCTTACTTCAATCAAGCAAAATCTTTCGAAAAAAATTTCTTCGACTCCCATGTTAATAAATTGATCGCTCTTAAGGCTAAGGCTCTTAAGTTAAATGCCTATTTCCTTCCGATAGTTCCTACCTAAGAAAAGTTGTACGTATCTTTCGATAGCGTAGAAATTGACATAACTAACTTATCAAAAATTAACATTAGATAAAAGTATAAAGAGTTTTTAGATGCGTTAATCATTTGCAGGCAAATATATTTACTAAAAGCTTTTTTTTAAATTAAACTTGCGTCTGGATACTTTTTACTTTTTTTTTCAAAAACATATGCCAAGAATATTACTTTGAGCATAATATTTTAGATGGAGACTTGAAGCTAGACATCTCTTGATAATGTCAACAGATGCAGTGTCACATATCGCAGGAGACGGCAAACTTGGAGGCATCATTGAACCAAACGATGCACAGTGTCACTTAGAAAGAGATGCCAAGGATAATACAGATACCTATACTAAGGGTAAGACAAGAATCTTAAAAAAATCTTAATCTTCTTTTTTTTGTTACCCTTTCCAGTTTTCCTTTTCAGATTTAGTCTATGACTATCCTTCGGTATCTCACATTAACTACATAGCTAGAAAGAATAATATCAATATTATTTTTGCCATAATCACGAAAAATGCGACTATTTTGGAGAACCACTACAGAGGTATATCTGCTGCCATTGATGGTTCTAAGCTGGCGATTTTAACTGAAAATTCCAACAATATCGTAAACATGGTTTCAAGAATTTATGACGTAAGCACTTACATGTATTTATTTTCTGTTTAATTTATACAAGGTGTCATTAAAAAAAGAGCAAGTATTTTAAGATCTGGAACAAAAGAAACATATATTCAAAAACACAAACATATGCAAAATGTGGTTAACGTAAGACGTGGCAACACTACAAGGCATATGAAATTTCAAATTTGATACTAGCTCTTATTTAAGAGACTCCCTATATATGGATACCTACAAATTAATATACACAGGGTGTAAATGAATAAAGTCCGAAAAAATAGTTGACTGTCAATTACTTCAAACTGATTTGGAGGTAGTAAAAATTAAATAAAACTTGTATTTTGACTTTTAGGAAATCCAAAGTGCAGTAAAAATAACTTCAAACGCCAACAAAGATGTCAGCGTGCGTTTCAGTTCTTCATGTCCTGGATTTATCAATGGGAGTGAAAGTGGATACTGTAACGTTACCTTGGGACACACTATAGATTTTACTGTGACCATAGAACCCTTGGAATGTAACCCATATGGTAAGAAGAAAAACTATAATCTTATATTTATTATACATCAACATAAATACAATACTTACATATAAATAAATTCTTTTTTTACCACCTTATCGATCAATTTTTTCATTTTTATTTTTGTGGTATTGCAGATGAAGGCTTGAAATTTGTACAAGTTTGTAGTATTAAAATTAAGTATTTATTATGTATTCTTCATTGTAGATAATAACAAGCGAATCATCGAGATCAAACCTGAAGGTTTGAAGGATAGTTTGACCATAGAGCTGGAAGTATTCTGTGATTGTGATTGTGCCAAATCCAAAGAACTTTCAGCTACCACTTGTTCAAGCCAAGGTGATTTTGAATGTGGAATTTGTATTTGCCACGATGGGTGGTTCGGTGAAAACTGTAAATGTGGCAGAATGGCTGATGGTAGTGAGGATGTCGCTTCCTGTATCAAGCCTGATGGAACTAATAAAATATGCTCTGGTAATTGCCTACACACATATTATTATTTTTTTATTTCCTTAAAAGTACAGATTCATAATAATCTCTGAAATAAGTGCATAAACAATGTCAAGAAAAATATGAAATTTTCAACAATTTTTTTTTTTGCAAAAACAAAAACAAAAAAGGCGTATTTCTGCGTTCAAAACATTTTACCATTTTAAATACATGCACTTATTTCAGAGTTACCCTGTATATATATTTTTTATTGCTTTGTTGGATCATATCAGCCGTCTTTGACAACGTTTTTTTTTACTCGATCGTATGGTATATATAGAATTAAATAAAAAATAAGGAATTATTTTTAGGTCAAGGCAAATGTATTTGCGGAAATTGCAAATGCAAATCTAGGCAGAACGAGAACGAGCATATTTATGGGAAATATTGCGACTGCGATGACTTTTCCTGTCCTCTCAAATGTTCAGGCAAAGGAAAATGCGATTGCGGAAAATGCATTTGTGAAAAAGGTGGGTAATAAAACAAATCAAATGCTATAGGTTATAGTATCTACTTTATTAAATTATAAAGATTTTTCCGGTGCATTTTTTTTATTTAGAGTCATAGATCTTTTGTCGATGTGTATATGTAGCAACTTTGGTTATTATTTTATTAATTTCTGAATACATACTAGGTTGGACTGGATTAGGTTGCGACTGTTCTACTGAAACCAGTCAGTGTATCGAACCAGGTACCAAAGAAATTTGTTCTGGACATGGAGACTGTGTTTGTGGTCAGTGCCAATGCAGGGAAGGTACTGAACGAAGATCGGGAGCTTTCTGTGAAGATTGTACCAGCTGCTCAGCACAAAGGTCAGTAGAAAATGTAATTAGATTAGTATTTTTCATATCTTATACTTGATATGTTGTATTCCACTAACTGATTCACCACGATATACTATGTATATGCTAAATTGAAATTAAACTTTGTATAGTTAACTCCTTACTTGCCATAGCCTCTCTCTAAGAATGGATTTTGATCAAATCCCATTTTTAGTATTATTTTTCGAGTGGAACTCAAGTCCTACCACAATACCCTTCCAGATTTATATACTTTGCATAAAAACAATTATAAAATAAACACAGAAAAACGCAACAATTTTTTTTTTAAATCAGCTGCAAATATTTTAAGTGAAACGTCAAACAAAATTGACAAAATAGCATAGCTTCTGTCTGTAATGTATGGAGTTGATCTCTTCTTAGTCTTTTTATTAATCGATAATATATTGCAATTATTACAAAATAAAATGTAGTACACCTTCTAGAGTCTATTAGACAAAGATCAAGCTTCTAACTAACGCCCAATTGCATTCCTTCAACACTATCTAAGATCATAGAAAGGTTAGTTAAAAAAAGGCTGATATCCTTTCTGTTCAAAATTCTTACTGAACATCAATTTGGATTTCTAAGCAACAAGCCCGCAAATGATACTATGTTTTCCCTCCATAATAAAGTTTACTCCATTACTATCATTCTACAGCAACAATTTTCTGTGGCATTCGACTATATCAATCATAAGATCCTAATTAATAAAGTGCAGCACTATGGGTTCAGGGGAACATCTCTTGAATAGTTTAAGTCATATCTGAGCAATAGAAGTCAACTTGTGAGGGTGGATACCACGTTGTCTTCTAGAAAGCCAATAGAATGTGGAGTACCTCAAAGCTCAGTACTAGGCCCTATTTTGTTTCTTCTTTTTATTAACGACATTGCTAACATAAACATCACTGTTAAAATATGTCTTTTTGCGGACATACATTAGCTTCACTTGGAGCAACAAGGACGTCACGGCACTTCATAGGATTATATCAAATGACTTAATCACCATTAAATCTTGGTGCTATTCGAACCTCCTGAGTCTCAACATGCGACTCAATTTGACCGCATTTTCAAGCTCCAGAAGAGAGCTGTTCGATATTCACTGGGACTAAACAGCAGAACTCATTGCCAGGACTTAAAAAAAATTACAAATATTAACTCTTCCTTCCTTATTTATATTTGAATCCGTTTGCCTAATACGTAAGCATGTATCAGCTTCTCAAGAAAGGCCATCTCACACTCATCCACTCAGGAACGCGGAGCAAGATCTTTATCTACTTACCCCACGCTCAGAGTTAGTTAAAAGTTCAATATTATACAACTCGAAAAAAATGTTCACCTGCCATTTGAAATCAAATCCATAACATCATTTTCTTCATTTCGCAAAGCATTGAAGTCTTATTTACTAGACAAGGCTTTCTACGATGTAAATGACTTATATTTTGATAATCGAATTTGATCTTGTAAGCACTGGTCTAATATTTGCTATTACTATATTTACTATAAACTTACTAAATATTGTTGAATCTTATTTTTATTTTTTTATTCTTTGACATTGTAAACATTTATAAATGTTTATTTTAAACAATAAGACTGACAATGTAATTTTTATACTTGTTTTGTATTCTCTTTTGTTTGTTTATTTTTTTACTTTACCTTTGTCTACAAATTGCAAAATTTTTTGACAATAAAGGCATTATTTACTTAAAGTATAGAAGGAGATTTCAGATAATCAAAATGATTAACTAATTATTCATCTAAATTAAAAACTGTATTTATATTTTTTAATATTCCAGATGTGATGAATTCAGGCCCTGCATCGAACACCTCATACTAGACGAGAAAAATAACACTTTTAATAACAATTTTAACATATCCGAAAAATGTGGAAACCTGGACATCCAACTGGTGGATGCTTTAGAAGAAACCTTGCCAGAAGGAGCTAAAAGATGTCGGAATTTAGTCGATGGCGATTGTACCATTAATTTCATGTACAGCTACGATGATCAGACTATAATGCTGACTGCTGAAAAGAAGAAATCATGTCCAGAACCACCAAACATACTGGGTAAAGCTCAAACAAATAGTATAAATAAGAAAAAGTTTAGTCAACAGTGATATTTTTGGTTTTATTAAAAACATAATTTTTAAATGATGATGTAAAGTATATGTGTTTTTCTTATTTTTTCAGGGCTAATCATTGGCATAGTTGGTAGCATAATACTAGCGGGCATAGTATCACTAATAATTTGGAAATTAGTGACCACGATACACGACAAAAACGAATACGCCAAATTCGAGAAAGAGCGCGAAAATATGAAGTGGAGCAGACACGAAAATCCCCTGTATAAACCTGGAACTAGTACTTTTACCAATCCTCAGTATGGCAGAAATAGCCAAAGGCAGTCGGTTAAATATACCAAAGAAGGTGATCAGTTAAAAATGGACAAAGAACCCAAAGAGACAGAAACAGATGATCATATGGATTCAAAATAACTCAAAAAAGACTTTTTGAATGTGAAAAATCAAGTTTTTTTACTACTGTATCAAATTGCAGGTGCCTTACTTATTTATATTTAGAAAATAACAGAAATAAATTCTTTTTTTATCTTTTGAAAATGAAAAATAATATTCAAGCTTACAAATATTCTGTATAATTTTATTATTAGGTACCTAAACGAGATTTGGTGTGAAAATTACGCTGCCTTACAGGTAATCTATAAAGAAAATAATCTAATTTATGTCTATCCCATTCTGTCTGGACATCAAAACAAATACATGTATATACAGGGTGGCCCAGTCTTTCGGAACAGACAAGTCATTGCAAATAAGTTTAGTTATAGTCTGTCCAACAAATCAAAAAATGAGATACTTTTAAGCTGCGAATTAGATCGGCAGACACAACTGTCACTATCATGGTTTAAACTAATTTAACTATAAATTTTATAATAAATAAAAATGTCAATATTCCATGGGTATAAAAAGTTATAAAAAAATGCATTTTCTAAGAAAACTTGAAGGGATGGGTAAAAAATGGTATAAAACAATTTGATAGACAATTAAATTGTGCATCTGATTCTCCTAAAATATACAGGGTATTTCATTTAAATTAAACAAGTTATTGCCGTTTAAAGCTTGAAATTATTTAAAATAAAGTTTTAGACACTCTGTATGAGGTAGACTTATTTTTATTATTGCAACACAATAACTGATCAATAAATAAACTTCAGTAAATATTTAGTATTAAAAACTTTAATACCCTTGGAGAAATAAAGCCTTAAAATTCTTACTGCAATTTCACAAAATTGAAAATATTTTTAAAACGGTAAGGTTTAAGTGTGATAAACCTATTAATTAAATTTACCTTTATTTTAATCGTAGAAACTAAAAACGTAATAATATACAGGGTGTTATATTTAAAATTATTAATTTAACCAGATAATTTCGCTTTCCATCGTGTTACCTTAATAAACTGCACTAGCGTTTTCTATTATTGGAACACCCTGTATACTTACCTTTAAAAATCGGATCGAAGCGTTGATCCAGTTAAAATATACAGGTAGGGACAAATTTTGAACTAAAACAACATTTTGTAATTGGTTTTTATTTGATCGCGTATCGGCAACATATAAAAAATGTTTTCACTTCTATGTACAGGTACTATATATTTGTTTTTAAAAATTACAATCAAAAATATTACTATAAGCCCGTTCACATAATAGATCGTCCTTAAATCTTAAAAATTCCTAATATAACTTCGAAATATTATTTATTAATAGGTAATAGTATCTTTTCCACTTATTCCGATCGTTACAAACAGAAAAATAAGAACAAAAAAACTAAAAAGATATACACTAAATTTTGGTTTGATTTTTTATTAATTATAAGGCCATAATATATGAAAATATTCTTTTAAATTCAATAAATATATTTCATTTTGGGGATATTTCTTAACAGAGAAAAAATAAAAAATTGTGACTAAACTACGACAGCTGCTACTTTATATTTAGAAATTCTGCAAATTATACGTGATTTAATATACATCACACATCACAGTAGCTGTAGAAATATCATTTTATTTATTAACCTACTGTGACGTTTTATTTAAATTCGTTTTTTTACAGTCATATTGTTTTCCATGACCATAAAAATACAATATATGGTCTGTCCAATGAGTGAGGGAAGATTTCGACAGATGGCATCCAAAAAATGACAGAAAATACAATTTACCTGTGAGTTAAAATGACAGACACAACTGTCACTGTCGAGTATCATCTCTTTGGTTAGACTATAGCTGACCAGTAATATATTTTGATTTCAGTAGTCAAATATTTACAGGGTGGTCCAAACTGTATCCCGAAAACTTCAGCAGAATATTCTGTAGATAAAAATAAGTAAAAAAGTTCGTATAAATGTATGTCCTAAAACGCTTTTTCGAAAATACTGCGTGTAGATTGTTTTTAATTCAATTTTTTCTAAATAATTTCTGATGCAACGTCAATGTTTGGATGAAAATTAGTGTCTGGAAGCTTTTTGACATGATAAATTTGATTTTGATGTCAATATGACTCCTACTTATAGAGGGCGCCACCTACATATTTTTTAACTGGCTTGAAGAGTAATAACTTTTCGTCCATACCTGTATAAAACTATCGAGTAAAAAAATATACATTTACGTGAAAAAGGTCTCTTGGTAAAATTCGCTAAAAGTAATGGTTCTCGAGATATTAATTTGAATCGAAATTATCAATACCTGTCATCACTGACATAAATTAAACAAGTTGACTAAATAGTTATTAGACTGAAATCACAAATTTGAAATGTTTTTGTGCCAAAAGTTCAACAAAAAATGTTTTTATCATCATTTTTTCGAAGATTATTTTTTCACTCAGTAGTTTTATACAGGTACGAAAGAAGTTATTACTCTTTAAACCAGTTAAAACACATGTAGATGGCGCCCCCTCCAAATAGGAGTCATATTGCCGTCAAAATCAAATTTATCATGTCAAAAAACTCCCAGACATCACATTTTCATCCAAATATTGATGTTAATTCAAAACTTATTTGGAAATAATCGAAATAAAAGTGAAACTACACCCTGTATCTCCGAAAATAAGCATTTTAAGATATATATTTATACGATTTTTTTAAATTATTTTTTTTCTGCAAAATATGCTGCCGATGATTCCGAAATACAGTTCGGACCATCCTGTATATAAAAAAGGCCAAACGCAAGAATATTTCATGTTTATTTGCCAAACTATGACAATTTGGTAGTCAATAACCCTTTGAATAAGAAGACTAAGGAAGGAGCATATCAAAAATCTTAGGTCCACCGCGATGGGCCTCAAATATGGCCGACTTAAATTCCGGTTTATCAGTGCCGTTCTAATTTTATTTAAAAAATGTAAAACTATGATGTAGGGTAGACGTGGGGTAGACTCAATATTTTTTTTTATTTTACGTTGTGAATAAATGTTGGTAGTTATTAAAATTGTTATAAAAATATAAAATTCTAATAAAAATAGATAAGTTATAATAAGTATCTATTAACACAAACATCCGATACGCTACTGAAGCAGGTAAGTCAAATTAACGTATTTAAATTCTTTGACATCTGATCTTTGACAAGTAGTAAATAAAAGCTAAAATGCAAGAAAAATATATATTTAGTTAATTTAAGTGAATTTCATAAATGATCGGTTTACTACACGTATGTAGTACTTCCTTAGTCTTCTTATTCAAAGCAATAACCCCAAAATAATCAATAATTATGATATAGCTGAAATCAAAATAATACTGTGTTGTCAACTAAATTATTAACTTTTTAGATCATAGAATTGCTTGAAACAAAACCTTTTAAACAAGCCCGAGCAATTATAACCTCTACAGGAAACAAATTATATAGATATAAATATATTTATTTGTATTTTAAAATTGGCCCTTACGAAGTTATCACTCAAATTAGAATAAATTAAAAAACACCTAGGAGTTAGAGCACATCTTTTAATGTCGATTATTATTAAACTATATTACATCATATTATTTTAAAACGTTTATATACTAGATGTGCCCTATTCTAGGAGATATACTTATATGAAACTTACGGAAAAAGAATTTAAAACAGCATTTCAAACACAACCTTCCTCGTTTTGATACACTTGTCAAAAAAGGCAGTTAATATCACAAAAACAACTTCTTCAATTGTCTATTCGCTAAATAATCTATCGTCTAACATCCGATGTGAAAAGTAATTGGTAACACTCTGTAAATGTAACAAGTTTCCTTATATATTAAAAATTGATATTAAGTTAACTATGTTAAATCATTAATACACATGCTGATTAGGGTGCACCAAAAAAAAAAATATATTTTTTTATTTTAGTTATATCGTTCACGATGATGAAAAAAAAATCTTGTAAAATGTTATTTCTTTCTAACAAATCAGCTTGTTGTTGTTTTCTACAAAACAAAAAATAACCATTTTATTTTGTAGAAAATATATTTTATTTATCTTATTGTAGGTGCCCTGTCTATTTATCTTATTTACTTATAGCTCTCGTCTACCAATCTGAAGGTAGTGGGTTCGAATCCCACACCCGGCATTTCATCAGCCGACTATTTTTATTAAAATAAAAATAGTTTGGGTACCTAGGTTGCCTTAAATGAGTACTTGGGATTCACAATTCTGAGGTAATAATAGGCGGTTGAAGCGTAGTGCTAGCCACATTACCTTCCCTGTATACCGAACGGCTCTGGTATAGTAGTAGCAAGCTGTACCTTGCTACTCCCAAGGCGTTAAATGCTATATACGGGAGCTATTATTATTAAAAAGATTTTTTTTGGTGTATCCTAATGCTGATAAAACTAGTAAGTAAATTTCAAGTAATTTTAACCGAAAAAATATTTCTGAACACTCAGTTCCACACGCTTATTTAAGACTCACTCTGTATAATGCTATAACGGGCTTAGTTTCTTAAAAAAGTGCAAATATTTTAAATGGCGGTACTGGGTGAGCACACACATACACTGTTACCTTAACTTAGGTACCAGAGCACGAAGGTCACAAGCTAAAAAGTTAAAATACTTGCAGTTATTTAAAAGACCCTGTATAACACATTTTTAAATGATTGAAAAATGTCAACGTTCTGTTTTTTTTGTGAACGAAGAATGTTGAATACTGATAGCTGAACAACCCTGTACAGGAATCAGCGATTTAGCTATTTTGATAAAAAAAAAGGAAACTCCCAAATGAATGAATCGGATTAAAACTTCAAAAAGAATTTCAAAAAAATAGAGTCAAGTAAATTTAAAGAAAGAAGTTAATAAGGAAAAATAATATTAATATATGTTAATAACAAAGCTCAAAATTATATTTTTAATCCCGAATACTATACGAATGTTAGAGACTGTCTTACACACAAACCACAGATAATAAAGCATACCCTCTTATTAAAACAATACTCTTCTATTGATATTATAGTCTCTAGCAACGTTTTCGAGAAAGTATTTTAAGAAACCTGGGTCTTTGATATATCTTTTACTATGCTCTCTGGAACAGCATGCGGCCCGTCTGGCCGCCGATACCCGTTGCGTTCACTACTGCGCATCGGAAGAAGATAATATTTTTTTTATTTAGACTTTACTATCAGAATATAAACAAAAATAAAATAAAAAAGTTTTTGCCCTGACCCGGTCTCGAACTCTAACCCCTCACTTCGATTCGGTCGATTTATATTCATTACTAGAATTTAAAGGACTAATAAAAATATAGGATCTTCTTTCAATGCGCAGTAGGGAACGCAACGTTTACCGTCAGCCAGACGGGCCGCATGCTGTTCCAGAGGGCATAGTAAACGATATTAAAGGCCAAGGCTTTTTTAAAATACTTGTTTTCCCGACGTTGCTAGCTCTCGTACTATTAGGAAGCAAGTAAGGGTTATTAACAGTAATTAGGTTAAAATGCAAATAAAATCCTCTACATACTGTATATATTTTCATTGCGAACTTTTGGAAAACATGCTCCTAAACATCGCCTCTAGCCAATTCGCACTACTATTCGCTTTCTGCACTTCAACTGCCTTACACACCTCACACCTAGATACAGAAAAATAAAACACACCTTTGAAACCAAGTACTGTACGATCGAAAAAAAAACGACGTCGTGTCGGCTTTGAAACGACAGCGATCTTCATTTTTAAGCCAACCATGACGGCGTTTTTTTTTCGATCATATGGTAATTTCACGAAGAAACTTGGAACCTCCGAAAGAAACACACTTTGTACATTCCAAACTAAGTTTTAATGAATCATTTGTGTGAAAACCTTGTATTTAAAAATAGTGATTAAAAGTCTTTTGAGTATTACCAGTTACTTTACCCAACCAAACAGTCCTAATTGATAATTTTAAAGTAAGCTACTATAAATATTACTGTACAAGAAAATGTGTGAATTTATGTTATGTATGTAAAAGAGTAAATTAATAAAAGTTTGCATGGTTTTATATAATTTAATAATACTACCGATGTTTTGAATATTTTTAGATCTTCATAATAGTTGATGTTGTATCATGTATGAATGTATCTTAAAAAATTGAAAACAACGATAGGGGAGAGAGTACAATTAAACAATAATCTATGAATGAAAAGCAAACATTTATGTATAAAAATAACAAAAAAACTTCATTTTGTTTGCTTATTGATGCTTTAACCAGATATAGCTTCTAAAGTGTCTTTTTACATGGCTTAAAACAGGACAAGAAAAAGCCCAGAACACACAAGGCGCCAAAATAAAACACTAAATCGATCCTTACTGAAAATATCAAGTCTTTATTAAATAATCAATAAACAAACGTAAAAAACAGCAGTTTTGTCACTCGCGGCTAAATTCATGCTTACAAAGAAAAACTCCTTAACCTAGTGACTAAAAGTTTACTTATGATAACGTGACGTGTCTATATGACGCCGTCGACGGCTATATAACTACTTAAAAATACTCCGTATATATTTTTAAATAATATGAAAATAGAAAAAGAAATGTACAGCATGTTCACTATATTGTAGCCATTGGTGATCTACGTAAAATATATTGTATTTAGAGAAAAGTTTTATTGATGAAATTGTGAAGGTTTGGGCAAATAAAAAATATCTATTCGACCAAGTTTAGGTATCAGACAAAACTCTAAAAAACTTTCATAATATAAACTTTTTTCTAAAACTAATATTTGAGGAGATAGGTTGGCTAAAATAAAAGTAAACACCCTGTACACAATGCTCTAAAACACTTTTTTGATTCTAAAAGGATGTTTCACTAAGATTTATAGAGTTATAAAGATCTTTTAGATAACCTTGAATGAATGGATTGATGAAATATGGTTGTGATTTTCATAATACTTCTTGTTATGATCTTATACAGAGCAACCCAAAATGATTGAAATAGTTGGCAATACATCGTTAGAGGATATTAGAATTAGCGATTGGTACTGAATGAACAAATTATGAGAATTCATTGAGACTTACAACAAGATAACTAGATAAAATCATTAGATATATTTCTGAGCATCTGAAATGGAATTATAAGGATATCGTTAATAAGGGTGTCCATTTTTTTTATAACGAGAAAACGTCAGTAATCGCGATAATTTAAAAATTCAACTCAAGAACCACATTAGATATTGAAACTTCTTTTTTTTGAAGTTCGGATCTTTTACAAGATGTATAAATAAGAAAAAATCGAGAGGCGTGTTTTTTTTTTCATTCAAAAATTTAAAAAACCCCATCCATTGACTTTTGGTGCATAGCAATTTTCAGCAATCCGTGTAACTTTTATGTCACATACTGTCTGCGAAGAAAATACAGCAGAAATATTAAGAACGTTTTTGAAAAAAAACTACAATCAATTATTTCTAATGGATTTCGAGATATCGATTTTTGAATTCAGAGTTCTAATAGCGCGACCACTGTCAAACACCAACTCAATTCCTTATATTCTTTAATCAATACAGAAGAGCATTTTCGAGCACAGTTTATTTATTAAACATCAAAAACTTATAGTTGGATGATTCAAAATACAGTTAACCTAGGAGCATCAAAAGAAAATCATCAGAAACAATAACCCACTGTAATTCAAGTCTTGACAAAATGTTGTTAAAAACTTGACAAAGATAAAATAAACAAAAAACGCAGAAAGGCACCACAAACTTTCAAAAATTCAAACCAAATATATACTAAGAAGATACACGAAAATACGATACTAAAATGTTTAACTAAACTTAACAATAAAAAAGTGTTTTAAGGCACTGTATAAAAATTTAGACAATATAAAAGTATATGTAGTCTTATTTTATATATAAAGTAAGAAAGAAATATAGAAAAAAAATTACGGGCTGCGTATATAACATTATACTCCGTCGGGCCGTCATACATTCACGCCAAACCCACGCGCAAATTACAAAGCCGGACCTAAAGGAAAACCTACACCTACCGGTCATCTTCCTGCTGTTTCTCTCCCACCTCTTCAGTCGCTGCAGTAGCCTGCTCGATACTCTCCACTATCCCGCTGTCTTCGGCAAAGTTCTTTTCGACACTCTGAGGCTTGATCTCTTCCGGTCTTTCGATGACGTCGATCCTCCCGCTCTCCGGGTCACTACGACCAGGTTCGCAAGGAGTTTCAAGGGCTATTCGCTCCCCATCCTCGGGTCCGTCCTTGGTGACGATGGGGTCCTCCTCTGGGTTGGTTTCAAGGAGGGGGGATGTTGTGGACTGGCTCTCTTCCATCACGGGGTCGAAGTTGGAGATGGACGATTGGCTGGCGGACATGGAGGCGGAGCCGAGTCGCGGATGGTAGAACGATTGCGATTGGTCCTTGTGGTGAAGGGAGGAGACGGGTTTCACTTTGACGCGGAAGAATTTAGTGCCTACGGAGAGGTGGTATCGGTTGCCTTCCTGAAATAAGAGTGTACTTGTACAGTTAGGGATTGAAACACAAATATATTCCTAATGAGTCTTAACATACACATATGGCCAAAATTATTGCATATAACGATATTTTATTTTGGACCTAATGATTCTTTTTATATTTTTGGACATATTGGCTTACTACACGACTAACTAATATAAAATTAAAAATCTAAGTGCAACTAGGCTGTTTATAATTTTATTTCATAATGAGTGAAAATCAACAAAAACAAATTTCATTTTAAACAGAAAATGTTGAAAACAATTTTAACTATTTCTCACAACTAATGGTGGGTTCATACAGCCAAATAAAATAAAATAAGAATAAAATAAAATAAGAAATAAGGAATCCTTATTTGTGTGCGTTCATACAGTCAAATAAAATAAAATAAGAAATATATATTTGCTCATGCGCAGTACGATGAGGCTGGATAAAAGTTAACTTTTACGATTGTTTATAGTAATTTTACTATTTATAGTATATTTATTTATTCGTTGCCTACTATATTATACATTTTACTTATGTGAAATTATAAAATAAATTAAATCAAACTGAAAATATTTGTAGGTTAGAATTAAGCGTGCGCAAAGCCGTTTTTCACATAAAATAAAACAAGAAGTTAAAAGATAAAGACTTCTTATTTTATTTGTTATTTTATTTGGCTGTATGAACGCATGTAAGGTATCCCATATAACCAACTTTCTTATTTTATTTTATTTTATTCTTATTTTATTTTGTTTGGCTGTATGAACCCACCATAATAGTCTGTATTGCTTCCTCGAGCCTCAATGCAAGCTCTGAGACGACGTGGCATGCTCTCAATTAAGTTGTCCAGAAGATGTTGAGGAATGGCTTCCCATGTTTCGCCCGCAGCAATTTTCAATTCATTTAAGGTACGGGAGGGATCATTCCTTTTGGCAATATGGCGTTTTAGCATGTCCCAAGCATGCTCGATCACATTCATATCTGGAGACATCGGTGGCCACCACAGTTTTCTTATACCCTCTTCCTCACAAAAATCGCTAACCGCTAAAGTGCGATGGGGAGGAACATTATCGTCCATGTAAACAAATTCATCCCCCACTGCCCTTCGAAATGGACGCACAATAGGCTCTAAAACGTCTCTAAGATATGAGGCATATGTCATCGTGCCATCAATAAAAACAAGAGGAGTTCGAGTTCCGTGCATTATACCTGCCCATACCATAATGCTTCCCCCTGAAACGGGACACGGGGTTGAGCTGCATTCAAGCGTGCTCGTCTTCCAGATGCTCTCCAGACCAAAGTTCGTCGCGAATCTGACACTAGGCCTATTCTTGTTTCATCACTAAACATGACCAAATTCCTATTAGGTCCATTTGCTCTCATCTCCTCAGACCATTGTAGTCACTATGCTGTAAATTTAGCTTCGGAACACGTAGAGGTAGTAAGAGAACACGTAGTACGGTCTTGTACAGCAGTAGTAACTCTCTCTCTACCTCTTCCAGGCCGGTCTGCAACCTAGTTTGTCTCCCTGATTTTTTTTAATATTCGCGAAACATCGCTTTTGTTTAACTCCTACAATTTCAGCTATTGCAACTTGCCGGTAGCCCTGTTGAGACAGTGTTACTATTCTGACTCTATTAAACTGTGAAATAATGTTTCTAGGCATTTTAAGGCCAAAATAATGGTCAAATTTCTTCTGAAACCCCAAAGAAACCACAAATCGAAATAAGCAAGAATTTGTAATAATATTGGATCTGAACGATAAACATTTTAACAAAAAAATGTTTATTACAGATTATCAAAGCTACGTATAAAAAAGATTTTTTAAATTCCTTTCCGTATATTTTTAAAGATATACATATTCAATAATTTTGGACATGTGTGTAGTGTTGAACTTTAGATGGCTAAGTAATAGGATGACTATTTCAATCTCTATCAAGAAGATATCTCTATCTATTTAATAAGATATTGAGTACTTAAATACATATCTCACCCTTCTAGCATGGCAAAAGTCCTTATTCACAACTTCCCCAGTACAATACGACTTGTTAGGAACCTTCTTATTAATGGACAATCCCAACCTCTCCAGAGAATCGGTATGGAGAAAATAGGCGTACTTTGCCTCCTGCAAAATCTTTTTTTTATTATTATAGAGAGATTTATTACACAGAAATTTAGATTTTTTTAATATTAAACCAAACCAAACACATATAATAAAGATCATACCGAATAAACTTTTAGTCACATGATTAGCTTGACCAGCACAGCGTTGCCGATTTTTCAATATTTTCTTTTTATCAAAATATTTTTGTTTCCAAAATGTTTGCGCCCCAAATGACGTAACAAAAAGATTATTTGGCATCGATTGTACTTTAGTTATTCATTGCACAAACCTGCAGAATCCGGAAGTTGGCGTACAGGGGGTCCCAAATCACCAGAACAATGTCCCCTTTTTTGCAGGTGTCGATGCTCAATCTGGGTGGCAAATGGAACGGTGCGATTTCGCTTTTAGAGAGATCGTGCGACGGTAGTAGTGATGTCTGAAGAGGACTAGTACTGGCATCCAATTTTTCTAATTACAAAAAAAATAGACGTAATCTACAAATTTAAAACACTCAAATTGATGAATGTTTGATGAAAGAATAACCACACCATAATTTCACAGTAATACAAGAAAGTCCTTTGCTAGAGGCACTAAACTCAACCTTACCTTCGCAAACAGCAACAGAAGTAATCATTTGAGTTTCGCGTTCGCTTTTAAGCTTGTGCAACTCCTCCTCTAGTTCATCCTTCTCTTTCTTCAACGTGTCAAATTCCTCCATCATCTGACAGTCGATACGTTCCTGCTCGCATTCCGCCAACTGTTGGATCGTAGTCTTGAGCTTGATAACCTCCAAATTCAAATTCTTCTCCCTCTCCCTCAGAGTGTCGATTTGTAAGTCCTTGTCTTCCGCTATGCGCTTGGCTACGTCCTGGGATAGCAAGTCTTTCTGCATAACGAACGACATTTCTAAGTCTTTTATTTTTTCTTCGGTTAATTTGTCACAGCGTTGCCGCTCTTCTAGCACTGCTCGTTCTTTTTCTATTTCGAAATTGTTCTGCATCTGCGCTAAGATGGTCGAAGGTAAACTAGCAAAGTCGCCGGATTTTTCTTTCTCCAAACTCGACAACGATGGACTTCTTTCCATGGTCATTAATTTAAATCTGTAATTATACACGTCAGAAAATTAAGAATACTTATGCACTTAATTACTCGACTTAGCTAGACCTAGCTAAACAGAATTTGGCTGCTATCTCACCGGCGATAAGATGCCGTGCGCAAAAAACGTTCCGCACATATTTTTTGGCGCCCAACGTGGGACCTATTTCATTAAAGCCTATCACTTATATTTTATTCAATTTTTATTTTAAAAATTTTTAAAATAAAATAAGTTTTTAATTTTGCATCTAAAAGAAGAATAAAACACAGTGTGCTGCATTTATAAAAATTGAGAGAAAGCATTTTAAACATTACAGTGTTGGTCACACCATAAAAATACCCTATATAAAATAATGTAGACTTTCCTTCGCTAATTTGATCTGTTATTCTTGATGTTTAGGAAAACAGGTAAGTATTAATAAAATGGTTAAATTCACTCCACATTTTTCCACTTTTCGCTCATGCTTCGTTTAGGACACCCTGTATATAGTGTTAACTTCTAAAATATCGACGACCTCACGACTGCAAAAAGGTGACGTACGCAGGGTGTAACAAAAAAACGATATACACATATTTTTTGGTGCCCAACGTGGGACCCATTTCATTAAATAGTGTCATTTTTTATTTTAGGTAATTTAACAAACGTTAAAAAGATAGTAGTGCCATTTTTAGTAATTTAACTTATAGAATTTGCATAAACTTGAGATATTTAAATTTTTATTTGTTTATTTTTTGGGCATTATACAAAGAAAATCAGTTATGTAGTTTTATAGGCAATTTAAGACTGATTTAATTTTAGACTGAATCTATTTTTTGCTATAATCATTTCGAAAAAATGTATTTTGATAATAGACATAGATGAGACCTATTAATGTGTTTTTGTGGTACTTTTTTTAGATTTTGTTAAATTCAAGAGTTTGATATACCTACTAGCCTTACCTAAGCCTAAATTAATTTAAAAAAAATAGAAGACTGAATATGAGTTTTAATTTTGACTTACCTAGATTTTATATTTTCTATTTCAGCTTTGTGTTCGTGTCTTAAAAATTCGGTGGTTTCCTTTAAAGCTTTTTCTTTTTCAAGCTCTTTCTCGCGAATTTTCTTGCAGAGATCTTCGATTTCATTGGCTTTATCTGACGTAAGTTGCGCCATTTTTTCTTCTAAATGTGCTAACTCTCTCGAAATTTCCTCGTTCCTATCTTCAAGCACCTTTTTGAAAGAATGTCAAGTTACATACCTGTATTAAGTGTGGTATAGTTCGTCTCATATAACTTTTGAAATGTCAGAAAAGTTAAATTTAATATGTATTATATTGTTCTATTAAAAGTAAAAATCATACTTCTTGTGACGAGGCTGTACGTTTGACGGACAAGCGTTAGCGAGCCAACATTCAATGCGATTTAAAAAATGTCAAATGTCAAAATAAAGAAAAGTAACGTGAGAAGAACTATCATACAAAACCTTTATTAGCCTTACCTTCTTATCTCGCTCTAAAACCTTTATAGTGCTCTCCTTCTCTAGCAAACTATACCTAAACGTATCCCTTTCATGCTCCTGTTCTTTCAACATAACCTCAGCTAATTCTTTCTGGCTTTTATCGATTTCTACATCTAAATTTTGCAGGGAACCGCCGAGCCTACTGTACAATTCGGTAAATTCCCTGCTCTCACTAACAAACTGACTCTTTAAGTCTCTAAGCTCGCCGCGCAACGTATTTACATCTTGTTTGGATAACGAGCCCAAATTCGACAGGATTCCTTTCACTTTCTCGTATTGGCTCCTCGAAATTTGCAAGTTGTCCTAAAAAGAAACAATTAATTGATCCAATTTTATTCATAATTGCTATATCATTTATATACAAAACAAATGTGTATAATGATGAATGATAAAATAATGGGAAAAGCTAAACAAAAAATGTGTTTATAACAAATAAACATGCACTTAAGCTTCTGTAATGTAAAAAAGGAAAGGAAAGGGTTAAATTCAGTAAATTTTTTAATAAATAATTTGCTAAAGCTAGCAGGTATCTATCTTGAAAAAAATTCTATATTCTACTATTTTCTTAAAATCCCCAAAAAAATTAAGCAAAATAAAACGACATAGGTAAGTTGAGTGAAACAAAGTAAAAAAAAACAAGCTTAAAAAATAGGCTAATAAAGAATAACTAATAGTGTGCTGTACTAAAAAAAATATGTATAAATATGAGTTATTTACTGTATTATTAGTCTCCTAAAAATATAATTCAATTATCAGTATATTTAAATCAAAATGAACCAAATTAGTAAAAATATTACATAAATAAAAACTGAATAGAATATTAAGAGAAATAACACAAACCTAAACAAAATGTGCTAAAATAAATATTAAAAATAATATAAAATATGAAAATTACAAACTATACAAAAAACAAATAAGGATAATAAAAAATAATATTTTCTGATAAAATGTATAAGATAAACTAAAATTCATGTATACGAAAATGTCAATTTTCCATGTATTTAATTATTTTTTTTATATTTAATAAAAATATCAAGGAAGAAGCGTCAAAATGGCTGACTTAAATTCTGGTTTATCAGAGCCGTTCTAATTTTATTTAAAACGTTTTAAAATATAAACTAGGGTAGACTCAATAATTTTCAGATTTTGTTTTACGTTACTGAAACAATAAAATAATTAATAATATTATAATTATTCATTGATAAAATATGAATATAACAAAATATGCCCCACGTTGGGCGCCAAAAATAAATGTGACACCAATATAAAATTAGTGTTAGACTTTTTTGTTGGTATTTTTATACGATTGAATGCATAAAACATATATTTGGGTTATAAGATCGTATACACTATTATTATTGGTATAGACGTTATTATAAATGCTCTATTGTTAAATATCAAATAGTTCTTAATAACAAAAGAGTAAGAGTATAAATTTTTTTAAATAAAAATCTACGGAGACATAATAGTAGCAAGAACTTCCCGAACCAAGATAGATACCTGTAACATAGCAACGACAATATTGGCGTTGTCCAACTGCCTAACGAATTCCGATCCTTGGCTGTTACCAGTCCCCACACTAGATGGCAGGCTCTCGTCGATGTAGAACTCGTCACTGACAAAATCCTGCTGCTGATGACACATCTGAGGCGACGCGTTATCTCGGGGACTCTGAGGCGACACAGACTTCGAACGGCTCAGCATCAGACTGGATGTTCCGTAATGTGACGCGACATTGCTTCTCGCAATATTCTCGGATAAGTGTAAAGAACTCGTGCTAGACAAGGAACTAGATTGTTCTTTTGAAAGAGCCTGGTTGTAGTGCGAATTAAAGCAACTCTCCGTTGTGGCATTGCTGAAGTTTTTGATGCTCGAGAGCTCATCAATCGAGTCTAGCGAGATGTTTTTGATGTTGGTGAAACTTTCGTTCGTGCTGGTGCTGAGCGTTCGCTGGTCGGTGTCGAACGATTGGGAGGCTCTGTGAAAGGAGCGGGGAGGTTTTTTGGGAGGTAAAACTTGGTTTCTCGCCTGGAATTAATCGGAAATTGAACAGGGATTGTACAACAGTATAACCTGGGCTTTACAGAAGCGACAGTATGCGTAGCACAGAGTGGTATATCGGTCTTAAAACTGATCAAGGTAAGTCGAGAATTTAAGAAAAGATGGCGCGGATGAGTCTTAAATAAGTGCAGATATTTTCAGGGCTTGTAGATCTCGATAAAAGAAACATATTTCCTCTTTACCGTTTTTCAAATAACTCCAAAATAACCGAGTATTTTACTTTGAAAATATACAAAAAAATATTTTCGCTTAAATTTTTCTTCTAAATTTAATCTACTACCTATGTTGCCATATTATCAAGAAATTATGTTTTTTAACTAAAAACTAAAAAAAAATTCAAAAAAATGTTCCCGAAAAAAATCCTTAAAACAAAATTATAAACGCGTTTACAAGGGATAAAAAAAAAGGGAAATACTAACCAGGGATAGGCATTTAATGGACTGCCTTTTGTCGATGACTTTTTTATGTTTTGATGTAAAATACATGTTAAAGAGGTAAAAAAATATAAAGATATAGAAATGGCACCTCTCTTCCTTCCTAACCTACACTTTCAATTAACTTTTTGGTCTAAATTTTAATTTCTACAAAAAATTTAAAAAAAAATAATCCCAAATATAAGGAAATTAAAAAAAAAAACGTTCATCTCTTATATTAACCGTCAACTATACAAAATTTGACAATTGACTATTCGACGTCCTTAAGATTATAGCCCAAAAATATGACAGTCACTTAAAAATTAGTCAACAAACAATTCGCTAGTGTCGCTTCTGTATTGTTAAGTAATTCGGTGCCTTAGCACTGATTCTAAATATATTTCACAGTCGAAATTACTTCTGAGCTCAATGTGACGCAACTAGTTTAAAAATTTTAACTATACTGTAATCTGTAATGCTAGTAAATATTTTTTAATCTCTTTATTATCTTAGAATATCGACAGTTTCGACCCTTGAAAAAATTTACAATCAGGGACATGGTTAGAAAACAGCGTTTACAAATTATTAATATGCCTCTAATAATGACATTTAGTGTCAAAATTCTTAAAGCATGTTTTGTTAAGTCTCTCCAAAGAACGGATACATATAACAGTGATATATTAAGAGGTAAATGTTATTTTCTGTCATTTTTTTGACGTTGGACACTTATATCCAAACAATTCACTAACCTCTGTGCTCGTCGACGCGTCTTGTTTTTCCGTAACTTTCGGGGCGGAAATGACAGCCTGAGCCGCCCCTTGGGGAAATGTCAATTCGAGGGGGCTCTGGCCCACCTTCTCGAATTCTTCGGTGTCCGTTTCGGACTCACAGCCTCTAAAAAAAATCAAGAAAAAAATAAAAGTTAAAAAAAAAAGATTGATATAAATCGAAACTAACTTGTCGTCTTTGAGGTTTGGTAATCCGGGTACAGTAACCAGACAGGGTTCGCTGCCAGTCGCTTTTAGGAGGTTCTTGTCCAGGTTACTGGCAAGGCCCACATCTGATACAGCCTGGATTAGTTTGTCTTCTACAGCTTTCGCGTCATCAACCTTAAAGTACCAAAAAAAAACTTAAAGAAAGAAAACATAGCAGATCCAGCCCAGATTAATTAAAAAACACTGTTATGTAGAGTCTCTAGATACAGAGTACATACTGCAATTAAGGTACTAAAGTACTACTTTTGGAGTAAAACAGGTAGAGGTTCATAACATGTTGGTATAGATTTCAGTGACGTACAATACTACTAAAAGCATTTGATTTTTACTCTGAATAGAACAAGCTATTTTTTTCAAACGTCACAAATAATTTTTTTAAACAATTTCAAACGTTCAAACAAAGCAAATAACTTTCAAAGTTATTTCTGTAACATTTCTAAACTTTAACTGTTAAACTCGTTAGACAGCTCAAGTGAAGATTTGCAGGTCCAATATTAAAACAGATCAATAAAAAATAAATAAATCTCATCATTATTTATATTTTTATAGCTAACAAAACATTCACAATTACTTTTTGTCTTGTTTCTCATGTTTTCTTTAAATGCTCCTGACTTTGAACAATGGCTGCATGATAAATTTAAATGGTCCTAAAAAGTCATTCTATTTAGTTAATAAAATTTATTTACCTTTACTCCATTGCTTTTGGATATAAATACAAAATATTATTACAAATTTTAGAAATTAAATGAGAATTACACTCGTACTTCCAGTATTTGCTTGATTTCTGTCACATAAATGACATTGATTGACAAACAAAAGCAGAAAAACTATAGAAATGGAACATAAAACCATAACCAAGGTAAACAACAGAATAGACCCTAAGATTCATCTCATAAATCCATCACATACTGGCAACGCTGTCGCTATCGCTTGTCACTCAAAATTGATCACGTCCATCGGAAATTGTTTTGCGATTTCTTTAAATAATATCTTTGTGAAGTTTGAAAAAAAAAATATTTTCTCTGAGGTAGGCAACCTTTTTTTCCCCTAAATTCTTTGCACGCCACTGGTAATTTAATAACATAAAAAACAAATAAACTTTCTAGCTCCTTACCTTATCCTTCTCCTGTTCCTTTGCGGCACCGCCCGCCTTGCCCAGGAAAAAGTTCGTCACGCGGTCCATATCGGGCAGCGTCAGACTCTCGGCGAACTCGGGCAGCTCGCGCCTCAGTCTCTCCACGTCCTCCCGCGTGACCTCGGGCAGCTTGGCGTCGAACATGGCGGGCGCCTCGATGGCGAAGGGCGGCGGCACGTCGCCCATGCCCGGAAAAAGGGTGTTGAGGAAGTGACCTTCGAACTGGGCGGTGAACTCCTTACGCCTGGTCAGTTCCTCGTTGTGGATGGTGAGGTTCTGGCAGGCCAGGTCGGACGCCCACTGAAACGTCACGAACGTGCGTCAGAAACGTCAAAGTAGTAAAAGAAATTTTCTATTAGAGATACTGGCTGGTTCATAATTTTCGGGTAGGTATTCTTGAAACTGAGAGAGTAAAACACCCAAGAGAAAGTGTTGAGTAGTTCTACAGAGAGACCACAAGCACAGAGTATATAGCTACGCAACAGAAGCCTCCTTACATGTGTACAGTTGTAGGTATCAAATGGAGACAGACTCTTAAAGCCTGTCTCAGAACCAGATATTTTAATGCGGTAGTTTCGCTACTACATCATAGAGGGCCATAAATTTAAAAGAATTTTGTGTAGCGTTGCCATTGTGTAATTCATATTCTAATAGTCCCTGATAAAGCCTACCTTCAAATTTGTTACATCATTTAAACATATTAAAACAGATCAGAGCGCTTTTTACAAACAGAAGAAATTTGTTATTATAGTATTTTTTTAATCAATTAACATTTTTTGGACTGCATTTTAATAATTATTTCATTATTATTATTACAGTTGAGGGTTGGAACCTTTGGTGTTACACAGCAAAATAAAATTACACTAAATCACCACAATACACCAAAACACTTTTACTTTTACACTGGACGCGCGTTTCGCTAACCATGTTAGCATCAACAGCAGATGATTATAAACTAAAGTACAATCTACAAGTTGAGCGTTTATATACTCGCCCAGTAGGTACCGAGTGGGCGTGGCAAAATCTAGCCAACCCAGTCAGAGCCCACTGAGCGTAACAGTTAATTTCCGCCACTAGAGTAGTAGGAACAAAGAACTTGAAGAAAGGTCAGGTATTTATGAAATTTCTTGTAAAGATTGTAATCAGAAATATGTTGGGCAAACAAGAAGATCAATATTAACTAGATTTAAAGAACATTTCGCTCAGATAAGATATGGTAGACCGGATAAATCTTGCGTTGCCGAACATATTGTTGAAAAAGAACATTGTATAGATCTTAATAATTTAAAATTAATTAAACAAATCTCAAATTACAGGCAATTAGATGCATATGAAAGCATCAGAATTAATAAATGTAAAGATAGTATGAACAGAGTCAACGGTCCAATTCCTTCAAGTTCTTTGTTCCTACTACTCTAGTGGCGGAAATTAACTGTTACGCTCAGTGGGCTCTGACTCGGTTGGCTAGATTTTGCCACGCCCACTCGGTACCTACTGGGCGAGTATATAAACGCTCAACTTGTAGATTGTACTTTAGTTTATAATCATCTGCTGATGATGCTAACATGGTTAGCGAAACGCGCGTCCAGTGTAAAAGTAAAAGTGGTTTGTTGTATTGTGGTGATTTAGTGTAATTTTATTTTGCTATTATTATTATACTCATATTTCATTACTAACGTTCCAGTATTAATAAATATCACTATCAATCGCCCTGTATATTATTAATTTTAAAGGTAATTGAAGATATTGTCTTAGTTCAGAATATAAGATAGTGTATATTAAAAATATATTTTATGAGTATGTTTTGCAATAATATAATTAAAATTATTTTAAAAGCCAAACGAATAATTAATATCTGACAAGAAAAGAAGAATAGAAAGAAACTATTATCAGCTTACTTCGGGTTTCTCTTATTACCGATTCTGAACCGTCCTAGAACTGTGATGCGTATGCGCAGAAGGAAATATGACACTATTTCATTTGCGCATGCGCTGCAGAGTTCTAGGATGGTTCAGAATCGGTAATAACAAGAACCCGAACAAAGCTATCATAAATTAGGTATACTATATGTGTACAGATAAAAAACTTAGAAAATCTTTAGAGGCCATAAGTGGGCGTGCTATGTGCGCAAAAAGTATATCACATAAAATTAATGATACTCACCATTAAAAACAGCTGAGAAAAAGCTCTTCTTCTAACTACTTCGACCACGGCGTTGACATAAGTCGTCGGAGCTAAGTGCACCTGCTGGAAGACTTCGATGTGTTTCCTTAACCTTTGCAAATGTTCGTGGAAATACACTAAGTGAGAATCAAGCTCCCACAGTTTGTTTTCAATATTCTGCACCCACCTACACCGATAATTAAGTTTAAAAAAAAAACTAAAACCAGTAAATTTGTATATTATCTTACCCTATCCTAGCACATAAACTTTTACTAAGCTCATATTTAGCTCTGATAACTCTATTTCTGTCTTCCATTAGTTTCAGATGGCATTGCTTTATATATTCTAATTGTTGTAAATGAGTGGTGCAGAGGTCTGGCAGTATACTTATATCTTTTGTGTGTGAAGCCCTAGTTTCGTTCTAGAAGAACAGAAAAATAGGTGAAAACTTACAAATAATATATTAGAAAATATAATTTAAAATGTCGCAATTAGTGATATTTGATAATGTAAAAAACGTATATTCGATACCAATTAAACTTTTAGTTATGTAATCGAGGGCGCGATTTTTAAATTCATTATTGCCAACCGTGAATATATTCCGCGCCGAGCTAACAAACTGGAATTTAAATTTCCCGCTGGGGTTTCAGATGGTAGCTCTGCTGTAAAAAATGTCAAGCTGCCACATTTATACAGGATGTTTCAAAACAAATGCGAAAAATTTCAGGGGGTGATTCCTTGTTCAAAATAAAGGGTAGTTTGCTTTATAAACGTTGGGTCAAAAGTCAACCATTAGGGAGATATCGCGGTACAAAGAGGGCGGAAAAGTAATGTTTTTATTTTTTATCTTGAAAACGAAAAATGATAGACTAATGAAATTTTATGGAAGTATTAGTGTTATGTAACTTTCTGGTAATTTTCTCACTTTTTTAAAATGAGTGGAAGGGGTTGAAATAAACCGCCCCTATCATTCTTGTTAACGAAATTTAAAAAAAATCTTATGAAACACATGCAAAAAAATTAATTTGGATAGCTTGGTTTGTTTAGATACTTTTTTATCTCTTGTGTTTTTTTGATAAAACTCGCCGATTTGAAATTAAAAAATAAAATGTAAAGCATTACATGTCAGGATAAAAAACATTTTTAGATAAAGAATCTAGTGATAATAACGCTAATAATAAGAATCTAGATAATAACGTATTGCAGTAGAGTAATGTCAATAAAATAATATTAGAAACATCCTAAAAAGTGACAGCGCACTAGATTTTTTCCTAAAAAAATTAGAGCAGCCCACTAGATTCTTTATCTAAAAATGTCTTTTGTCCTGACATGTAATGCTTTACTTTTTATTTTTTAATTTCAAATCGGTGAGTTTTATCAAAAAAACAAAAGAGATAAAAAAGTTTCTAAACAAACCAAGCTATCCCAATTAATTTTTTTGCATGTGTTTGATAAGATATTTCTTTAAATTTCGATAACAAGAATGATAGGGGTAGTTTCCACTTCATTTAAAAATAAAAATTACCAGAAAGTGTGTTTTCATAACAGCAATACTTCCATAAAATTTCATTAGTCTATCTCTTTTCGTTTTCAAGATAAAAAATAAAAACCTTATTTTTCCGCCATCTTTGTACCGCGATATCTCCCTAATGGTTGACTTTTGACCCAACGTTTATGAAGCAAACTACCCTTTATTTTGAACAAAGAATCGCCCCCTGAAGTTTTTCGCATTTGTTTTGAAACACCCTGTATATTTATTTCCTGACATTATTATTCATTTTGACACTTTAGTTTTGTATTACTAGTTTTTAGTTTAAATGAATTTAAGCTTGAAAATGTTTAAACTAGCAGACCTTGCACTCGAACATTGTTCTTTTTTGAACCTCTCTTAGTGCGAGGTGTACAAAATAGCTTAACAGCCGTTGCAAAAAACTCATCGCAACCTTATTAGAATATTTTGAGTTAGAATATTTAAGTGCTGTTAAGGAGGTGAGTTTTGTTGATGTAAATAATAACTGTTTACATATTTACAATTAATTTATTTATGTTTCCTAAAATATTTTGATTAAAAGTAAATATCTAAAATTTTCATTTCTAAAAATGAAAAATAAGGCTTAGAAAATTCAAAACTTTAAAACCTGTATCATTAAATGTAAATAAATCAATTTTGAACATTAATAATTGTTTAATAACATTATTATTGTTAACTATGATAATAAATTTGATGTTTTAACACAAATATTTACTTTAAGATAAACACAAATCAAAATACAAACTTTACGAAAGCGATAAATCAAACAAAACTTACTTGTTGGAATGCTTGGGCCATATCAGACTGATGTTCAACATATTTCTTTATTTTTCTCAACAATTCTTCCAAATCGCAAAGTCTTTTACCCAGCCCCTCAATCTCCTTCCTTTCCGGTTTCTCAGCTGACTGCAGAGTCTCAGATATGTGGTTTTCCAACGAAGGCATTATTTCATTTTCAAACTGAAAAATTATTAATAAAAAATACTGTTGATACGCAAAAAACAACAGGGATATTTGAATCTAAGCCAATAAATAGATTTGAAGGAATTGAACTTAATCCTCGTGGCATCTAAAATTAAATTAAAATGTATAGAGAAATCAATCAAAGTTGGCGTGTATGTCAAAAAAAAGACGTAAAAACTATTACCAACTTAAATTTTTAAGAAATAAAAATCCTACAATAAGAAACAGCAAAGAATATTATACATAGTCATTGATTAATCATGATCCTGCTTAAAGCGCTTGACGTAAAAAGCTGATTTTTGGCAAATGGATTGACGGTGGGGTGTAGAGGTTCGATAAGGAGGGGTTTCTCGAATCTCAAATTCCAAGAGGGTGAAAACGCCCCTCAAATATTACAATATTTGTTATTTAAAAAACGGTTAGTCTTTCGGGAAAACGCTTGGAGAAGCATAATTTATTTGTCTTTTTTACAAATTTTGAAATTTTTTAAAAAATTATACAGGGTGTTCCAAAAAGTTGGGTAATTTCTTAACCACGATTCTGCTTGACGTAAAGAGCTAATTTTTGGAAAACGGATTGACTTTACGGTGTAGAGGTTCGATAAAAAGGAATTTTTCGAAACTCGAATTCTAAGGGGGTGAAACCACCCCTAGAATATTTTTTATTTAAAAAAAGGTAAGTTTTTCGGAAAAAAATATCACAGTTTTGACAGAATGGCATCGTTAAATTATACATATGAACATATTGAAATTAATTAAATCAATGAATAATAATAAATATGTGAGGCAAACGGTTGAATAATCATAAGATGATGATGATTAAGAATTTTATTTGACACCTGTCAAAAGTCAAAGTAAAAAAAGTGTCTTGTGACACGCACGCCATCTTTTATCAATTTTCCAATATTTCTCATCTAAAATTAATTTAAAATGTGCAGTACCTTTCGCAGCTTATCTCTACAGACAGAATGTAACTCTTCCAGACTATTTTTATTCTCTGACGAAGATATCCATTCGTACAGGGTTAAATCTCTTGAACCTTCGTTTTCTTGAGAAATATTTGTCGATTCTGATAATTTGGAACTGTCCAGCGGTTCTTTTTGAGCTTCCAACAAAATATCTATTACAGGCATCTTCTGAAGGACATTCTTATCTTCTGGGAAACTAAATAAATAAAATAATATTGTAGCTATTTTTCATTACTACAATCTACAGGGTCCTGCGACAGTGTGTCTGGCATTTATAGGTACATACTATAAAAAGGAACTTAGGAATTTTGATTAAGTGCGTGCCTAAAGTACGAGGGATGTTTTTTAAGTAAGTACCGTTTTGCGATTCCGCCGCCGCAGCGCTACGGTCGGCGTTCCGCGCATGCGCGCTGGTTACCTACATCTCTTGTCTATGCACAGACGCCAGTACAGTCTGATTCTTCATTGTATACGTTGTTTATTGAGTGTTTAAGATGCCTCCGACAATCGTGAGCCCCGCCGATTGTGAAGTACGGGCTGTCATAAGATTTCTTAGTGCTAAAGGCGTAAAACCGATCGATATTCATCGTGAGATCAGTGAAGTTTACGGACAAAACATTATGAGTGATGGAATGGTAAGGAAATGGGTGAGAGCATTTAAAGATGGCCGCACAAATGTGCATGATGAAGAACGGAGTGGGCGTCCTTCGGTCGTTAATGAAGATTTGGTGCAGAAAGTGGACGAAAAGGTGAAAGAAAACAGACGCTTTACAATTCCATCATTGTGCGACTACTTTCCTCAATGTTCTAGTAGTGTTTTGTATCGCATTGTGACCGAGAACTTGAATTACCGGAAATTGTGTTCACGTTGGGTTCCGAAAATGTTGACGGATTTGCACAAAACCCAACGTTTAGGCAGACTTTCCTTGAGCAGTACCACAATGAAGGTGAAGATTTTTTAGACAAAATTGTTACTGGTGACGAAACATGGGTGGCCTACGTCACACCAGAATCGAAACAACAGTCCATGGAATGGCGATATTCATCATCACCCAAAACAGTGAAGTTTAAGCAATTTCTGCCCGGAAAATCATGTGCACAGTTTTTTAGGACAGAAAAGGAGTATTGCTAGTGGAGTTTCTGCCTCGTAATGAGACAATCAATGCAGCATCTTATTGTGAGACATTGAACAATCTGCGCCGTGCAATCCAAAACAAAAGACGTGGCAAGTTGAGTAAGAGTATTGTTTTGCTGCATGACAATGCCCGTCCACATGTGGCTAATCGGACCAAAGATCCCATCAAATCTTTTAAATGGGAACCTCTAGATCATCCTCCATACAGCCCTGATCTGGCGCCCAGTGACTACCATTTATTCCTGCACTTGAAGAAACACCTGGGCGGTCAGCGTCTTCAAGACGATAACGAAGTCAAAACAGTTGTGATACAGTGGTTAACCAGTCAGGCGGCAGAATTTTATGAGGAGGGTATTGAAAAACTGGTGCCACGTTATGACAAGTGCCTCAATATTCACGGAAATTATGTAGAAAAGTAGATTAAGGTACAAGCTTTCATGTAAAAATAAAATTATTGCGATATCTTTGCACGTTTTTTTTTTAATTCCAGAACGGTACTTACTTAAAAAACATGCCTCGTATATGCTAGCGCGTATTTCAGGAAATATTTGAACTTCTACAGGGTTGCTCAAAAAAGTGTGAGCGGAGCGAGATATTTTTTTTAATAATCACCCTGTATACATTGCATTTTTGGCTTCATTCTTAATCTTGTAACGGTAAAATACCAGAGAAATATTATTAAGTGGCTTTGATAAAAATTTACCGTTGAAAAAGCCATATGTAATATAAGACAGCGAATATCTGCGAAACCGTTAAAAATATTAAATTACTTTAAATACAAAAAATGTACATTTTTTAATTTTGCATCAAAAAAAGAAATAATATACAGAGTGTTCCGTTTAAAAAAAAAACGAAAAAAAAATTATATTTTACAAAATTTGGCATGGGATTTTCAACATCCTGTTTGATTTAAGATTACGAAATTTATAGCAAAGTAAGTACAGACCAGCTACAGTAAATATTTAGTATAGTTTTGATTCCAGGGCCTTTCTTGTATATTTAATATTTTTTTAAAGGCTGAAAAAATATTTTTGTATTTATTTATTAATATCTCTGAAAGTATCAAAATAAATTTAATAATATCTTAGGATAATATGAAGTAATCAGAAAGGAAGTTTTTATAAAACGAGCAACATATGATGGACACACTGTTGCAAGACCCTGAATAACATTTCTTACTGCTCCAAAAGATCAGAAAAAGCTGTCTTGTCGGCCATAAACTCATTATAAACCTTCAAAAACAGATCCCATCTCTTTCTAAATTCCCCCACGATATCTTCTAAGTTTGCAATAACAGCAGACCATCCTTGTTGCTGCAGGTGCTGATCATGAACCAAGTTTTCGCAGAACTCCAACTGAGTTTTAGCTATATTAAAAAAATCCATAGCGACTAAAGTTCTGGTTTTAACGGTGGCTAGAGAGACTGGAAGGTTCATGCATTCTGTAAGCCGCTGTTTGATTTCTAAAATTGATTGATTATACACCCTGTGTTTCAAAAAATACAGGGTGGCCCATCGAAAACGTTCCGCAAGGCATAACGGCCAAGGTATTTTTTTTTTCACAAAATTCAAAAACACGTCAATTTTGTTTGTGAGGGGGACAACTTTTGAAGGGGGGTCAAGTATTCACAAACAAAATTGACGTATTTTTGGATTTTTTGAAAAAAAAAATATCGTGGCCGTTATGCCTTGCGGAACGTTTTCGATGGGCCACCCTGTATGTGCCATCTCTTGTGGGGGGGATTCCTCACGTAAAAATAAGATTTATTTTTTATATCAGCATACAGTACGTCTGTCCGTTCTGTAGCTACGGGGTATCCGTGAGAGGGGAAACGATATTCTCTCGATGTTTTTCGTAAAAAAATTAGACGACGCGACCCATCAATAAAAATTCAACAAATTTGCAAGTGGCCAATAAAATGAGTGGGCGGAGCGATTTGCGGTGACGTACTCGTCAAGTCGACGTATAAAATATATTGCTGTTTATTTAAATGTTTTATAAGGATTATATAAAAAATAATCCTTCTTTTTGCGTGGAGAATCTCCCCACAAGAGGTGGCACGTGTTTTTTAAACACACTGTAGAAATTTAATATGGCTGAAAATATGAAAAAAACTCACCTAGATCGTTATAGTTGAGACTTTTCAAAATATCTAACCTATTAGGTTCATAATTTGTGCTAAACAGATAGATGGGATTTGTATCAGTACCAGCCATGTACGAACATAGATTCTTTTTGACATCTAATGATTCACCCCCGCTTATAAGCAACACCTGTTGGTCCTGGGGTATATTCACTTTTTCCTTAATTTTGTCTTTTAAATCTTCCACACTAAACATTTTAAAATAACAAATTTAATTAAGAAATAAGAACTGTAAGACAAAGTACAGACTGTACCACTTTTCATGTGTTTTATAGGGTTTTTCGTTTATAAGTTGAGATACAAAGATACAGTTTTCATATAACTTTTATAGCTACTTTTTTATGAAACTAAAGACGCTACACACAGATCTGTCCTAACCCTCTAAGTTCCTGAAATTCAGGACAAATTTGAAATTGTTGCTATTTTTGACTCCCCTGGTATCTTGGTTATCACAGTGAAAACTGTGTCCCGTAGCGTTTTTCACGTAGAATACAGTGGCGTAACTAGTTTTTCGCTGGAAGCTGTCATTTTCGACATATGATTAAACCTTATGTTTTTTTAAATTGGACACCCTGTATATTATTTTATATTTATTTTCCCCAATATACTCTATACTTATTTTCATAAATAAGACAAAAAAATGCATTATTTAATATTTTAACATAAATCAATCTAATTTAAAAGAGTATTATTTTATTTAATTTAATTTATTCACAATTTTATTAACAACCAGAGATAATTTTGCTCTCTATGGTGTTATCTTAATTGCACCGAAAATGAACTTTTGCAGCTTTTAACAGACTGTCAATCAAAATTATAGATATTTTCTACGTACTAGTGCAATAATTTTACACACAGAAACTAGCGTGGAATAGCCTAAACTAAAATTTGACATTAAATAAATTATTCCACTCTTTTGATTACCTAATTTAAACCGGCGGCCTATGTTAAAAAGTTATATGTTGTCATAAAGTCCCTAGATATATTGTCAATGTGTACGGCGACATCTTTCGGGAGAGCGAACAACCACTAAGCGTGTTCTCTATATTACCGATGGAGATTCCATCGGTAATACAGGACACTTTTTGGAGCGCCATCTCTTAGACACTGGTGGAAAATCAAGGATGAAATAACGGAAATTGCTAGAAGAGTAAAGAATACTACAGTGATCTCTAGAAATTAGGAGAAACGTCCGCTGAGGTATTTAGAGTGCTTTCAGTACATGGTGCAAAAACTTAAAAATGGCAGTGTTTGGAACAAGAATAGCATTATCCTGCTGTCAGATGGCGCCACTGTCGGTCAAAAATATGTTTGTTTCGTGTATTTTTAGTGAAATTGGTAAACTATTCTTTTAATGTAAGTAATTATAACGACTGCAATTTGTCTATATTTTCTGTAATTCCTACCATGCCTGCAGCAATAAATTGCATTTCTTTTCCAGATAAAAAAATAGACAAACTGCAGTCGTGTAATAATTGTGAAGACATAAAAATTAATTATTTTGAGTTGAGTCTTCATTCAAACCTTTGAATAAGAAGACTAAGGAAGGAGCATAATGCTATCCATGTATTCATGCGTGGTGGGCGGAAAAAGCACTCTAGGGTGGGGATCCTTGACAGTTCTGTTTGACGATTCATTTGACACATTTGAATTTGATTTGAAATTTTATGGATTTGTCAGTCTTTACAGAGGTTATTTTATGTTATTTATTATTTATTCTACTACTGATAGTTGTATAAAGGTAGTAAATCTAGATGGAAATTGTGGCAGAACTTAAATTAACAGTGACACTATCGCGATTTATCGAAAAAGACTCTAAAATAGTTGGTTGTGTAGCGTGCGGTAGATCTCGGCAAAAATTGAGTGAAATAATGGAACAACTTTTCGCTAGTAAGTGACTATATAATATACATACGTGTAGTAAACCGATCATTTATGAAATTCACTTAAATTAACTAAATTATATATTTTTTTTGCATATATTTTTATAACAATTTTAATAACTACCAAATTCACAACGTAAAATAAAATAACAAATTATTGAGTCTACCCCACGTCTACCCTACATCATAGTTTTAAATTTTTTAAATAAAATTAGAACGGCACTGATAAACCGGAATTTAAGTCGGCCATATTTGAGGCCCATCGCGGTGTACCTAAGATTTTTGAATGCTCCTTTCTTAGTCTTCTTATTGAAAGATTCCAACCGACGATATAGGAATATTGCGATTAGGTATAATACATTGCGATAGATGGCGCTGCTAAAAATTGCTGTTAAGGTAATGCAGATTTCTTTTTTAAATTTAATTTGTAGTCTTTTATCCTGGTCATAGATGGCGCACCAAAAAATGTTGTACCAATCTTTTGTACGTAAGATTTCGTTCTGTTTTATTCTCTTCTGTGAATAGAGTTAATAGCAAATTGGACTATTTGGCGAAGATTTGTGTGTTATATTTAATTAGTATTGTGTGTATAATTGGAAAATAAATTCGTTATAGTGTGTATTTATAATCCATTTTTACCTTGTTTCTGAAAATAGGTATAGAGGATATTATATTTTTAGATATTTTTATATTTTAGCTCATAACAAGGTAAATAAAAAAAATATACAAAATATCCCATTTGAAAAAACTTAATTTTGTGCCATATTTCGAAAATGACAGCTCTCAGCGAAAACCTAGTTACGCCACTGGATTCTATATAAAAAACTCTACAGGACTCAGTTTTCACTTTTTCGATAAGTTATAAGATAACCAAGATATATACAGGAGGAGTAAAAAATACCACAATTTCAAATTCGCCCTATATTTCAGAAACTACAGGGGCTAGAACAAATCTGTTTGTAGTATCATTAGTTTCATAAAAAAATAGCATAATAAATAAACCTTATCTTTGTACTTCTACTACATAAATGAAAAGAAAAATTCAGACACCCTATACAGTGAAAATAAACTCTTAATTTGAACAGGTCGAATAAAAATTGGAATGCTATTCAAACAATTCCTAAACTTGGCACCAATTTTTGGCCAAATTTCATAAAATCATCGAATATAAAACACAAGCAGGTATAATTTAGACCTTAAATTTAACAAAAAATAGATTTATGAAGCAAAATTTGTACATACCTTTGCATAATAGTAATTTCATTATCAAAAGAGATCATGTCCCCTGGCTGAACGAAAAATACATAAACCATTGTGACTGTTTTTTATATGGCTCAGTTTCAACTTTTACTTGTCTAGAAAAAAACGAAAATAAAGCTCGATAGAAACATTGTTTAGAGGTGATTAGAAAGGAAGATAACAGATCAGATATAATGAATCACACAGTAGATTTTATTTGTATTTTCTTTTATTTGTATTTGAATTCTAAATTAATTGAACCTATCTAAAAAAAAGCTGCTGATTACCATTATCAACCCTAAAAGATTTGATTCAAATAAACTAAGAATAACAAAATGATGTGGCATTAACACTTCTTGCTAACATGTTGCATAATATTTTTATAAATATGGTTTAAAAAGTGATCTCATGCATATAAAAAAATAATAAGAAAATGTTCAAGTAAAAAAAAATAAGTTTAATGAGATGTAATGATAAAATAAAAGGAAATAACATAGGTAGGTAACTTACATGAATAAGATAAGGTTTGGTAAACAAATTAACTTGCCACATTAATAACAAAAACAATACACAAAACGCATTTATGTAAATATACTTCAACTAGATAGTTTCCTGCACAGAATAAGTAAATTTAGGGCATATTTATTGGTACTGGAATATAATTTAGACCTAGTATTATTAAAAAAAGAATGATTTTATAACTTTTCATAAATATTCTTAAAGGCTTCTTAACACCTAACTATTCATTGTTATGTAAATAAGTACAACTGCCTGAAAAAGGGCTATATAAATAAAATAGGGAAGTACCTAGACCCTTGCATACTTTTAGGATTAAGGAATAAATGGTTTCAGGTAAATAATGACTGGTCAAAGCAGCAGTACAAAAATACAGAAAAAATCTATAGAAATATTACCTGCTATGATCCTTTCTGTCCTTGTCTACTCTCCTACACACAACAAAGAAAATGCAATTAAAAACTACGGTCAAAAAGCAACAAAATACATTTTAACGACTATGTCTCACCGTACACATGCAAAATACCTATAAAATTAAGTTACAAACAAAAGTTTAGATGAATGACACATACGATTTAAGGTGATTTCGACTTGTGTTCTCAGGATCATTCAATCGTTTTCCATTTGATAAAGAACAGTTCGAGCACCATTTTTCCAACGCGTTTTCACTTTTTCCACAACACTAAACTAAATATTGTCCATTGGCCGTTTACAAAGCAATAAGGCAACGAGCCATTATGCTAAAATTAGGCTTTTTTAGCCAAAGCGCAATTCTATGTCGTCCATCAGCTGACAAGGAAGTGTTTTGCAAACTGAAATTTATAAAAATCAAGGACATTTCCATTTAGCGATGTGTCAAACCCGAATTATAGATTTCTTCCTATAACAGATTTCTGTATAACTAAAATATATTGTTTCTACTATTTTCCACAAGATGGCGCACCGGAACAAAAACAAATTTGGACATTTGAACTATTTTATACTTTATATTTTATAAATTGTAATTTATATTAGCGATAAATACAGCTATAATTATGTCAATCTTTTAGTGTCAATAAAATTTCCAAAAAGATTTAGTTTGGATTTGGAACAAATTAAATACCATGTAAAAACTTGCCCTGTATTATGAGTTGCATATATTGCATAATAAAAAAATTTAAAAACTACAAAAGTAGACAAAAAAAAACTATATCATTTGTAGAAGAAAAATTCAAATGGTTATTAGATGAAGAGTTTCTAAATCAACAAGAAGGTTTGGTCTCTGGTTTGGTAAGGAAAAAATATAAAATGAAAAAATATAAACAGATAAACGTCAGATTTGACTTTTGATAAACCCCTCCTTCCTTTTAAAATCTAATCAGCTGTTTGTCTATTTAATTTAAAAAGAATGTTTAAAAAGTTTTTATTAATTACCTGTAGAAAGATTTTACGAATCGGCTAGTGACAGTACTCTTTAAAGACTTGAAGACAATTAACAAAGAGTTTGCTGTTTTTCTAAAAATTTAAAAGGTACCATTCTAGAACGTAGATATCTCAAGAAAAATAACTGGTAATCATGCAGGGAATAATTGATTTAAACATTGCCAGTGATATCGTTGATCTTGAACGTTTGGCCCAAACTAAAGATGTACTGAAAGTGAAAAACCCACAAGTTATTGAAAAGGTAATGAAAAACATCTACACAGAAATTTCCAAATCGTCATTAAACCAAGAAAAATGTTACATACTTTGCTTACGCTATCGGCACGCTGTAAATAGACTATGCCAAATAGGAGACAGGAAATTTGTTATGATAAAATATGAGCATGAACTTTCAAGAGTCGAGGACAAAATTGAAGAATTAAGACCAATTTTAATATCCAGATATGAAGAACATCGAAGGAAAAAACAGAAAGAGTCAATAATATATGTCCAACCAGAGACTCCAGCTAGTAATTATGTAAACGGAGACTCACCTCTATTTTCTAGTGAATTTATATCAGCAAAGCAATTATATGAAGCAATAATCAACAAGATGAACATCCTGGTTGTTGATATTCGACCTACCAATGAGTTTGAGGAGTCCAAAATTAAATTCGAAAACATTATTAATGTACCAGAAGATGTATTAGGCCCAGGACTATCTGCAAATGTCATACAAACCAAGCTGAAAGACGATGCTCAGAATATATGGAACAAAAGAGACAGTTATCTTATTATTGTGTTTCTTGATTGGAATTCCAGTTCTGAGAATGTAACCAGTACGAAACTGAGCTTTCTAAAAGCGTCTATAACAGAGTGGGACATCAACCGTAACTATAAACAAGCCCCAGTAATTCTAGACGGTGGTTTTCGAGGGTTTTTGGAGAGCTATCCAATTTCAGTGTCCAATGTTAACGTGAATTTTGTAAGACACAATGAAGACATTGATGAACTATTAGAACTGGAAAATATCTCATATCCTGAAGAAAACACTGGTGTGATGCAATTGAAGCACTTCACAATTCAGGAACTTGAAGATTCAGTTAATAATGAAGAATCGGAAGAAGAACCTGAAGAGTTACCCAAGAAAATTAATAACATTGAAGAAATTGAGAAGAAAAACATAGAAAAAGATATAGATATAGGGCCTAAAGGTGGTGGATCAGCAGTTGATAAAATGCCTTCAGATATAACCAAAGATGAGACGACACCAGATATAATCCGAAATAAAATTGAGGAACACAGAATGAGGTTACTGAATGAAGCGAGAAACAAGAAAAATAAAATGGTCGGTGGGAAGGCAAAAGGCTCTGAAGGTGACTCATCAGGTTCTGAATCAAAAACCAAACTTCCTCCTCCGATCAGGAGGGAAACTAAACCTAAAAAACCCATGCAAGTCTTTGGTGGATGGTGCGGTCTAGTAAACATTAAAAATACTTGCTACATGAACACGGTATTGCAGTGCTTAAAGTGTATTCCCATTATCAGGAGTATATTGCTGGCGAATTTCGTTAATCACGTCACTAGAAGACCTCCAGAAATTATCCTTGAATTTGCCAGTGTTGTTAGAGCTCTTTGCGAAGGAACTGAGTACGATAAAAAAGTATACAGACCAACTAGTTTTTATGATGTAGTTTGCAAGTTAGATCCGGTATATAAGAAAGGAAATCATGAAGATTGCATGGAGTTCTTTCTGTTTCTTTTAAATCACCTTAATGACGATTGTGCTCAGGATATAACAACAAAAGTTATGAGTGAAAGAGAGAAGTCTTGGTACTCTCACCTACAGGGTAGGACCTCTTTCTGGGTGGATTTGTTTTACCATCAGTTTCAATGTACAAAAATATGTCAGGTGTGTCACTTGCAAGCTGTTTCATATGAAACCGATAATACATTAATGTTATCTGTCCCATACCGCGCGACCTTGAGGATGGTACATTTAAAAGAATTAATCCATGAATACATGGAGGACAATCAGATATTGGACTATAAATGTTCAAGATGTCAAAACATGAAGGTGATAAACCGAAAAAACATCATAGTTGAACCAGAAATCCTAGTTATCGTCTTAAAAAGGTACTACCAAGACGAATACCAAGAAACAAGGAAAAATAACGTTTGTGTGAATTTTGACTTGTCTTTTCAGTTTGGAAAGTGCTTTTACAAGTTGTATTCAGTTGCTCAGCATAGAGGTACGATGGATCATGGTCACTACTACGGACATGGGATTCTAAGCGATAATACCTGGGCAGAGTTCAATGATGAGAGAACCACGAGGTTTGAGAAAGACTGGGATAGTATAAGAGGTTCTGTATGTGCCTTCTTTTACTGTAAGGAGAATAGAAATACTTCGAAAATGTGATTTTTAGCGAATAGATTAAAATAAGGTTTAGTTTTAATTTGTTTTTAATGTTTCAACGCAGCTATTATTAATCCATTCCAAGTTTTTTGATTTTTTTTTTATAAAAATAATGGTGCTTGAAAGTTATAAAGACAGTAGTAGACAAATGTAAATAAAAATAAGTACTAGATAAATATAAAAAAAGGTAAATTTATTATAATTCGCAGTTAACCTTTTGTTGTAAATAACAATAATACCTAAATAAAGTTATTGTTATTAGGGATAAATGAAAACTATATATTTATTAAAATGTTTATATTGTAATAAAAAGTTTCTTGTATTTTCATGATTTTAAACTTTTACATAAAGAACTATTAGTAAGTATATTGCTTTTTATTTATTTTCTGTACCTACCCAATGTCCCAAAAACAAAAATCACATACAGAAATGTTTTTTGCATTATTTTCATTTTGTTTAAAGAAAAACTGTAGGACTAAAAATTTCTTTATTGAAGTTGTTGAATTTTAATTCTTCAAATAAAGGGGTATATGTATTTGAAAATGTATTAATTTTATTATTTTTTTATATAAGTATAGGTATATATTTTATTTTTTACAAGACATTTAATAGGACAAATTTTGTACAAGAATAAAATGTTTTTTTTAAACTCTTATTAAAAAACTGTGTCGAGTTGACTTGAAAAAAGATCGTTGTAATTTTGTATACATGACAAATTATATGGAAAATATTATCAATGGTGAATTCCAAGCTAACTTGACGTCGTTTCTTTTCTCGATAATATGGTACATTTATTAATGATACTTTGTATATGATTAATTTATATATTCATTAGATATAAAATATAGAGAACTCATTTTAGAAAATTTAAAACTTGCACAAATAATAACTGGCCAAAATAACTATACAGGGTGATCCACTGTTTTTAAAATGATCATAATATCAGGTTTCTGTTTGCAGACAACATAGAAACAAAAATAAATTAATTATAAATATATAAATAGTTATTATATATTTACATCAACAAAACTCACATTCTTAACGGCACTTAAGAGACATAAATGGCCATTACTACCGCTTTCCTGTTCAAAATATTCTAATAAAGTTCTCTTTTTTACGGCTATTAAGCTATCTTGTACACTTCGCACTAAAACAGGTTCTAAAAAGAACAATTCGTTCAACTGCAAGGTCTACTAATACACATATGGGTCAATACAAAACTAAAGTGTCAAAACGAATGACAATGTCAAGAAATAAATAAATAAATGCGGCAACTTGACATTTTTTGCAGCAGAGCTACCACCTGAATCCCCAGCGCGAAATTTAAATTCAAGTTGGTCAGCTCGACGCCGAATATGTCCATGGTTGGCAACAATGAATTTAATTTACTAAAAGTTTAATTGACATGAAATATAAGTATAGTTTTTGTACAGTCAATCAAATTATTAAAAAAATATATCTGGAAGTACTTTTTATAAGAGTAATATTTTATAAAAACGATTGGAGTGAAAATCTTAAACCAAAAACCCGATATAGTGCTTTTTCGTAAAGCTGGGTCACCCTGTATATGTTAATTATCTTTCACATAAATCTTTAAATATATACATTTCACGAAAATATATTTAAAAGTGATAAAACTTCAAACATGTCAGTCTTGTGTTGAGAAATACCATACGATCGAAAAAAATCGGCGTCAAAGATGGCCGAGGAATGACAATCGATGATAATTTAGGCGAGGTCAGGCCCTAGACGTAATTTCTTGACCCATATTCTCCTTAATTTTTTTAATGGCTCTTCCTTTTTTAATCTCTCTATGATTAGTGTTAATTTACATCTACAGCTGTCTTTGACGCCGTTTTTTTTTCGATCATGCGGTACTCTAGAATAAAAAAATAAATATGAGAAAAAATTTCCAATTTCTAATGCCGGGTACCAAGGCGACGAAAAGTAAACACGATTTTCAGACAAAAACAAGACAAACTTGCGACAAAAAATGGGGAATTCTGACAAGACAAACTTGATACAAATTGTCCACACCGCAATGACAAAAGTACAACAAAGTCAAAAGTTTGTTTGTTGCGATTTAGTTTTATTAACCATGTGTGATTTCACTGGTCTCCTACTGTTGGCAGCACACGCCACCCATACTGCGCCGACAACTTGTAAAATATACGAACAAAACATAGACACTTTGATCTTTACCGACTCGAGACGGGACATTGAAAAGTCCCCGAATTTTGAAACAAAACAAAAATGAGACAAAAATGTCACAGAAATATATTGGATTTGTCGCAATTTTGTCGTAAAACATGAATGTTTCTGTCTTGTCGTTGTTTTGCCTGCTTGGTCTGGACCAGAGAGAAACTAATAACTAAAGTGATTTCGTAGACAAGTTTATTTTATCACCGCGCATCCCAGACGCGCATAGCGTTTAGCCGGTCAAAAAAGGAAGTTTTCAACTTTGCAAGCTAAACATTTGACAGGATTAATTAGATTGTCAGTAGTTTTTTCTATTTCTTAGCTCTAGAAGGAGATAACTAAAATCTGTTGATAATCGGAGTAATAAATTGTTTTTGACTGAAGGTGCCTGTTCTTTTAGCTTGTCAGAAGAGAAGATTATTGTCATTATTGATTATTTCAGGTTCCACGATTTGTTTTGTGGTTGAGATCCAGAAATAACGTTTCCTTTAAAGGTTTTTTAAGGCAATTATTTTAACATACCTAATAGTAATAGTGAGTACACATAATAATCGTACATTGCTAATTTACATAAGCATAACCTATATAAGATAAATCTGACTGTAAAAGTAAAACATCACATTCTTTTCTGATACCTATGGAACGACTAGGTATTATACCTGGTATTATTACCAGTAATACAAATTATTTTCTTCAACTGATAGGTTCTTGTTATAGAATAAAGACTATCAAAAACATTGAATACCTGCGGGATACCTACTGATGCTCTAGGCGAGCTCCCATCCGTGCTTCCCTGTTCAATCCCAGCCGAGTTAGATAAAAAAGATATTGAAGATTGCAGCCTTGAGTTGGAGTATGGAGTTAAATAAATTATTATGTTCCTACACAGTATTTTATTTATATGTTTTAATAATGCTTTAAAGTCTAATAATAAATTTTCGTTGTCAACAAAATAATCTAAAAAAACTACGAAGATTTCTTATTATAAGCTTTAAAAATTAAGATTCGGTTCAAATATACAAATTTTAAATTTTTGGCGCCAATATATAGGTATAAATGCAACCTACTAATGCACTAACACAGTCTTCAAAAATTAACGTTGATCGGTCTCTCTCACTTTAGTTATTAGTGTTCTCTCTGGTCTGGACCCGGCATATGACTTTCAAGTATTTTAGACATATTAATGACTAACGACACTTGTCTTGATGTCATACTTCAATAATTAATAATTACTAAACCATGACAAACAACTCCAAATGTTAGCTTTCCTGTCCTTCATCATGCGATTTCAAATGTTCATTATACAAGTTCACTTCAACAAACAATTTATCACACATCCCGCATTTCAGGTTATTGTTTGGTTTAGACTTTATGTTGCCACATTCGTCCTCGAATATCACAATGTCAGTGATATTGTGCTGAGCGACCAAGTGACTTTTCAAATCGGTCATATTCACAAACACTAGGTCGCAGTGAATACACCTGATGACCTCGTCGCTCTGGTGTTTCTTCACGTGATTCGTTAGACAATTTGAGGAGGAGAATCCTCGTTGACAGTAGTTACAGATGTAGGGTTTTTCGCCAGTGTGAATTCTTTTGTGGACTGCTAATGAACTTGAACCGTTGAAACCTATCAAAATGTTGACATTTAAATATCATAGCACATACATATACAGGGTATCCCAGAAATGAGTGCAGATATTATAAGGGGTGGTAGATCTGGTCAAAATAAACATATTTTCTCTTTACCATTTTTAAAATAAATTGAAAATAACGGAGTTACTTATCTTTGAAAATTTAAAAAAATAATCGCAACATTTTGAGAACCGCCGGCAGATATCGCCAACTATATCCAAGTAACCGGATCAAGCCCGGATTTCAGTTAATTCGACGCACTGTGTTGCCATATGTACAAGAAAGTATATGTTTAAAAGTAAGTCATAAAATCACAACACCTGAGGAGTTTGCAGAGATGCCTTACATTTTTAAGATTGTGATATTATTACATAAAATAAATTAAAAGTTAAATGTTTAAAAGTTAAAAAAGTTAAATAAAAAAACTTACCCAACATTAATGCCCACTTGCACCGTTTGTATAAACTTTGTTTGAAGCCTAAACAGTGATTAACTATAATAAAATACTATATAGTTAATCACTGTTTAGCCTTTAAACAAAGTTTATACAAACGGTGCAAGTGGGCATAAAAAAGATACTTATGACAGATCGAGTAACTGTACACATCGATCGAGTAACTGTACATTGTGACAGTTCTCTTTTTCGATACACATTTAACTAAAATACACTTCACTGTGCTGCTTTACTTGTACATGCTATTATTTATTATTACAATAACTACTAAAATAACAGTCCCCATTTTTAACTTAACACATTATTTTCATATAGGCTTCATCACAATTTGAACCACTGATTTACAAAACACCTTGAAAAGCACACATTACTTTGAATACCTTTCTGAATGAATAAATGTTGAGAATTATAGTCTCTTATCGCCACTTTACGAACTACTTTCAATCTAAGAAAATACATGTTTCACTCAACAATTTTAAATACGTATTTTGTTTTTTCGCTATTTTTGCGATGTATTTCGGCAATTTCATCGACAGCCCAACCGTCGACCAAGAGAGCCGCGCATCACTGGTAACGTGGTAACTGCTCACTGCTCCTTTGTCGCCATGATACAAGAAGGTTAGATAAGATCCTTGGCGGTCGCAAATCTGTTCTCCGCGCGCATGACGTCACTAGGGTAATAATTTTCTGTTAAGCTCCGCCAACTACATGCGCCATATCTTCTCTCAAAAGATCCCTGGCGGTGGCAAATCGGTTCTCCGCGCGCATGACGTCACCCGGATAGTAATTTTTAAGCTCCGCCCACTACATGCGTAATATCTTATCTAACCTAGAAATTTGTCTATGAATTTATAAATGTAGAACTATGTAGAATGTGAATAACATAGGAGGTTGCAACACTGCAAGGTTTAGATACACCTTAAGATGCGTATTCATTATCCGAACGAACGAACGAACGAATGAAAGTGCGGTATATTTAGACGGGGACCGAACGCATGCGGCCGTTCGTTCGGTCGTGCGCTCGACCATCCGCTTCGAGTCGGTACACCAAAGGCGTTCGCCTGCGTGCGCTTTCAGATTTAAGGTGCGTATTCATTATCCGAACGAACGAACGAACGAACGAACGAACGAACGAATGAAAGTGCGGTATAATTAGACGGGGACCGAACGCATGCGGCCGTTCGTTCGTTCGTGCGCTCGACCATCCGCTTCGAGTCGGTACATCAAAGGCGTTTAGACGTCATGGTACAAAGAATACAAGGTACGATGATAGCGGCTCCAATTTCGTTCAGTTCGCGCATACCACCTGTGACGTCACTAGGAAAATAATGAATAAATAAAAAATAAAGAAAGTTGACAGGAGATCTGCAATTTTTGGGGTTATGGTTAAGAATTGTTTATTTTAAGACTTTTTAGTTCGTTTAATTTAATAATTACTAAAACCAGCAGTTCCAAAAATATATTTAAAAATAATAATTATCTATTAACATGGATTTGGACGATAGGTAAGAATACTGAATTTATTTCTATATTCGGTATAAAATTGTTTATTAGGTTTTTAGTTTGCGATGTTTATGGTAAATAATTTTCATTTTCATTGCCTCTGAATTCACATGAGGACAGAGTTGAGGATATCTATGGAAAAGTAACCACAAGAGGAATTGTTACATCATTTAAAAAATATTGGGAAGTTTATTGTTTCCCATCGAAAAGTAGAAAATGCCAATGCAGATGAACGTATTGTAATTGTGATAGAAGTAATTCTAAGGGTGAAGTTTATTATAATTAGTGGAAGTAATACCAAGGGTGAAGTTTATTATAATTAGTGACCTCTGCTTCTTTTTATATGTAGAAGTTTCTGGTTTTGAGAATAAATCGGTTGAACGACACCCAAAATTTAAAGGAAGTATTTGCATACCCAGAATATGCCCATCAAGGATTATATAGCTCAAATTTCCTTTAATGGTAGGCAATTATTCAATGCAAATTAACTTTTTAAGTGACTAAAATATTAAATAGTTTACAATATGGTATATCACTAAAAATATATTACTTTTAGGTACAATTAGGGCCCGATACATTTCAAAAAGTAGAATATTATTTTATATTAAATGAGGTATTGTACTAACAATCAATTTATATTAATAACGGAGATTAAAAATAACAGAATAAATAGTTCTTTTTCTTATACTACAAAAATAAACTATAGAATACAACAGTATTTAAAAAAAATAAAAAGTGATGTTCCGGCCGAGATTCGAACTCCGGTCTCTCGCTTCCTAGCCCGACTCCTTATGCACTGCTCCATAGTAACTTGCTTAGCGATAATTCAATGACGGTATATAAACAAAAAAAAAACAGGTTTATAACAATATCTTGACGATTTGAACTGGCGCGCGAATGAAGAAATGCGTGCGGTCTTCTCGTGCGGTTCTATCGTGCGGTCCCCGTCCATACCACTAGCGTACGTTCATTCGTTCGTTCGTTCGTTCGTGCGGATAATGAATACGCACCTTTAGAGAAATCTGAGGTGAATAAACAAGTGGCACTAAAAAGTTTTTTCAAATTTTCCGGAAAACGTCAAGAAAAATTTTAAAATTTCAACATTTTTTTTTTCGCAAAAAAAACTCATAGGCGTGTTTCTGGGGTTGAACTATACTACCAGTTATTTGCACTTATTTCTGGGACACCCGTATATACAGGGTGGCGCACCTCATTCGCCTCGGTTGATTATACGAAAACGGAAAGATGTAGAAACAAAATATTTTACGGGTATATGTGGGAAAGCAATGTGCATAACTTAAAATTACTTTGAAATGTACAGGGTGTTGACAAACTTTTTTATTATAGCATGCATATTTCAATATCTCAAAAACCAAAGCATTCAATGTGTAAAGATACAAGAAAAAAGACAATTTTTGACAGTTAATTACAGTTAGTCAGTTTCTTAATTACCTTTTTTGCAGACTTCACACTTATGACTCTTCTCCCCAGTATGTGTCCTCACATGTTTTGTAAGTTCATTCGACTGGCAAAAGGCTTTGGAACAAAGAGAACAAACATACGGTCGTTCTCCTGTATGCGTTCTAATGTGAGCGATTAAATTTGAACTTGTGGCAAAAGCTTTAGGACATAAATGACATTTGTGTGGTCTTTCACCTAAATAAAAATTTAAAAAAAGATTTTTTTATGTATAAAACAATCTTATTCTAACCTGTATGTGTTCTCATGTGTTTTTCAAGATCCTGGGCTTGGCGACAACCTCTGGCACAAACAGGACACTTAAATGGCCTTTCATTGTTATGTATTCGCATATGTATTTTAAAGTTACCGCTATGTGAAAATCCTTTGTTACATATCTTACATTTGTGGGGTAAATCGGCTGCACACATATAAATATAAAAGAATATAGATATTTTGTAAGGAAAACGCAAATAAAATTACCACCATACCATAGTTATGTATCTTCATGTGCCTATTTAACTTAACCTTAGTTTTAAAACCTTTGCCGCAAATTGAGCAATGTTTTCCATCGTCGCTTTCAGTACTCTGTAAATCATTTATATTTTTACAGCTCACATTAACTTGCTCAAGAGACTGAGCTGTCTGTATTTGATTTTGAACAGGCAAAGCAGGTTGTTGAATTAGGTGTATTGGAGCTGTATATGCTGTGTTAAGTGCAAATGCAGATACCGGCCTTATAGGACCTTGTATATTATAAGATTGCTCTGTTAACTGTTGATTTGTTATATTACTGTATGTTATCTGAGTAACTGCTTGATCATGTGTCATAAAATGATCATAATTCGGGTTCTCAGGTAACATAGAGTCTATCATCTTGTTAGTTTCTCTAATATAAATACACTGGTTTATAGGTTGAGAATCTACCTAAAATCATTAACACAGTTTACAGAAGACAACTTATATGATTCATAGTTACTTGGTGAGGTTGATTGGCATTAATATTTGGCTGTTCAATACTAATCACTTCTTTTCGATCCCTTAAACTAGCTAGATATTGCCTCAATTTTACATCAGTCTTCTCACACTGCCGTTTAAATTGAAAGCAAAGGTGTAATTTTGACGCGCATTTGTTACATATTTGACTAGGAAGATTGTCGTTAGGCCAAACCTGAAAATATTGTAATAGATAATGAAAACATACAGTTTGTAGATAATAAACAACTAATATTCACCTGAATTGCGGCACAAGCCATCATCTTTTTGTACATGTTCACTTTAAATAAAGACATCATCGTTCCTTTATCCATACAGACTCTGCAAATTTTCGAAAAGTCCAACTCCATGGTTTATTTTTAAGAAATTTTGGGAAAAATACATTTAAAAATACCTTTCTTGCCAAGTTTATTTACCAAATTTTATCGAAAAACTAACCTAAAAATTGTTTGTCAAACTATTTGACAGGTAGACATGATTACAGATTACAGGTAGCTATTTTTTGAAATTTTATTTTTATATAAATTTATTATATCTTCTGTGTGATAGATGGCCGAAGAGATGGTACTTTCGATCTACGAATAAAAGGGGGCGCTAAAATCGTACCGTTGTCTTGTTTTAAATCTGTGGTTTTATTTTCATTTTATAATTTAGTATTTTCAAATATTTTACATGATTTTCAATTTGTTTAACTCATATATAGCATATATCAAGTTTTCGCAATATAGTATAAAATAATTGGTACTTTGGTATACCGGTACTTTTACTAATGGCATGATAAATGAAACATTTTGCTTAAAACACATTTCTACAAATTTAATTTTAGATTTATAATGGATACAAAGGATACAAATGCAGTTAGAGCTTACGAATTATGTTATACTTGTCTGTCCAATAAGAACTTGGTGTGTGTTCCTAAAGATCATAAAGAATACGAAGATTTTGTTGAACTATTTTACAAATTCACTAATTTGTACATCACTGAAAATGTAATAACTATTTGTGAAAATTGTATATTTAAGCTAAACGAGAGCCACCAATTTCGTACTGTTTGTATAGAATCATATAAAACTTTCAAGACTCTTACAGAAGAATTTATAAATGAAACATCAATAGACCCTACTACAGAAGACAAAAATCAGGAGAATATAGAACCAGCCAATACAATTGAATCATCTGAGACAAATCCTAGAGAGAATATTGAAAACACCTGGAATGTCGGTTATGAAACAATATGTGGAATATGTAAAAAGCAATTTAGCAGCGTTTTAGAACTACGTACACATTTTACATCTCATGAAGAAAATAACGAACTTGAAAGTACAGAATCAAATGAAGATCTTTGCTTCAACTACGTTTGTAGTAAATGTAACACAAAGTTTTCTGTGCTAGGTGACATAAAGCTACATATTGATCAACATAACAATGAATCATTAAAATCTATACCTTCCAAAACCAGAGAAATGCATGAAGATTACCAGAATTTTGAAAATGAACATTACAGAGTGAACTATACATCATCAAAACCCTACGAATGTTTATATTGTCCAAATACATATGGCAGACTGTGTGATCTAAAAGTACATACGAGAATTCACACTGGAGAAAAACCATATAAATGTACAGTTTGTGATAAACACTTTAGGAGAAAAACTCATCTAACTATACATATGAGAATACACACTGGCGAGAAGCCTTACAGTTGTAAGACATGTGGAAAGAGTTTTGCTCAATCCGGAGACGTAACAACTCATGAAAGGACACATACAGGAGAAAAACCATTTGTTTGCAATGTTTGTAACAAGTGTTTTGCACAAAGGCCTTCTTTGAAAACTCACTTAAAAAAACATTTTTTGCTGTCTTAAAAATGTGTCAATTAGTTTTAGAGACACAATATGTATCCAAAATATTACTCTCAACTCAACTACTCTGATAAAAAATATTAATAAAAGCCTAAAACAGTTGAAACTGCACTTGTATGCAGAATTTCATATTCTATTAGAATATGTCTTGATTTGTGCTGAAATGTTGATAGTGTTAAAAAAGATGGCAATCAGACGATCAATGTCAAATCAAAAATAGATATGTTTACTTAATGTATACAGAATGATATAATTACTGAAAAAATTATAGATGTATAAATTGTTGGTAAAATAAAACAATGAATGACCTACAAACTATTTTTATTTCAAAGCAGACATTTTGCGTTAATACATTCTTATTTGACGTTATTCTTCTGCAAGTGCTTGATATAATATATTGAAAATTTCTTCTTTTATTTCGCGTCTCCTTATTGGACATTCAATCTGACTAACTTTATAAGCCACATATTGGGCAAATACTATATCATCACTACTTAGCAAGAACTTTAAAACATCAGGACTATTTGATGATATTAAAGAATTAAACTGCTCTTCGGGAGACATCTCACTAAATGACGAATCGGTTAATCGATAAAAATAATCGGTTTCAAAGGTTTCATCATCGTCTTCGCTCTCAGTATCATACTGTAATCGTAAAAATGCACGACCACTGTCAGAGCCTGCATCTTCCTGTTCGACTGGAAAATCTTCCAAAAATGTTAACGCATTCAATATATTATCATCGTAAGCTGAACCGTCATTGCTTGTTCCTCCCCGTAAATTATATTGGTATTTTCTAAATGTCCCTTTCAAACTTTTCCATTTTGTAATTGCATCTGATTCTAAAATTTTAAAAAGTTAATGACAAATATAGGTAGAGCTATCTGTAACTTACTGTTTAACCCAAGGACCTCTGCTATGGCTTCCCAAATATAATCTTGACATTCTTTATTGTATTTGTACACGCGGTTCTTGGGATTATAGAGACTTGGAAATTTTCGGACCAGTTTTATTAATTTGTAGTGGTCGTATTCGGAGCCTTCGGTGTTACTTATACCTGTAAAATTGAGATTAAATTCAGGAAATCGTGTGAAGTGGGTGAAGCGTACCGTTTTCTTCAGCTACACGAAAAACGTGAGCTCTTAAATCCATTCGGTAATTTGCAGGGTCATTTGCCCCCTCAACCGACCCAACCGACATACTGTTAACGATAAAGAGTGTATGAAAATACAAATTAAATCAAATACAAGCCTACAAGTAAAAACAATCAACAAACAACGCAAAATGCCAAGGTAAATGACAGATAGATAACCACAGATAAAAGAATTTAATTTGAAGACCTGAAGTTCGGCAACCAATTATACTTTTTTTAAAATTATTTAAAACAAAACAATATTTATACAAAACTTTTGTATGTAATTGAGTAATAAAATTAAGTTTCACGTTTCTATGAATGAGGGCACGCCTGCATTAATATTTATATTAACCTGTTAAATATTTAATTTTTGAAATTGAAATAAAAAATCGGAAAACCGCAAGTTCTAGTTACTTTGACTGCTTTGACCCTGTACTAGATTTTGATTTTTAGCTTTTTCGGTTCCGTTTTAAAGGCCGCCGATATTAGAACTATACTCTTTCGTTTTTAGGTGTAAACGCTTCTTGTATTATTCTTTAAATTGATGTTTTTAACGTTTAATCTGGATTTGACCAGATTAAGTAATTTAAACATAAGTTTAAGAGACGCGCTTAGTTGTTACATGAACTAGACGACAAAGGATCCGTAAAGCTTTATCTTAATTCATGAAAATAGCGTAAAAGATATCATTCATATTATTATATGACCGAGCTTGGGTTCAATTAGTCGAAAGAACAACATCGCGATATCAACATCGGGGCATTCAAAATTAAGATATTTTAATGCCGAATACTGCGACGCTATAAAACAAAGCGTGCTATGACAATTTTTTGTTTTAAAATAAAACATCAGTAACAATTCATATTTTTACAGCTACTTATAAGTTTAGTTAGTTTGTTTTATTAAGATAAACCAAAAAAACTGTGATACAATGTGGATAATTCAAATAGTAAGTATTTTTAAACGTATTATTATATAAAATTAAGCATTTTTTTTTAATTGAAGGTTTCTGTTTGTGTTTTTTGTTACTTGACTGATGCTAGAACAGTAATAAAAGAAAATGGTAGAAATATTGTTAGAGACGATACTGAAAAGACGCCTTTTACATTAGATGAGTTTTTGAATAGTACTTACGGTGTTTCTTCCTGGAATGGATCATGGCTATCAGGTATTTTCGAAAAAAAATCATTTTTTTATTCTTCAAAACCGGTTCTCAATTATTATTAGGTACGCGTTTTTGTTTGTTAATATTTTGGTTCAGTTTTTTAATGAAACAGACAAAAAACTTTGAGTCATATTTTTTATGTTTACTTAATGGAATTAGATATACATACGTAGAAATCTGGTACCTTTTATTTATTATTTTGTCTCGTTATATCTATTATTTTTTTAAATTTAATGAATATCGTAGTTAAAAATGAAAAATATACTTTTCAAATTTATGCAAAATTTTTACTTATAACTTCAAAATAAAAACACTAAATCACCACAATACACCAAAACACTGTTACTTTTACACTGGACGCGCGTTTCGCTAACCATGTAGCATCATCAGCATATGATTATACAATATCTGCAACACAATATCTGATCAATAAATAATCTTCAGTAAATATTTAGTATTAAAAACTTTGATACCCTTGGAGAAATGAAACATTAAAATTTTTACTGCAATTTCTTAAAATTGAAAATATTTCAAAAACGGTAAGGTTTAAGTGTGATAAACCTTAATCAAATTTACCTTTATTTCAATCGTAGAATCCAAAAATAGAATAATATACAGGGTGTTCCATTTAAAAAAATACAACTATGATATTTCTTACTTATTTGGGACACTCTGTATCTTGTAAAATATTTTTAAATTGTAGCTCTAATAGTCCTTCAACGAACCCAAAACTTACAATTTGTAAAAATATAATCGTTTAGCTACAATACTCCGTGTCGTATGTGGTGAACAACCCTGATAACCTCAAAGGGGAGGAAAGAAAATTTTAAATCTTAATTTGTTTAAACTTTGTCAAAAATGTTACTCATTAAAAATCGTCAGAAAATGTCTTTTATACTTCTTTACACTCAGGAATTTTTTAGAATTTTTTAAAGTGGTGGAACAATATAAAAAAAATTAAAAACTTTTTTTTTTCTAAAATCTTCTGTTTTAACTAACTTATATTTTTGTTTAGTTTAAAAAAGTGAGTAGAAATAAACATAAAGATTATTATAAAAAAATGAGTCCGAGGTTTTAGAAAAAAATGAGTTTTTAATTTTTTGCATTTTTTTTTAATTTTTTGCAATAACGCAATTGTAAATTAACATTAACGCTTCAAACATCTTCTAAAACAGTTTTTTTTTATTACTTCGAAACAACGTTTGTGGGATAAGACCGGTTTTGCAGCTTAACAAATATTCAATTATATATATTCAAAATTAATAATTATTATAATAATTCAGATTTATGATTCAGGCAGTAAGGCAAGTCTAAATCAAAATAATGTTTTTTGTCGTGGTTTCAAAACATCTTGTTAGAAAATTGAAGAGTATAGGGTTGGTGCATTCCCCGCCGGTGCTGCCACCGCCGGAGAATATCGTAAATAACGAATATACAGTGGTGGCCAAAAGTATGGAAACTTTTTTAATTTGTCATTTATGCTGAGAAATTAAAATATGAAATAAATCGACTTATATAATCGTGACCTACAAATAATTTCCTACAAAACCTAATACATTTAAATAAAAAATTACAGCTATCAAAAAATATATAAAAAATTATGAATATTTTCTTGGTCAAAAGTATGGAAACTTAAGAAGAATGTTTATTAAAATTCAAGATAATATAAAAATTACTAATATTTAGTGGAATATCCCTTTGAATTAATTACTTCTCTACATCTTCGTGGCATCGAATCGATCAATCTCGTACAATCTTTACTGGAAATGGCCGCCCATTCAGTTTTTAGCACTTCCCATAATTCATTTTTATTTGAAATAGAATGGCTTCGAATTTTGCTATCCAAATGGTCCCATAAATGTTCTATGGGGTTAAGATCCGGAGACTGTGAGGGCCAATCCATTAGTGGAACATTATGTTCATTTAACCAATTTTGAACAAACCGAGATTTGTGCTTGGGATCATTGTCTTGCTGGAACAACCATCTGAGTGGCATTTCTTCATCAGCATGAGGCAGCATATTATTCTCCAATATGTCTTTGTATAAAAAACGGTCCATTATCCCATCAATTTTAACAAGAGGACCAACACCTGAACGAGAAAAACACCCGCATACCATTATACTCCCACCCCCATGTTTTACTGTGGGCATCTGGTACTTATGGCTGTACCGTGTACCTTTTGGTCTTCGGACATAACGTCTCCCGTCACTACCAAACAGTTGAAACTTGCTTTCGTCGCTGAACAGTACAGTATTCCATTTCTGATAAGACCAGGTGAGATGATCTTGAGCAAATTTAAAGCGGGCCATCCTATTTTTCTATGATATTAGTGGTTTCTTCACCGCAACTCTTCCAAAAAGTCCCATGTCATCCAACCTTCTTCTCACCGTGCGTGCAGACACCGATATTCCCCTTTCACCCATTTCTCGAGAAATGTCTGTGAATGTTTTTCATGGATCTCCCATTGATATTCTCTTCATTACTTTCATTGTCCTGTTGCATAACTTTCTTGGTCTTCCTGACTTAAAAGCTGTTGAAACGTTCCCTGTTTTATTAAATTTACGAATTATTTTCGAAACGGTGCCTTTTAAAATGTTTAAATTTTTACTTATTTGAATTTGTTTATAACCGCTGTTGTATATAATTCAACTATTTTATTTTTTTAAATCCGTAGAGAAATATTTAGACTTGGGCATGATGTTTATATTTATCTGAAGCAAATCGTACCGTTTATCAGCTTAAACTAAATAATTTTAATGTATTTATTTATGGTTTCCATACTTTTTGGCCACAAGAAATTTATTGTTCTCCTACAAAAACTGCTAAACAGATTTTTGGAATACTTTTATTTGCTGATAAGCTGTTCATTTATATTCCTGAGAGTTTAAGCATAGCAATATTTTCTGTGATATTTTAAAAAGTAAAAAGTTTCCATACTTTTGGCCACCACTGTACATACAAATACACGGGTTTAAATGGCGAGTAAACGAAAAAATTAGTATATAATTATTCTAAAAGTGTTAGAAAGTATAATTTGTGGAAATTCTAAAGAAAAAAATAAAAAGGTTAATATTTTGATATCTTCAGAAGGTCTAACTTGCATTATAATTTATTATTCAACAACATTTATTATTCACCACTATGGTAGCAATAAGCATAGTTTTATCACCGGTTTTGCTAGTGGGGTATAACTGCAGCTATTTCGGCTATAATGAAATTTTTTCAAGGTACATAATTATAATTTTAGAAGATGTTCATAAAACATTTAATCACTAGTTGATTAAAAAAATATACCATTAATATTGCAAATTATATTTCATCCTCCCATAGTATACAGGGTGTCATTGAAATGGTGTAAAAAAAATCAGGGGGTGATAGTACTCCTAAAAATAGTAAAAAAAGTTCCTATAAGTATAGGCCGGAAAATGCACATTAAGGGAGTTAGGGGCACTGAAAGGGCATGAAAGGGTGAATTTAAAAAACTGTTGTTTTGAAGTTGTAAGCTTAAAAAACGAGATAAAATTTCGAAAAAAAATGCTCTGCCATAAATTTTGACCCTAAATCAAATGGTGATACTGAAAAATTATTTGGAAAAGCGGAAAGGGTAGTTTTTGCAAGGGTAGGGGGTTGTTTTGTGATTAACTTTTTAGAGTAAAAAAAAAATTCAAAGTACAATAATTATTTTTTTTAAAAATATAGAAATTTAACTTTTTCATTCAATTTGTTCATTTAGCAATCAAACATCTGTATGTCTAGACATATCTACTTAACAAAACACATTATTATCTAATTGTTTTTTTTAAGATATTGTTTTTTATTAATTGCCTTTTCTTTCTTACTTTGTATATTTCTGATTTTTATCGATTTAATACATTCTGATAACCCGATCAAACAAATATAAATATGATTTTATTTTTAGACACATCGTTTTTGTACAAGGACTCTGGAGATTTCTACGAATTCAACATTGTTACCAAAACGTCAGAATTGTTTTTAAATGGATCGTTTCTCGTACGTATAAGGATAACGAAAATATAGATGGATAAAGAGATAGTTTAATAAGATATATACAGGGTGATTCTTTAATTTGGAGATCGTGACTAATTGCGAGGTTCTGAATGAAGCTTTAGGATCAATTTTCAGTACAAAATTGGGTGTTTCAAGTTAAGATGACTGTGAAATTGCTTATATTTAATAGAACACGAAATTTTAAACACATTTAAGTTTCACTGAGAAGTTTGTTCGTCTAATTTCAATAAAATAATTCAAAACGTCAAAATTAGTGGTAGTAATTTTCAGTTAGTAGAAAAAAAATTCTGATGAATAAAAATAATACATTAACGTTTAGAAGACACCCGGTATATTTAAAATTTGTTTTTTAGGATGAATATGATGGTGCTTCTGTATCGTTTTCTCCTGATCAAACCTATGTGTTGATTAAATATAATTCCTCATCTGTAAGTATAAATTTGTTTTTACTAAAAAAAATTATGTGATCAAGTGAAAATAATGTTAGACAGTAATAGGTTCCAAATTTCCATACCGTTTTAGAGAAAATTATTATAACGTGCACAGGTTTTTAGGCATTCCACTACAGTAGTGTGTGCAGTATATGACAGAACAACAGGGTATGTCTACTAAATACAATATTGTGACTTTATTAAAAGAATAATATTTATTTAAGACAATACTATGACGTAAATAACAAAAATGCCGTCCAGTTGGCACAGTTCGATACCCAAGGCCACGGGGTGGTTTACGTTTATGAAAATAATATTTATTATTTGGAAAGTATCCTTGGAGATGCAGCTCCCATACAGGTTACATGGGACGGAGTAGCTGGAATTATCTATAATGGAGTACCAGATTGGGTATACGAGGGTAAGTACCATACGATAAAAAAAACGGCGTCAAAGATGGCAGGGAAATGACAATCGATGATAATTTTGACGAGGTCAAGCCCTAGACGCTATTACTTGGTCCATACTCTACTTTCTATAATTATTAGTGTTAATTTTGACAAGTTTTATGTCAATTTTTAGTAAATGACGTCTAGAGAATGACCTCACATTTAAAGGGTTAGGCTTTCTGTATTTTTTGTTATACAACATTAATCATATATAATATGGCTATATAATATAATTTATGATAATTTTAGAGGAAGTACTGGGTTCTGGTACAGCGTTATGGTTCTCCCCCGATGGCAAACATCTAGCCTACGCCAAATTCAATGATACCAATGTAAAGGATTTCTTCTATTTCTTGTATGGTACGCCTGGATCATTGACAGATCAGTACCCAACTGTAGCTGAAATCAAATATCCAAAGGTAATAAAATATATATCAAATTCACTAATACAAAAACTTAAATCAATTTGTAACAAAGTAATATATGATATTATATCAATCTCAAGTAATAAATTACAGTAATAATATTTATGGTATTCAATAAAGTTTGGTTTAAAAAATTGGATATAATAGGCTTAAGTTTGTCGATGATTATATGTCCCTGTAGACACGGAAAAATGTGTATAGAGTGTGTATAACACAAGATGAATAAAAACTTTTATACAGGACGTATCATGTAACAGTTACCAATACTAACTTTCATATTTTAGGTACCCTGTAATTTAACAATTCACTTTTGAAAATACAGTTTTTATAAAGTTCAACATACGCTTGGTGCATTTCAATTAATTTCAACAAATTCCAACCGCAGCGCACTATACGGCAGAAACCAGAAATTATCAATATATAGTTCACGCCGCGCCGTCATGTCATGTCGATTGCAACAAAATAATATTGAAATCGGGGTTTTGTCATAATATTTAAGTATTTTAGTTTTTTGCTAGTGCAGTTATTGAAACTATAAAACACTCAGGTACGAGGTTTGTGTGATGTAAGCTGTTTCGGGTAGTAAAAAATAAGTGAAAAAAAAATCGAAAATTATACTTTCTAACACTTCTAGAATAATTATATAGTAATTTTTTCGTTTACTCGCCATTTAAACCCTTGTATTTGTATGTATTCGTTATTTACGATATACTTCGGCGGTGGCAGCACCGGCGGAGAATGCACCAATCATAGGCTGATTCACTTTCATAAAAATTGTATTAAAACTCCTCACAAATCCGCGTAAAAAGGCGTCCTATAATTTTACTTCAGAGATTTTACTGCGTATTCTTGGAGTCATTAGGGCAGATTTATTTATTTATTCATATTCTAGGTGGGCGAAACCAACCCTGTAGTCAACGTTTATGTTTATAATATTGAATCCAACACCACCCAACAGTTCATCTTCCCAGATACCATCAAAAATACCGAAGAAAACAATGATTATGTTTTGTATGGATTGTCTTGGGTCTCGAATACGGAAGCGGTACTCGTATCCACCAATCGGATCCAAAATGAATCGGTCGTACTTAGATGTGGCTTAGAAGGATCATGTAACCAGGTAAGTACTGGCAAATATATATATATAAGCGTATCGGAAACAGGCGTTGTCATGTTCTTATATTTGTACCGGCTCTGTTAAAATTGCTGATATTTATTTATTCTTTCACCTCTTAATTAAATATATTACCTTTTTCAAAAGATACAAATTTTAAAAATAAAACTTTCTTAATGATATAAATCGTACAATAAAAAGTATGGAACTGATATGGAACGGAAGCTTACGTATAGCGTCAATACAATAAAAAATATGGAACGGATATGGAATGGAAACGAAAGGTATAGTCAAAATCAACCTTTTATGGACACTTATTTTTAGTATACAATAGAATAATATATGTAAGAAAAATAAAAAAAATTGTTGTAGAGTTAAAAAAAAATATCAAAAAAGTAACAGTTTCAACTTGAATCACTTATATAGACTTGGTAATTTACAACCAGCCATCAATTTGGATGATTGTGATCTTTAATCACGCCAATACCGTCAATTATGAGCTTAAACTCGTTAAAAAGTTTTATTTTTATTGATGGCGAGCTTAAATTGAAAAGGAACAAGTCATGGATGCATTATCTGTTAAGTCTGTTGCTTTATCAACACTTTTTTATTACTGAATGAACGAGATAACACGTAAGGTTACTATTTATGATGGTTTTATTATTTTTATTTCTAAAAATTCTAATAATAGAAAGTCGTAGGCTAGTTTTAGTGAACCCTAATCGACATTTGATTTCGGAAAATCGAATATACATAATATATCATATTTTACGCAAAATTGTAAAATCTACAGGGATTTTGTGCCTAAACGGTTAATTTTAGCGAAAATTTTCATAAAACCTTTTTTATAAGAAATTTTATTCTCTTTAATTTTGCTCTCCTCAAATTTTCGCGAAAAACGCATAGTTTTCAAGATATTCACAAAATACCGATTTTGGGCGCCATCTTGGCAAGATATTTTAGTGGCTATATCTTCTTTCATTATAATTTTTGCATTGTTAAAATCTATTCTGTGTCCTGTGTCCCATGAAAGCTGACAAATCTTATATTTTTGAAAATCGCCCTTTCTTAAATAATCTTTATGTTCTTTAATTCGAACATTTAATGATCTAGATGTTTGACCAATATAAAATTTATCACATTCACATGGTATTGTGTATATTACATATTAATGTATATTAATAGTATTTATACTAAGTTTAACATAAGTTTTCTCTCAGGGTGAGATATCCTCGATTGCAACTATTCAAAATATCACCCTGTATACCTTATTCTTCTTGAGTCTCAGAGATAATTTGTAAATTTAGCTTTAATTTCTATATCTATATTTAATTAGATTATTTTTTTAGAAAAAAAAACACAGCATACTCATTAATCATATTATGGACATGTTTTTTAAATAAAATTATTATCTGATATGTAGTACATAAGTAGGTACTTAGGTTTAAGTCTCAATGAAAGATGAAAAGGATATGATTCTCAGAGACAATTTAATGTATTACATTATTTTTATCAATCGATTATATTAATAGTTACCTTTCAAAACATTTAAAAAATAAACATGATGTTTTTGGTTAAATTATGAAATTAAATATCTTCATTGTCATTAATTATTTTGATATTTTGCACAGTTGAGTTTTTTATTATTGATTGTTATCAAGTATGAATTACTCAAAATTAGCTAGTGAGCCTATACAGGGTTGTTCACCACATATGACACGGAGTATTGTAGCTAAACGATTAGATTTTTACAAATTGTAAGTTTTGAGTTCGTTGAAGGACTAGTAGAGCTACAATTTAAAAATATTTTTAGAATATACAGACTGTCTCAAATAAATAAAAAATATCAAAGTTGTATTTTTTTTAAATGTTGTATATTATACAACATATATAAAACCTTGTATATTATTACATTTTTAGTTTCTACGATTAAAATAAAGGTAAATTTGATTAAGGTTTACCGCATTATTGAAATATTAAGGTTTTTGTGATAATAAAATAATAATTTCAATGCTTCATTTCTCTGGGCGCATTTAAAACTATTTTCTAAATTTTGTGTTGCAATAATAAAAATTATACTACCTTATACAGAGTGTCTGAAAATTTATTTTAAATAATTACTAGCTTTAAACGGTTATAGCTTCTTTAATTTAAATGGAACACTCTGTATATTTTACGAGAATCAGATGCAAAATATAATTGTCTATCAGATTGTATCATACAATTTTCTACCTATCTCTACAAGTTTTCATAGAAAATACATTTTCTTATAATTTAGACTTAATTTATCAATATACCCATGGAATTTTGACATTTTAAATTTTTTTAAAGCATCAAAAAATGTACAAAATGTACAGGTGCAAAAAACGATAATATTGTAAGCCCGTTTGTTTACAATTATTTTTAGTACGAGTATTAATGAGTTTTTAGTAAGAAATGTCGAGATTTTGAGTCTTTTTTTCTTCTTTTTGAAGTACGTTCTTATACTATTTCCAGTCCTTATGTGATTTATTAAAATGTCATTCCATTCTACCATTTTCTTGTACATGACTTTAGTTAAAATAAAAAGTCTTACATCCTTTTTTATTTGCTGGTAATTGATTTTTATTGATTTTTTTGGTATAGGAAACTTCATACTCACAATCTGGAGGCTGGCTGAGTCCAAGAGTACCAACTTACAACTCTGATGGGACCAAAAGGATTGAAATTCTACCACAATCTGTAGATGACGATTATTTTGATCACCTAGTTCTATCAGAAGCAGCTACAAACAGTCAAAAACGTCTGACATATGGAAACAGGGTGGTCACCACACTGTATGGATGGGATCAAACAAATAACTTGATGTAAGAACTAATATACGGGGTGTCCCAAATTCAAGAGTTGCCAATGGGATTCATATAAGATTTTTTGAAAATTAAAAAACTTTGACTACTTCCGAAAATATTTTGAAAAAAACGAGATAAATTGTAAGGTCTATATTTTTTAGCTACTATGGTGGTTCAGTGAATGGTACACCTTCTCAAAACCAAGTTTATGTTGTCAACACTGAAACAGGTGAAGATAAATGCTTGACTTGTTCCTTTGAAGTTGACGGAGAAAAATGCAAGTATGCTTCAGCATCCTTCAGCAAGTCATTCAGCTATTTTACTAAAAGCTGTTCTGGGCCCAACCCTACATACGTGGTGGTACAAAATTTGAACGATGTAAGTATTAAGTAATATACAGGGTTCTACAACAGTGCTCCTATAATAAGAATCTTAGGAATTCTCAACTTTTAAAAACCATATTAAAAGTCTACCCCAAAAAAATTCCTTGATATCAAAATTATACCAGGTATTTACTACAGTTGGTCTGTACTTACATAAATATCGTAGTCTTAAATCATACAGGGTGTTCAAAATTCTACACGAAACTTTCTAAAATATAATATATTTTTTCTTTATCTTTTTTAAATGGAGCACTCTGTAGAGTGAGTATGTTTTGTTAGTTGGAGAATTAAAAAAATGAACACTTTTTGCATTTCAAGTATTTCCAAATTTTTAACAGTTTTGCCTATAATTGCTGTTTTATATTACAATGTGACTTTCAGCAACGTAATGATTTTAGTCTGGTATTTTACTATTGAAAGAGTAAAAAACATTTTATATATTTTTTTAAGAAATCAATTATTAAAAAATGATATTTTTGATTATGTATAGTTAAAAATTAAAATTTTAAAACAAGGATTGATACTATTTTATTATTTTCAGGAAAACGATTACTTGGTTTGGATAGATAACGCAGAAGTTAGAGAGAAATTACAAAGCAAACTTCAGTATGTCCAGGAAGACTTGACAGTGCCAATTAATGACGAGTTTAGTGCCAGAGTTAGGCTGATTTTACCACCAGATTTGGACAAGACACAAAAATATCCTGCCATTGTCTATGTGTAAGTAATAAAAAAATATTTATTCATCATAAAAAACAAATGGTATAAAATAATTTCCAGACAAATTTCATATAGTGTTAATGTTTATTTAATTTAATTTTGTGTCTTTGATTTATCAAGAAAAAACAATTTTAATGATACATCAACCATATCTCAAACCACTCAACGTAAGAAGCTCAACTTTGGCATACAGGTTGATTCTAGGGTGTAGAGGTTCGATAAGAACGAATTTTTCGAAATTCCAGTTCCAAGGGGGTGAAACCACCCCTCAAATATTACAATATTTTTTATTTAAAAAACGGTCAAGTTTCCGAAAAAAACGCTTAAACACGTATATTTTATTTTACTTTTTTACATATTTTAAGGTTTTTTAAAAATGTATACAGGGTGTTTCGATCGGGTCATTGATTAATCACGATTCTGCTTAAAGCGCTCGACGAAAAAAGCTGATTTTTGAAAAACGGATTGACTTTAGGGTGTAGAGGTTCGATAAGAAGGGATTTTTCGAAACTCGAATTCTAAGGGGGTGAAACCACCCCTCAAATATTAGAATATTTTTTTATTTAAACACCGGTGAGTTTTTCGGAAAAACTCTTAAACACGTATATTTTATTTTGTTGTTTTACATATTTTAAGATTTTTTAAAAATTTATACAGGGTATTTCATAAAATATGACCATTGATGAGTAATCACGATTCTGCTTAAACTGCTTGACGTTTAAAGCTGATTTTTGGCAAACGGACTGACTGTGGGGTGTAGATGTTCGATAAGGAGGGGTTTCTCGAATCTCAAATTCCAAGAGGGTGAAAACGCCCCTCAAATATTACAATATTTACTATTTAAAAAACGGGTAGTCTTTCGGGAAAATGCTTGGAGACGCATAATTTATTTTGTTTTTTTACATATTTTGAATTTTTTTAAAAAATCATACAGGGTGTTCCAAAAAGTTGGGTAATTGATTAATCACGATTCTGCTTAAATTGTTTGACGTAAAACGCTTATGTTTGGCAAACGGATTTTTCGAAAGTCAAATTCCAACGAGATGAAACTACCTCTCAGATATTACCAAGTTATATAATAATATCGCCATATTGATTTTTCCGAGTTTTTTTTCTCGTGCTGACATCAATATGAGAAAACTTTATCCAGTTTGTATGTTAATGGAAATTCTTGGTTTGCTTTATCATCACCATTACAAAAGATTAATTCGACGCGAACGAAGTCGCGTGTATACGCTAGTTACATATAAACATCATGTCAGTCAAAGAAGATTTATTATTATCTCCTAACTATAGTTTACGTATTAAATTATTAAATGAACCCTATGAAGATCTGTAATAATGCATTTTCTGATCCATATTCTTCTTTTACGTCTAGTTTTTTACGCAAAAAGATTTCTAAGTTTTCTACTATATGAACTGTTTTTTATGTTTCTGTTCTGGCGATTTGTTTCACCATTCTATGCCTTTGTTGGTACTACTGAAATAAAATAAAACATTTTATTTCAGATATGCTGGACCAAATTCTAATCAAATAAACGATATGTTCGGCGTGAGGCTTCAAAATTATTTCGTAACCAACAGAAAATATATCTATATCTTGATTGACAGTCGAGGTAGTGGTAGAGATGGCCAGAAAAAAATGTTCCAAATTTACAGGAAACTTGGAACCATCGAGATCGAAGACCAAATAACTGTTACCAAGTAAGTTTTCAATATTTTTCGTACTTTTTTTATCTGTGTGCCTACAAATCAATGTGCAAAAATTTTTAAACGTAGTTTTTTTTTGATGAAAAAAAATGATTGAAAAAAATTTGAAATTTCTTGAAAAAAATTTGATTTTTTTGATTTTGAATGTCCTTATGCTAAAATCGAAATTAAAAAAAAATACTACGACCTCGAAGCTACCATTGTATGAAAATAAAATTTAAATTAATTTTATACAGTGTGAGTCTTTTAAACAAGTGCACATATTTTTAGGGATAGTATATTTCGACCTCAAAAACACGATTTTCGTACTTTTTTTATCTGTGTGCTTACAAAGCAATGCGCAAACATTTTTAAACGTAGTTTTTTTTTGATGAAAAAAAATGATTTTTGAAAAAATTTGGAATTTTTTGAAAAAATTTTGATTTTTTTGATTTTGAATGTCCTTATGCTAAAATCGAAATTTAAAAAAAAATACTACGACCTCGAAGCTACCATTGTATGAAAATAAAATTTAAATTAATTTTATACAGGGTGAGTCTTTTAAACAAGTGCACATATTTTTAGGGATAGTATATTTCGACCTCAAAAACACGATTTTCGTACTTTTTTTATCTGTGTGCTTACAAAGCAACGTGCAAAAATTTTTAAACGTAGTTTTTTTTTTGATGAAAAAAAAATGATTTTTGATAAAATTTGGAATTTTTTGAAAAAATTCTGATTTTTTTGATTTTGAATGTCTTTATGCTAAAATCGAAATTAAAAAAAAAATACTACGACCTCGAAGCTACCATTGTATGAAAATAAAATTTAAATTAATTTTATACAGGGTGAGTCTTTTAAACAAGTGCACATATTTTTAGGGATAGTATATTTCGACCTCAAAAACACGATTATGAGTTTTTTTTCGCAAAATTTTTTTTTTGAAAATTCGGTATTTTTTGAAAAAAAAATTGGAATTTTTTTAGTTTTTTGTTAAAAAACATGATTTCTTGATAATATGGCAACATAGGTAGTAGATTAAATTTACAACAAAGAAAATACCGAAAAGATCCAGTGGCTCTCAAAATTTTATGAAAAAATCTTTTTTTGCAAATTTTTGAAAATAACTCAGTTATTTTGGATTTATATGAAAAACGGCAAAGAGAAAATATGTTTCTTTTATCGAGATTTACCAGCCCTGAAAATAGTTGCACTTATTTAAGACTCTCCCTGTATAGAGGGTGTTTCAAAACAAATACGAAAAACTTTAGGGGGTGATTCCTTGTTCAAAATAAAGGGTAGTTTGCTTTATAAACGTTGGGTCAAAAGTCAACCATTAGGGAGATATCGTGGTACAAAGATGGCGGAAAAATAATGTTTTTATTTTTTATCTTGAAAACGAAAAAAGATACACTAATGAAATTTTATGGAAGCATTACTGTTATGAAAACACACTTTCAGGTAATTTTTTTACTTTTTTAAAATGAGTGGAAGGGGTTGAAATAAACTACCCCTATCATTCTTGTTAACAAAATTTAAAGAAACATCTTATTAAACACATGCAAATGCTTTAATTTGGATAGTTTAGTTTGTTTAGAAACTATTTTACCTCTTGTGTTTTTTTGATAAAACTCACAGATTGGAAATTAAAAAATAAAATGTAAAGCATTACATGTCAGGACAAAAAACATTTTTAGATTAAGAATCTAGTGATAATAACGATAATAATAATCATCTAGATAATAACGTATTGCAGTAGAGTAATGTCAAATAAAATAATATTAGGAACATCCTAAAAAGTAACAGCGGCCGACTAGATTTTTTTCCTAAAAAAAATACAGCAGCCCACTAGATTCTTTATCAGAAAATGTTTTTTGTCCTGACATGTAATGCTTTACATTTTATTTTTTAATTTCAAATCGGTGAGTTTTATCAAAAAAATACAAGAGATAAAATAGTTTCTAAACAAACTAAACTATCCAAATTAAAGCATTTGCATGTGTTTAATAAGATGTTTCTTTAAATTTTGTTAACAAGAATGATAGGGGTAGTTTGTTTCAACCCCTTCCACTCGTTTTAAAAAAGTAAAAAAATTACCTGAAAGTGTGTTTTCATAACAGTAATGCTTCCATAAAATTTTATTAGTCTATCTCTTTTCGTTTTCAAGATAAAAAATAAAAACATTATTTTTCCGCCATCTTTGTACCGCAATATCTCCCTAATGGTTGACTTTTGACCCAACGTTTATGAAGCAAACTACCCTTTATTTTGAACAAGGAATCAGCTCCTGAAGTTTTTCGCATTTGTTTTGAAACACCCTGTATTTTTTTATCCTTTTTTTCAGATATCTTCAGGACACTTACTCATACATCGACAAAGACAACACCGGAATTTGGGGTTGGAGTTATGGAGGATTCGCCTCGACATGGGCCTTAGTAAAAGACGTCGATCACGTGTTCAAATTTGCTCTATCTGTGGCACCTGTCACAAGCTTTATATACTATGACACAATATACACGGAAAGATATATGGGCTTGCCTACGGAAGATGACAATTTACTGGGCTATAACAACACTGATATCACAAGAAACGTCGAAGCCTTAAGAGATAGGTTATATTTCGTTATACACGGAAATGCTGATGATAATGTGCATTATCAGCAAACTATGCTGTTGGTGAAGGCTTTGGAAGCAGCAGATATCATATTCAGGCAACAGGTATTTATTAATAAAATCTTAGTGATGATTGCGTAAAATATGTGATCTAAAATTAACATTTTAAAAATTTAGATTCATACATAAATTTATAAGCTGCTTATACTAACACAGTAGAAATAAATAATATGTTGTTTTATTAGGAGTAAAAATGATATAGTCTATAAAATGAATAACTTTGAATTTTGACCGTTATTTTTTACCAACATGGCAAATATAAAATCCCTCTATCAAAAAAATGACCGATATTGAACGAATCAGATAGGTAACTCTTTTTACTTTCGTGAAATAGAAAAGGAAAATAATAAAACAAGTGACAGTTCTTCCTCTTCTTGCAAAAATCAAAACGAAATGTCATAATTGACAAAAGTAAAATGTCATCAGCTTTTGACATTTCTATTATATTAGACCAATGCCGTCTCTAATAGAACAGCCACAGAGCGAGATTTATGACGTCACGCTAGTTAGATACTACGGATTAATAAATATGTTGTAGAATACATGGAAAACGTAATCATTCCTCGTATTTTTGGTTTGTATTTTAAAAATGATATAGTTTACATGAAATATACATAATATACAGTTAATAAATACAATATAATATATACCTATTTATAGTAATAGATACTTTGGCAAATAAACTATGAACCATACAAATGCAGCAAATGTTTTACAATATACAAATATTGGGTAAAATGTAAAATATATTTTAAATTTTGGGGTTTGAAAATCGATCTAATTTAACAAAAAACATTCAATATCTACTAATAGTGTATTATTATTTGCAATCAGAAAATTTATTTATATATTATAATGTTTACTGCAATTAATAAACTAATATAAACTTGCCAAAAGATGACCACATATTTTTTTAAATTATTATTCTTAACACAAAAACTATCTACATTGACTATGGAGTACGATTTCAGCCATATTGTAAAACATTTGCTGTATTTGTATGGTTTATAGTTTATCTGCCAAAGTATTTATTACTATAAATAGGTATATATATATATATATATATATATATATATATATATATATATATATATATATATATATATATATATATATATATATATATATATATATATATATATATATATATATATATATATATATATATATATATATATATATATTGTATTTATTAACTGTATATTATGTATATTTCATGTAAACTATATAATTTTTAAAATACAAACCAAAAATACGAGGAATAATTATGTTTTCCATGTATTCTACAACATACTTATTAATCCGTAGTATCTAACTAGCGTGACGTCATAAATCTCGCTCTGAGGCTATTCTATTAGAGACGGCATTGCGTCAGCATGGCCGCAAGTTGATAACCTAATAAAATTAACACTAGAAAAGCCCGCGGGAACTGTCAAATTCAAAGTTATTCGTTTTACAGACTATACTTTTTGTGACGAGACTGTACCTACGTATGACATTACAGGTGAGGCACGAAAAGTAATTTTTACTCCCAATGGAACATGCTCTCTTTTCTCAAACGTCACAAATAAATTTTTAAACAATTTTAAACGTTCCAAATAATATAGAAACATTTAAAAATAACATCTGGTAAGTAATTATTATACAGGGTGGTCTGAATTGAATTCCGGAAACATATTCTGCAGATAAAAATAAGTAAAAAAGTTCGTATAAATGTATGTCCTAAAATGCTTAGTTTCGGAGATACAGGGTGTAGAAGTTTCATTTTTATTTCGATTTTTTCCAAATAATTTCTGAAATAACGTCAATATTTGGGTGAAAATTTGTGCTATTTTTGATGTCAATATGACTCCTTAAACTCCTTAAAACTTATTTTGATGTCAATATGACTCCTACTAGTAGAGGGCGCCACCTACATATTCTTTAACTGGTTTGAAGGGTAATAACTTTTCGTCTGTACCTGTATAAAACTACTGAGTAAAAAAATATACATTTACGACGTTTTTTACGTGAAAAAGGTCTCTTGGTAAAAACCGCTACGAGTAATGGTTTTCGAGATATTTGGAATAGAAATTATCAATACCTGTCATCAATGTTGACATAAATTAAACATGTTGACTAAATAGTTATTAGACTCAAATCATAAAATTGAAATGTTTTTGTGCCAAATGTTCAACAGAAACTGAATCGGTCATTTCAGAAACAACATGAGTCAAAAATTACAGTTTTGAGATATTCATGACTCATGTGGTTTCTGAAGGAATCCGGTATTTTCATAGGCTGCAGTACATTAAGTTAAGCCAAGACTGGTGTTGTTTCTGCACGCAATGGTGCGTTTGCGTATAAAAAGAAGATTATTGTGGAAATATCAATTTCAGAAAAAAATTACTCATGTTGTTTCTGAAATGACCGATTCAACTGTTTTACCATCATTTTTTGCAGAAAAATTTTGGTTAATTTAAAAAAATAAAAATTTCCCAAATTTATTATTTCAGTGAAATAACTATCTACTCAACGTGTTTATTTTTCGTCAATAATGACATGTATAGTCTGTCCAACGAGAAGATCCTTGATAGTGATAGATGTGTCTGTCATTTTAATTTCAAAGTAGTTTATTTTATTTTACAAAGAAATAAGTTGGTACAACTGGAACGCATAGCAGGAAATATTTAAAATTTGATTGACAAGTGATTACTTCAAAATATTGTGAAAAAAACTGTATAAAACTGAAAAAATGTAATCGAGTTATTTTATTTAATAAAAACGGTATGTGTTAATACAAAACAAACAAGAACAAGACACTACATACCAAAAAAATATAAAAAAGAACTATTATTTACTTTCAAGCTTTATGAAACTATCCGCATTTATGATTATATTTATCAATATAACTTATGTACAAATACAAATTTGTAATATTCCACAGGAATAAATAAAACAACATAGGTAAATAAAACAAACTATTTTATTAATAATAACTCCTACCAAATTTTATACCTTAAAGGTTGATTAATTAACTTTAATCTTAATTTTTTTAAACCAGTACCTTTTGACATTATTTTTCTGCAGTACTAAAATCCATTATTTGCCTATCGTGTGATGTCGATATTTTACAGCTGCTCCAGTTTTTAGTATGTGTTTAGTTTGATCCTTCTACCTTATACGAGATGCACTTATCTACGACGAAATAGTATACAAACTTTATCGATGGCAACTTCATTGGTGTATAAGACTTTCTGCCTGGGCAGCGAGTATTAACCATAAACTGTGCTCTGGGTCTACAGTTAATTTTCACTCGATTTTTCCTCCACTTGACTTCAAAAGACACAAAACACACGTAATAATACGAATCAAAATGCATCTTCTTCCAAAACGCAGGGTATTTAACAAAAGTTGACACAAAATTATAATCTATAATTTGGCAAGACTTTGACAAGCGTCAAAAATGACAAAAATCTAAAGGCGAGTTCATACGCATCGGCGTCCGTTTATCGTTCATCGTTCCGTCAAACCAATAAAATTGAAATACGATCTGTCATTTTTTAAATAAACCAATAAAACTGGTTAAAAACAACAAGACACGACGTATGACGGATTTATATTTAAACCCATCCATAGATAACTTAAAAATAATTAGAAACTTTTTTTAGTAAAATAAATAGATTGGTATGGGACGTCATCTGCTTTTCTTCTGTCATCGTCTGTCGAAATCTTACCTGAGAAAAAAAACAGAGTATATTTACTATTTTCATCCTAAATATCTTAAGAACGGTTGCTCGTAGCGATTTTTACAAAGAGATATTTTTTACGTAAAAAATCACAGAGATGTATATTTTTTCACTCGGTAATTTTATACAGGTACGGACAAAAAGTTATTCCGCTTCTAAACAGTTAAAACACACGTAGGTGGCGCCCTCTATTAATAAGACTCATATTGATATCAAAATCAAATTTCTCACGTCAAAAAACTCCCAGACGCCCATTTTCATCCAAATATTGACGTTATTTCAGAAATTATTTAGAAAAAATCGAAATAAAAATGAAACTTTTAAACCCTGTATCTCCGAAACTAAGCATTTTAGGACATACATTTATAGGAACTTTTTTACTTATTTTTGTCTGCAGAATATACTGCTAAAGTTTCCGGAATAGAGTTCGGACCACCCTGTATATCGAGAAACTATGGTTACACTCGTCGAATTTGACACTTTATGTCAGTTTAATAATATATTTTCGCACTTTTGTGCTCAGTGTGTTAATTTTATGCCTAGGCGTTAAAATGACTTTTTTATATTGTCAGTCACGTCGCAAAAAGTAATACTTTTGTGACATTTGAAAAAAAAATATTTTTTTATCATAATTTTTACGCTTATGATGCTCATTTGTTTGGTTTAGTTTGGAAACACGCTTATTAAAAGAAGCAAGGGGGCTTTGCTTACAAAAATTATCGGTATGGCATTAACTACAAGGTTATACAGGGTGGACCAAAATTGGCTTGTTTCTTGTTGCAATTAACCTGCTGAAAATATTATAAAAAATTACGATCAAGCAAAACTACGATATTTTATCATTTTTTCTCAGAGTTATCCAGATGAAAATCACAGTCTTTCTGGCGTTTCACGGCATTTGTATCACACAATTGATGCTTTCTTTGCTAAATCGTTTGGACTTGAGAATACAACAACACAAACTAGTAAAAAACTTCATCGAAAATACTTGTAAAATAGGTATAGAAATAACTTATTTAAAAAAATTTCGGCAGTGAATAAAAATAAAATTAAAATAAATTGTTAAATACTTTGAAACATTTTTTGAATCAAGTTATACAGTATTGTACATTGTTTTTTTTTGTTATAAGTAAAATATTAAAAAAATAGCAAACGCTTGTTTTATTTAAAACCGTATTTTTTAAATAATTTCATTTCTGGGTTTGTCATTTATAAAGGCCGGGCAAAACTATTTCGGTTTATTGTTTTGATGTAATATATTTTCATCTTGCGTGCTGTGGCATTGCTTATTATGATAGAGTTTTTTTTTGAAAACCGCATTTCAATTTTATGAAACGAAATTATATTGTTCCGATCTAAATTGAGGTTTATTAAAGAATTTTTATTGGTAATTCCAAGAATAAGTCCTTTTTATTTGTTTAAATATGTTTTATTCGTTTTGACCCATTCTATACGAGCAAAATTGTAAACAAACCGTTTGTTTTTTATACCGTATGATCGTTAAAGTAGGTTTGAAAATGATTTAGCAAAAACTAACTTAATGTACAACGAACTAGTGGAAAAAAAAGACATTCTAATAAATAACATAACACTGAAAATAGTAGAAGAATATACAGGGTTGTTCACCACATACAACACGGAGTATTGTAGCTAAACGATGAGATTTTTACAAATTGTAAGTTTTGGGTTCGTTGAAGGACTATTAGAGCTACAATTTAAAAACATTTTTACAAGATACAGAGTGTCCCAAATAAATAAAAAATATCAAAGTTGTATCTTTTTAAATGGAACACCCTGTATATTATTACATTTTTAGTTTCTACGATTAAAATAAAGGTAAATTTGATTAATGTTTATTACACTTAAACCTTACTGTTTTTGAAATATTTTCAATTTTGTGAAATTGCAGTAAAAATTTTAAGGCTTCATTTCTCCAAGGGTATAAAAGTTTTTAATACTAAATATTTATTGAAGTTTATTTATTGATCAGTTATTGTTTTGCAATAATAAAAATAATACTACCTTATATAGAGTGTCTAAAAATTTATTTTAAATAATTATTAGCTTTAAACGGCAATAACTTGTTTAATTTAAATGGAACACCCTGTATATTTTATGAGAATCAAATGCACAATTTAATTGTTTATCGAATTGTATTATACCATTTTTTACCTGTCTCTTTAAGTTTCCGTAGAAAATGCATTTTCTTGTAATTTAGAACTTATTTATCAATATACCCATGGAATACTGACATTTTAGATTATTTTTAAAGATGTGCGAAATTTTTAAAGGGTACAGATACTAATATTGTCGATATAATTCGTTTATTTCATTAAAACATAAAAAAAACTGTTTAAATATTTGTTAAAGAGGACCAATTAATATGATTCCAGTATTCAAACTACATTAACTGACTGTTTGCGTTGATTGATAATAATTGCCCCAAATACTAAAAAAGAGAGTTTTGTATGTGTATTAGACAGTGTGGTAAAAAGTAACACCTTAAAAATGTTATTTCATTTTTTAATAAATGCTTATTTATAACAATAGAGACGTTCATTTTCATAACTTATTATTATATTGATTTCTGATTCACATCCACATTTATTTAGAATAATTTTTAAATAGTTCTTTTTGCATACAAATGGGTTAGTAATATTATCGTTTTACTAAAAACCTGTACATTATGTATATTTGTTGCTTTAAAAACAATCTAAAATATCAATATTCCATGGGTATATTGATAAATGAGGTCTAAATTATAAGAAAATGCATTTTCTACGAAAACTTGAAGGAATAGGTAAAAAATGGTATAATACAATTTGATAGACTATTAAATTGTGCATCTGATTCTTCTAAAATATACAGGGCGTGCCATTTAAATTAAAGAAGTTATTGGTGTTTGAAGCTAGAAATTATTTAAAATAATTTTTTAGACACTCTGTATGAGGTAGGATTATTTTTATTATTGCAACACAATAACTGAGCAATAAATACTCTTCAGTAAATATTTCGTATCAAAAACTTTGATACCCTTGGAGAAATGAAGCCTTAAAATGTTAACTGCAATTTCACAAAATTGAAAATATTTCAAAAACGGTAAGGTTTAAGTGTAATAAACCTTAATCAAATTTACCTTTATTTTAATCGTAGAAACTAGAAATGAAATAATATACAGGGTGTTCCATTTAAAAAATACAACTTTGATATTTTTTATTTATTTGGGACACTCTGTATCTTGTAAAAATATTTTTAAATTGAAGCTCTAATAGTCCTTCGACGAACCCAAAACTTACAATTTGTGAAAATCTAATCGTTTAGCTACAATACTCCGTGTCGTATGTGGTCAACAACCCTGTATATATAATTGGGACTACTAATACACAGATCGAGATCTCTACTACCAGAAATCAACAATTAAGTTAGCATGGAGTACTTATGGAAAAGACTCAATCAGATTCAAATAAAGAAGAAAACATTCGACCAATGTGTACATGCAGTGTGTATGCATGCGAAAGCTGGACACTTAAAACGGACATCATAAGGAAACTGCAGGTCGCAAAACGCTCAATGGAACGAAATATGTTGGGAATAACCGAGAGAGACCGTTAAAAAATAGAGTGGATACGACAAAAGACCCAGGTAATAGATGTCATTGACTGAGTCAAATCCCCCAAATCGCAATGGGCAGAACACCTGGCAAGAATAACGGACTACAGATGGACCACAAAAATTACAGCATGGTACCCAAGAGGAATTAAGAGGCCTAGAAGAAGACCAAACCTAAGATGGGACCATGATATTAGGAAAATAACAGGGATAACTTGGGCCAGCATAGTCAACAATAGACAATAAAGGGACAACTATAAAGAGAGTATCTAAATATGTGAGAGAAGGTACACCATAAATGGAAATGGTTGAATAAGCTGAAAATGATGAATTGCATAAATTGTATCGAGTGATAATTGTATAAAGTAATGTGTCAACAAATTAAAAATAAAAATCATCCGAAATATTCTAAAAAATCTTTTATGTATATATTTTATATAGCTCTTTATTAAACATCAATTTATCATTTATTAATAAAGCTGTTCAAGCTGCAAAGCCTTTGTTTTGTTTTCTTTTCTAATTTTAGGTGCAGAAAATCGTTTTGTTCTCATATCGTGTTGTCGCGTGTCTATCAATCAATAGTGAAACGATAAATTGACATGTTTATTTTCCGGAAAGGGAGTTTTGTGGTTTATCACTCCATTAGGTAGCTATTTAGTTACTTAATTAAACCAACTTATACTTAACGAAAAACGGTTAAAGTAGTGTTGATGTTTTTTTGTTATCAATCAAATATTTACTCCACATCAGAATTGACATGGAATAAAAATCGCTGTCATTTTAAATTACGTAAAACAGATATTAATAGTAATTTTTTGATACAATTTTATCGTCATGTATAAAACAATATTTTTTCCATAGCGAGTTACGTTATAAAAAAATATTCAGAAATTATTATTTGAAGGCATTTATTACGAGTAGAAAAAATATTTTGCTGGGTTGGCGTTGGTTTATATATAATTTGACAAATAAATAAAGCTGTCTCTTTAGTTGTCAGTTTTGAGTCAATATTTTTTAGTTCTCTTTCGTGTCGATTGCTGATTGAATTGGAGCCAGGAATGGCTCAAAACGAAATAAGTAAATTACCAACAGATATTCAGGCTGAGACGACAAACGCCATACCCAAACTACTTTCATTTAAATCCCGAATAACTTATGAAAAGGAATACAAACATTTTCAAAAATGGAAGCAATTAAAAAACGTGCGAGAAAAAATAAAGGTTTTAACATATCCTCGCTGTTAAAGTACCGTATGATCGAATAAAAACGGCGGCAGCGATGGCTATGAAATGAAGATCGCTGTCATTTTATATGTAAAATTATATGGGAAATGTCATTGATCGTCATTTCCAAGCCAACTGGACGCCGTTTTATTTCGATCATATGGTACTATTTTATCTACTATTTTTGATAAATATAAGGCAATTTTAACAGTTGCTATGGAAGAAAGAATATTAATTATTTTTCTTTTCTTACTTATTTCTCTATTTTTCTTACGTTTTTTATTTCACACTCCCCCCTATGAACAGTACCACACTGGGTACAACTTATTTTGAATTTTCCCTGTGACACGACACTGTATCTTTGTTCCTTCTGAAAGATGTTTATCATATTCATATATGGATGGAATCGATATCGTGAGACGCCATTTTTTGACAGTTTTTTTTGGACGTTACACCTAACTCATTTAAATTCTTTCGAATTTGTTAGTTTTTTTTGAGTTTATTTTGTGTTATTTCACAGTTATTTTATGATCGGTTTTATGGAAAGTGTACATGATCGGTTTTATGGAAAGGAGCTTTGAAAACAGACAAAAAATATGAAAAATATTGTTAACAACTTTTTATCAATAAATAATTAACACCTGTTCAATGAGCCAAAGAATATTTCGACAGATTACATCCAAAAAATACAGACTTTGAACAGAAACTAATCAATTGTAAAATTCCTTTAGAGTGAATTAATTAACATATTTTTATTTTTGTATTTTCACATGTATTTATAGTCTGTCCAACGAGAAGATCCTTGACAGTGAGAGATGTGTCTGTCATTTTAATTTCAAAGTAGTTTATTTTATTTTACAAAGAAATAAGTTGGTACAACTGGAACGCATTGCAGGAAATATTTAAAATTTGATTGACAAGATGACAAGTGATTACTTCAAAATATTGTGAAAAAAACTGTATAAAATTGAAAAAATGTAATCGAGTTATTTTATTTAATAAAAACGGTATGTGTTAATACAAAACAAACAAGAACAAGACACTACATACCAAAAAAATATAAAAAAGAACTATTATTTACTTTCAAGCTTTATGAAACTACCCGCATTTATGATTATATTTATCAATATAACTTATGTACAAATACAAATTTGTAATAGTCCACAGGAATAAATAAAACAACATAGGTAAATAAAACAAACTATTTTATTAATAATAACACCTACCAAATTTTATACCTTAAAGGTTGATTAATTAACTTTAATCTTAATTTTTTTAAACCAGTACCTTTTGACATTATTTTTCTGCAGTACTAAAATCCATTATTTACCTATCGTGTGATGTCGATATTTTACAGCTACTCCAGTTTTTAGTATGTGTTTAGTTTGATCCTTCTACCATATACGAGATGCACTTATCTACGACGAAATGGTATACAAACTTTATCTTTTTTCTGCCTGGGCAGCGAGTATTAACCATAAACTGTGCTCTGGGTCTACAGTTAATTTTCACTCGATTTTTCCTCCACTTGACTTCAAAAGACACAAAACACACGTAATAATACGAATCAAAATGCATCATCTTCCAAAACGCAGGGTATTTAACAAAAGTTGACACAAAATTATAACCTATAATTTGGCAAGACTTTGACAAGCGTCAAAAATGACAAAAATCTAAAGGCGAGTTCATACGCATCGGCGTCCGTTTGTCGTTCATCGTTCCGTCAAACCAATAAAATTGAAATACGATCTGTCATTTTTAAATAAACCAATAAAACTGGTTAAAAACAACAAGACACGACGCATGACGGATTTATATTTAAACCCATCCATAGATAACTTAAAAATTATTAGAAACTTTTTTTAGTAAAATAAATAGATTGGTATGGGACGTCATCTGCTTTTCTTGTGTCATCGTCTGTCGAAATCTTACCTGAGAAAAAAAACAGAGTATACAACTTTATTGGAATACGTCAATTTGACTTAGATGTTTCAGTAGCGTATCTGTATTTTTGTTATGAAATTATTTTATTAACTTCTACTATTAGAAATATATATTTCTTCGCATTTTTAAAAACTAAATAGGTAATATTTTTTGACTCAAAGGAAGACAAAAGCAGCAAATTACTGAATTTATCAAACTTTATATTTTATTTAGTTAAAAATAATAATATTTTCATAACATGGCAGCATACATTTACAAGAAAGAAATTACAGAAAATAATCGGTAGTTCCCAAAATTTAAGCAAACATATTTCTTTTAATTTTCAAGGTAAAATAACTTGGTTATTTTGGACTTATTTGAAAAACGGTAAAGAGAAAATGTGTTCCTTTTATCGATATCTACCAGCCTTGAAAATATTTACACTTATTCAAGATTCACCCTGTGTAGTACATCGATATTCTACCAGCTAAAAGGAACAGACAATTTATTTTTTCAACTTAAATAGACCCGCCATGGAAATAGAGGTCTCAATATTTACCTTAAAACAAATTTCTATTTTAATTTTAATTTTTACTTAACTTTTCGAGTCTAAGAACCATTCTAAACCACTCTATAGGTACAAAAAATTATATAAACATTAAATTCATACTAAACTCTTTAAAATTCCTCAGCTCCAAAACATTTCCTTAAGCACCTATTATCCCTCCTGGACTGAACCCCATCATCCCATCCTGCTCTCATCCAGAATTCCCAACAAACAACACAACAGCCTCACATCTTAACGATAATTAGCACAATTAAGAGCCCCAACTCCTCGCGCCATCACGCCGGACTTGCCTCCACACTATCCAGGACGCTTTTCTGGACTCCGGGACTCTCAGGACCGCCACGGAGGGCGCTGGCGGAGCCAGGCGGCATCCTGCTTGCGTCCCGGCTAGCCTTGCTGATGCAGTATTCGTGCGGGACCGGGGCAGGACATGCTGCCGACTTGGCACCGCGGCCAGCAAACACGTCACAGTCGCTTCCTGGACCAGCAACTTTTCCCTCGGCACTTTTTTGAATGAAAGTCTGGATTTTAAGTCGGGGTTTTAGTAGGAAAGGAATGGGGTGTCGGTTTATGGTAATCGGAACTGGAAATAAGGCTAGTGTCGTTTAGTTTGATTGAAGGTGTTAAAGTTACTGATGGTGCGGATGAATCTTGTGGTTCTGACAGAAAAAGGTAAGTCATACGCTTGAGGAGGGTTAACAGCGCCTTATTTTTGAAAGAAACTCAGTGTTTGTGTCAGAAAATGTTAAAAAACTATAGGAAAAAGCATTTTATAAAAAGATTTGAATGAATCGTTAATATTTAAATTTTACTAGTTATAAACCCTTCAAAAACATTGTTGTCGTTTAAAGATATGAAATTATTCTGGTTTTATCAGTTCATCCTTGATTCTGTGTCTTGAAATCCTTCCTTGATATCTAATATACAGGGTGGTCCGGAAACATATTCTGCAGATAAAAATAAGTAAAAAGTTCCTATAAATGTATGTCCTAAAATGCTTAGTTTCCTAGATACAGGGTGTAGAAGTTTCATTTTTATTTCGATTTTTTCGAAATAATTTCTGAAGTAACGTAAATATTTGGATGAAAATTGGTGTCTGGGAGTTTTTTGAATTGAGAAATTTGATTTTGATGTCAATATGACTCATACTTGTAGAGGGCGCCATCTACATATTTTTTTAGCTGGGTTGAAGTGTAATAACTTTTCGGCCTGTATAAAAAAACTATCGAGTAAAAAATATAAATTTACCACGTTTTTTGCGTAAAAAGGTCTCTTGGTAAAAATCGCCACGAGTAATGGTTTGATCAAAGAAAAAAACGGCGTCAGAAAGATCAGAAAGGATGGTTATATAAAAACTGTTTTAAGAACACATGAGGAATTACACCACAATTTTTTAGACTAATTAGAAAACACCCTGTATATTGTCAACTTGACAATGATTGTTGATAAATCAAAAAATACCTTTTCTGTGAAAAAAGCCCGATTTTCGCAGGAAAAATTTTGGTTTTTATTGAATTTGGGCCTGCGTCTGCAAATACCGGTATGTGTTTTAATATTCTATCTATCTAAATTTTAAATATCATAGTCAGAAATAGTTTTATTATTTATTAACTGTAAAATGGTATACTTATAAGGTTTATCAAATATTGTGATTTACTTTCTACCTTGTAGTCAAAATTTATACTTAATAAACTGTAAAATATATATATATTCTTATGTTTTATTAAAGTGTTACTCTGATATACTAATTATCAGTGTAACTTTAAACTAAATCCTTTTGAAATCAATATAAACATAAAAAATATTTACAGGCAAGAAAAGGCGAAGGCGGTGGGTTAAACGTAGTCTCTATTAAAAACACGGGGGGCGCTTTGACCCAAATTTTACTATTAAGTTTCATATCTTTCTTAATAGAAGATTATTTTCTTTTATCTATGGTCATCTATTTTGTATAATATTCAGGGGCCGGAAAGTGAAATAGCCAAAAGGGGTTCCACCGTTTCCACGAAATTTCAAATAAATAGTTCCAGCCTCGGGCGCTAGGTGGTAGTGCAATTAATTTTTTAGGTTAGAAAGTTGCTACTAGTTATTGCCAGATGGCGTTCCAATCAGATTTTTTTGTATTTTTTTTTTTTTTTTTTTTTTTTTTTTTTTTTTTTTATTGTCAAATTTTCAAAATAAAAAAAAAAAAAAAGTTATAAAAAAATGATTATCAAAACGTTTTTCAAACTATAATTTGTTATATGTGTTTTTATTAGACCATTCATATTGTGTTGTTGAATCTTTGGGAGTAATTCTCGTTTTCTTGCCGATTTTTATAGTCTTATTTTGAAAATTGTACTTTTAAGCACAAAGAGTTCTTTTAAGAACTAAATTTTCGAGTTTTTTTTATTGCATTTCTTGAAATAGTGTGTTGAAAATAGGCAGAAGCATTTAAACATTCGAAGCAAAGAGCTTGTAGCTTTTCTGATAAACTATTTTGAACGAGAACGTGACAATATAGGTCCTTCATTACACTTGACTGCAGTCAAAGAAGTAAGTTTGATTGGTAAGCATATTATGCCACTTTCAAATTTATTTCTACTTATTTCGATTTGTAGCGGGTAGCTGCTTCTTTAAATTTAAATATTTCTACTGTGAGTGTTAGTGACTACTGTTAATAAATTAATTGATTACTAAGATATTAAATTGAAAAAAAGATTGTCACTCAAAGTTTAACACGTGCATCGGAAATTGTTTTGCGATGGCCACGAAATCTTGGGACACCCCGTATAATTTTCTACAATCCGAAACATTCCTATAAATATTATTAAAGGAAAACTCGTAAAATATACACAGTTAAGAAACCGTCTAAAAATGTTTTTCATATTTTTAAACAATTTGGCAAACGGCACAACAGTAAATATTTTCATCAAAAACTAATAGTAACGTTAATTTAAAAATAAATTTGTGAGGACCGTGAAAATGACATTGATAAGCTGGTCAATTTAATATTTTCAGAAACAGATGTTTTTAGATTTGATTTCAATGCCAAAAACTCGGACAAAATTATAACTTTGACATTAATTCGTTGATATAAAAATAAGTATGGCGTTCTTAAAAATAGAAACTTTGATCAAGAAATAGATTTTGATTGAAAAATGTAATTATAACATGTGGAGAAAAAAAAATTACATTTGACTGTGAATTTATTTATAACTAGTAAATATACTCGTAGTTTTTGGGATCTTTTTTACTGTAATAATATTTATAAAGCTCCAAAGTATTTAACTACGCGACGGCACTGCTTTCAACGTAACTTTTCCAATATCTTATTCCTTCCCTTGCGTATACACTTCTCCTTATCTTATTGGTAATTCACTGTGAGTTAAATAGATGACTCGGATTAAATACCTGCTAAACTGGTATCGTAGTCGTTACTTATAGTAGTCTATGAAGTCGATGGTTCGCTTGGGCTGAAAGTGTCTTTCATTTCCATAAAGAAGTCCTCGCAGTTATAAAGTCGCATCAACGCATCATTTGGAATAAGTTAGTACCTACACGGAAGAGGTGCTTTCGTCCAATAAATCTTTTGCGTGCATTAGAAGGAGACCTGCCGATTGATTACGGTATAGAGGTAAATATCCTAATTTATTTGTTTTTCTTTGTAATTTTTCGGTAACTAAGATATACAAACTGGATATGTAACGACACTTACGAATAATACATGTTGCCACTGTAATTGCGTTGGCAGTAACTATTGATTAAATAGGGGTTATTACAGGGTTATTGGTGCATAGTGGTTGAAAAGTGAATATCGCAGTCTAAGAAGGGAATATTTTTTATGGAACGGTTAGCGGAGAGCGAGAAAGAACGCCGACGGGTGCCGCGCATGTGTGCGCAACATATGCAGGTTGATACCAAACATCATAATCGGACGACACCTGGTTAGTCAGGCGTTTTCCATGGACCAAGATAGACCAGCTTCCTTTCATAATAAGGAGTATTGTATTTTGAACGAATAACTAGCCCTCAAATCATTAGATATCGTTCTCTGGGGCTCGTGTAAATGAGGTTTTCAACGAGAATCTTCAGAATATAATAGGGTAGTCACCATAATGGTGTTTGCATTAGCTTCTACACTCATTACTACAATCCATCGAATACAGAGCAACGAGTACTTTCTTCAGCTATAACTAGAAGTTTTGAATAAGTAACTGCTATGGACACATGTCATCCAGTTTGAAAGGATCCATTCCAGAGAAGTTTTCTCGTTATAAATTTGCTTTTTCATATATGTTCTCGTATCATGGTATAAAATTGTTATTTAATAATTAATTTTTTAACGGGTCCCGCAAAGTTCACGAAGAAAGCACGTACTTCACTTCAGCTAATAGAGTAACTGGCTGATCGGGACAAACGATGTCACTCCAAAGTCGTAAAGGACCCAAGCAGTCTGCGGAAGTTGGTATTCTCGATTAAAAATTATGGCTTTTAATAATTGCACATCATTTGGGTGAGTAAATAAATAGTTATTTAATTAGCAGATTAAATCTTTTTAACCCATACCAAGAAAACGTACTTCGTCTTCAGCTAATGAGTAACTTGCTGGATGACGGAGCACTGGCATCCCGGAGAATCTTCAGATAAGGGACCAGTTCAAGAGAAAGACTTATTCTCGTTATAATATTCTTTTAATATAGATTCTCATTGTGTGATAATAATCGGTGTTATAATAGTACTTATATAATCTTTGATGTAACGACCAGCCAAATCAAGAGAACGCGGGTATTCTTCAGCATAAATGGGTAAAATCTGCTGATGGAACATGTCATGAGTTTTGAAATGGGGGCGGCAGGCGCGGAAGGACGAGTGGGGATACCATGTCCAGGAAGTTTTCTCGTTATAATTTGCTTTTAATATATTCTTTTTTTGGTGATAATAATGTTATTTAATAATTTTTTTAACCCAATCCAGAAACGTTCTTCTTCAGCTTATTGTAAACTGCTGATGGACACATGCATCCAGTTCGAAAGGACCCAGTCCGGAAAGTTTTCTCGTTATATTTGCTTTTAATATATTCTTTTGGTGGTAATAATGTTATTTAATCTATTAATTTTTAATTTTTATTAAATTAATAATTTTACTTCTTCAGCTAATGGTACTGCTGATAGACACATGCCCCTCCAGTTTAAGAGGACCCAGTCCAGGAAGTTTTCTCTTTTTTATTTTCTTGTATAATGTCGGCTTTAGTATATTCTTTTGTGATAATAATGTTATTTAATAAATAATTTTTAAACCCCAATCCAAGAAACGTACTTCTTCAGCTAATGGTTAAATTGCGATGGACAACATGCCATCGCAGTTCGAAGCGACCCAGTTCTGGAAAGCTTTTCTCGATTATAATTGCTTTAATATATCCTTTTGGTGATAATAATGTTATTTACTTATTAATTTTGTAACCCCATCAAGAAACGTACTTCTTCAGCTAATGGTAAACTGCTGATGGACACATGTCATCCAGTTTAAAAGGACACAGTCCAGGAAAAATAAATATAGGGTGCACAAGCGCCCAAAAAAAGGTTTTCTTGTTATAATTTGCTTTTTAATATATTCTTTGGTGATAATAATGTTATTTAAATAATTAGTTTTTTAACCCCCAACTCGAGAAAGTACTTCTTCAGCTAATTGTA